ATACAGGGGCTTGAACTCAGGGCCTCACACTTGCTAGGCAGGTGCTCTACCACTGGAGCCACTCTACCGGCCCTTGCTTTTATTTTGTTTTTGAGACAGGGTCTCCCTAACTTTGCCTAACCTGGCCTCAAATTTGCAATCCTCCTGCCCCCACTTTCCAAGTAGCTGGAATTATAGATGTGTATCACTATGCCCATTGGAATTCATATCTTTAAAACATGGAGGCTAGCCAGGCGCCTGTAGCTCATGCCTGTAATCTTAGCTACTATAAGAAACTCTTCAAAAACAAAAAGAAATGTATAAAAGTTGAACCCAATATTTAATTTAGTTGATTGGATGTATGAACAATTCTTTTGTGCTTGTGTGTTGCTGGAGATGGAACTCAGGGCCTTATGCTTGCTAGGCAAGTGCTCTTCCACTTAGCTACATCCCCAGCCAAATTCATTTTTAAAATTTTTCTTTTTTCAATGTAAGCTAATAAAAATGAAAAAAAAATCCTCTTTTTTCTTTTTTCCTGTTTTTTGAAATAGGGTCTCACTGTGAAGCCCAGACTGGCCTTAAACTTGTGATTCTCTTGCCTCAGATTCCCAAGTGCTAGGATAAGTGGGATGGGCCACCAAGCAGGGCTATACTCTCGAGGCGCTTTTGTTTGTTTTGTTTTGTTTTTTCTTTTTGAACTCAGACCTACTACTTGCAAATTAGGTCATTTGCATTTAAGGTGGTTTTTTTGTTTCTGTGGTGCTGGGGATTGAACCCAGCCTTGCACATGGTAGGCTCTACCACTGAGCCACACTCCTAGTCCATGTTTAAGAGGTTCTTACTTGGGGGCTGGAGGAGTGGCTCAAGTGATAGGGTACCTGCCTAGCAAGTATGAGGGCCTGAGTTCAAGCCCCAGTACTGCCAAAATAAGAAAATTCTTACTTGGAATGTCAAATAATGAAAATAAGCCAGGTGCAAGTGGCTCTAGCCTATCAACCTCACTATTCAGAAGGCAGAAATCAGGAATTACAGTTCAAAGCTAGCCCAACACAAGAAAAGGGCTGGCAGAGTGGTTCAAGTGGCAGAACACCTGCCTAGCAAGTGTGAGGCCCCAAGTTCACCCCCCAGTACCACAAAAAATAATAATAATTAAAATAAAATTACATGAGGAAAGACCGGTTACTTACTTTGTGCATGGCTTTGTGCTAAATCTGAAGGAATGGTTATCTCATTTAGAGCTGTGGGTATAGATCAGAGGTAGAATAGAGCACTTGTATTCTATTCATTATTTCTAGAAGGGCAGCGGTCAGTTTTCTTACTTGGAGAACAGAGAAGCAACTCTCTTTGGGCTACATAAAAACTATATTACTTGAGCTATGCCCCCAGCATAATCCCTGAGGATTTTTTTTTTCTGGAACTGGGGATTGAACCCAGGACCTCCAGGTTGGTAGTCAGAGGCTCTACCATTTTGAGCCACACCCACAGCCCTCTCTATGGTTCTTAGTTCAGGGTTAGATAGTCAGATTATGGCATATTTGGGTCATCTATTTAAGGCAAAGCAAACATATCAGAAGGGACACTAAGGAATTGCCTTGCAGGAAAGTATGTAAACTCTTTGAGAGGAGACATACACTAACTAGAAGAGACTATGCAGGTGCCAATGGGAATTGGCAGAAACAGCCAGATGATGGTCAACTTTCAGCACTAGCTGAAGGAAAACAAGGGAAGGAAGTCCTTTAAACCCTTGTTCCCTGCCACTTGCCCCAGCACTGCCCCAGTGTCCTCCACTCACTGTATATAGCCCAGTCGGCTCACTAAGGGCCTTTTTCTTAGTCATCCGGGGACTGTGGACCAGGGAATATGCTGTGAAATGGGCATCTTTTCCCCTTAAGCTTTTTATTTGGCAATGACTTTTTATTGGTATGTATTTATTGGTGTGCATTTCTTCATAACATTTCTATACATGCATAAATATACTTTGATCATATTCATCCCACCTGTTACTCTTTCTTATTCCTCTTCCTCCCTTCTCCTTTCCTTTCCCCTTCTACCTCCCTACTACTCCCCCTTTTTCTTTTACAACTTTAGTTTTGTTTTGTTTAGCTCTAAGTTCTACAAATGAGAGAAAACATACAATTTTTGTCTTTGTTAGATAGACTTATTTTACTTAACATGATTCACAGTTCCATCCATTTTTTTCATTTTCCAGCAAACAACATAACATAATTTCATTCTTCTTTTGGGCAGTATTGGGGTTTGAACTCAGGGCTTCCTGTTTGCTAGGCAGACACTCTACCACTTGAGCAAGACTAGTCCCATAATTTCGTTCTTAGTGGCTGAGTAAAACTCCATTGTGTGCATATATATATATACATCACATTTATCCATTCACCCATTGATGGGCATGTAGGCTGATTCCATAATTTGGCTATTGTGAATACTACCAGGATAAACATGGGTGTGCAGGTATCTCTGTTGTGTGCTGACTTTGATTCTTTTGGTGATATACCCAAAAGTGGTATGGCTGGATCATATCAGAATTCTGCTTTCAATTTGTTTTGTTTTTTTGTTTTTTTTTTTTTGGCAGTATTGGGGTTTGAACCCAGGGCCTTGCTAGGCAGGCACTGTACCACTTAAGCCATGCCCCCAGCCCTTATTTTTAATTTTTTGAGGAAGCGCCAAACTGATTTCCATAGCGGCTGGACTAATTTACATTCCCACCAGCAGTGGATAAAAGTTCCTTTTCCCCTTATCCTCTTCTGCATTTGTTTGTTTATTTGATGTTAGCCATTCTGACTGGGGTGAGGTAGAACCTTAATGTAATTTTGACTTGTGCCTACTCGATAGCTAAGAATGTTGAGCATTATTTCATGTGTCAGTCATTTGTAGGAGGAAGGGTTTTAACTGAATAAAAAAACTGTATTTGTCAGTTTGCTCTTCACTTTTCCCTTTCTCTACTTTTCTGTGAAGCAAAAGGAAAAATTTTTCATATTCATCCAAATATGTAGAATCAACATGATTCTACACACATGTAATCTACATGATCCTTTCTATTTGTATTATTTCCTATGTTCAGTATGTGACTGCTGACATAAAATCATTTTAGCATTTTTTTACTCATGAATCCAATAAAAATAGTATGTATACATAAGTCTATTAATCACACACTTTGTATAGGTTTCCCAAGTAAACAAAACATGGGAGAAACAAATAAATAAGACACTCTTGAAGAAAAATAGGAGCAACAGAAACTTTCTTTTTACTGGCAGTGGGGGGGAGGATTCCTGGGGTTTGCACTCAAGGATTTACGTTTGCTAGGCAGGCGCTCTACCACTTGAGCCACTCCCATGAACCCTTTTTGTATTGAGTATTTTTGAGATATGGTCTCCAGAACTACCCGTCCAGACTGGCTTCAAACTAGATTCTCCTATCTCTGCCTCCTGAGTTGCTAGGATTACAGGCATTTATCACTGGTGCCAGGCAAGAGGAACTTTTATACTTTATGGAAAGGACTGTGGATTGATAAAATCCCTTGGGAAACCAGTTTGACAATATCTAGAAAAACTAAAAATAGGCACACTTTGCCAATTGCAGTGGACCCATCTGCAATTCCAACTACTCTGAGGGCTGAGGTAGGGGGATCTCCAGTATGGGGCCGGCGTGGGCAACACAGTGTGAAACATCATCTCAAAAACAAAACAAAACAAAACAAAACAAAAGGAATGCTTTATAACTTAGCAATTCCACTCTCAGATACATACTCAATTACATTCCCAGAGTAACTCTTGAATATACATATATACATAATTTATAATGTTCTAATAATTCTAATGTTCATTAATAATAAAATGAATAACTTTTCATATAGCAAAAATAAAACCTATATAACTATATAATAATATGGTTAAATCTTAAAAATCAATACCAATTTAAAGAAGCCAGAAATAAAAGAATATTTGCTATATGATTCTATTTATATTGAATTCAAAAACAAGTAAAGTAAACCATACCACTTAGAGATACCTACTTAGAGGGTAAAAGCCAGGAACTGTTTATGGCAAAAAGCTGGTCAAAGGTTACTTAGGGAATAAAAGGATTATGACAGGTGAGGGAGGGAGGCAGTACTTCTGAGAATGCTTATAATGTGTATATATTATGGTGAATTTTTGCCTTATAATTTAATTTACATGTTTATGTTTTATGCTTTTTTTTTTTTTTTCAGTACTGTGGCTTGAACTCAGGGCCTTCACCTTGAGCCACTCCACCAGCCCTTTTTTGTGATTGGTATTTTTTGAGACAAGGTCTGGGGAACTGTTTGCACAGGCTGCTTCAAACTGCAATCCTCCTGATCTCTGCCTCCTGAGTAGCTAGGATTACAGAGCCACTGGAGCCTGGCCTTTTATGCACTTTTTATATGTGATATATTTCTAGTAAAAGAGGTTGAAAAAAAGAAAATCCAAAGGGTTTATTAATGTTTATTTAAAAGTATAACACAATACATGGTGGTTATTCACATATTCTGTTTGCCATTCAGTCTCAAAATAAACACTGGAAGCATATGATAAGAAACGGTTTAATGAAGCATACCATTTATAGGGCAGCTAAATTGGTTATAATATAAAATGTCATAAAAATTAGTAAAAGATGCAAGGTAGGCACATTTTAATACTGATACAATGGTAGTAGCAGCTTTGAACACGTTTATATGATTTTTATAGCTTTCTTTTTTTTTTTGGAAACATGGTTTCACTAAGTTGCCCAGACAGGCCTAGAACTCACAATCCTCCTGCCTCAGCCTTCCAAGTAGCTGGGAGTACAATCACATGCCACTGTCCCTGGCCTAGCATTTTTCTTATGAAAAATATCCCACAAAAAATGCTCAAATAATTTAAATCACACTGATAATAGTATATGAAGTTTTATTAATATTATAGACAGTATATTTGCCCTATAAAGTATTATTCTGTTACAAATATTTAGCTGCTTTGTTGTTGGTGATAATTCCCTTTATTTTTACATAATACAAAAGTAGCTAGCAGGTTTTTAAAAGTTTTTACTAGAAGCAGATATCTCTCTTTACTATCTGCTTCTTTTCATCCATAAATGAGCTGTAAACATAAATGTAGGTCTCCTGAACAGGTCTGCCTCATAAGTGCTAAGCATTGTCCCTAGTCTGCTCTCTAGTCTAATGACTTTCCAACAACACTACTTGGCATCCCAAAGCAGTATTTTCAGTGGAAATATTGGTATTCCTGGGAAATTGCTAAATTATCATTTAAGCATAAAGTAGCTGGAGGATAGTTCAAGGATATCATCTATAGCTGCATACTCAAAACAGAAAGTTCATTTGAAATCTCATGAAGAAGCAGCGATTATGTTTAGTCATGGAATTGCAAAGAAGGACATCAATGCCAAAGATAAATCCTGGGGCTAAAGGTGAAGCTCAGTGGAAGAGCACTTGTCTAGCAAGTTCAAGGCCCTGGATTCCATCCCCAGCAGGGCAAAAAACAAAAAGAAAAAAACCACTGTCGCACCTTCAGTCACACTCACCATAATGGGAATTACCCTTCTTCTATGATACTTAGACACCTATGTGATGGGGATCCTGGCTAAGCTACAATAGTGTTCATTGCTAAGCAGATGCACTTGGCAAACTGGGGGCTCCCAGAAACACTTTGTGACTTTTCAGGGGACTGACTAATAAGGTTGCTAAGTAAAATATATGATGCTTAGTTAAATGTGAATTTCAGAAAAATAATGAATTTGTTTTTTCCGTGCTGGGGATTAAATGTAGAGCCATGTACATGCTAGGCAAGTGCTCCATCACTGAAATATACCCTCGGTCCTTAATAATATTTTAGTATAAGCATGCCCCATTCAGTATTTGAGATACACTTACACTAAAAATTATTTGGGAGTAGGGGGTGGTACCTCAGTCGTAAATATGTGCTTAGCATGTATGAGGCCCTGGGTTCAGTCCCCAGCATGCAAAAAAATTTTTATTTGTTGTTTAATGGGACATATTTATACCTAGAAGTTATTTGTTTCTTATCTGAAATACAAATTTAGTTGGGTGTCTTGTATTCTTATTTGCTAAATCTGACAAATATAGACTGATAAGAAAACAAAATGCAGTAAGCCGTGCATTATTTCTGCTATTGAATACGAGGGCAGGTAAGGATAGGGAACCAGGTCTTACAGTAAGCCTGTCAAGGACCTCAGAGAATCCCTGGCAGGGCACTGTGGAAAACGGAAGGTTCATGTTGAAGTCTTCATGAAATTTTTATTTAGCTATATGCATGTAGAGAGCAGATTAAGTAAGGAACACAGGGGCTGGCAGTGTCGCTCAGTGGTAGAGCACATGTTTAGTATGTGTGGCCCTGTGTTCAATCTCCAGCACCAAACGAACAAACAAATAAACAAAAAAGGAACAAATATCTCAGACTTCAGTGAGCCGGATAGAACTACCTACCTAAGGTGCTAGAAATGATACATTTTCAGTTTTAAGGTCACATTGGCCTTTTTGTTTTCAATTCTTTTGGAAAAGAGTCGTATTTAGATGTGGGATACTCTGTTTTATTTCTACAGAAATAAAATCTGTAGATTTTATTTCTAAAAACCCTGTGAGACGGGGTTTTGCTATGTAGCCCAGGCTGAACTTCAACTTATGATCCTCCTGCCTCAGCCTCCCAAATGCTGGGATGACAGGTGTGCACCACCACACCCAGCTAGAGGGTCTTTTTAATACATCAAGTTTGTAGCAATGAATGTATGAGCCTTATGGGCTGAAATACTTTTATTTTCAGCTAGCTGAGATGAGCAGGGTGAATAAGAACAAGATTAAAATTTTCTTAATATCATAACTGCACCTATACAGTATAGTATATAGTTCAATTTGAACAATCTCTCTACTCTAAATTGAGAAATTATAGGACAGGACAAACACCTCTTCACAAAAAAATCCAAATACTTTTACCACAGTATACATAGACTCCTACATACTCTGATTCTCCAAGTGGAATTATATTAGTATATTTATTCATACTCTACTACATTAAAAGAAGGTCTTGGGTGATTTATTCTGTATATTTTATGGATCACTGCACTGCACGGAGTCAGGCACAGCTGGCATCATTTTATTCATCAATGGTGCTTGTAGAAAGTGGCAGAGTTTGAGTTGGACTTCTAGGATGAGCCAGCTAGGTAAAAGAAAAAGTCACAATTACAATGTGAATTATGTTTCTGTGGCCAAAACAATTTTTCTTCCTCATTAAGAGAACCTTGCTGGTTTTTGCAGAGTAGCATTGCATTCAGATTCTAAGAACCACTTTCCCCAATTTTCCTGATGTACCCAGAAGTTCCTGGATAGGGTGTCTTTAAAGACAACCTTGGTCTTTCTCATTCTCTTTCCTGGAATGTGGAAATAGGGCTTCAGGAAGTGTAGCCATTCTGGACCATGAGGATAAAAAACACACATTAAGGATGGAAAAGCATGATGACATGATGAAACTGCTGAACTACTTGTGAACTTCCTACTTCCCAAAGGAATATGTAGGTAAGAAAAATAAATCCCTATTTGGTTAAGCCACTGTGGTCAAATTACTGTTACCTGTAGCCAGATGCAGAACCAAACTGATACAGTTGCTTCAGAGTTAAAGGAAGTCTAAGCGTTGGGTGGGAAAAGTCATTCTATGTTTAACAACCGTTTTTATTAGGTATCTTCCTACCAAGTAGGTTTTGGTGGCACAACATATGATATAGGTCTTATCTGTAAGTTGTGTTGTTATTGCTCAATATGTGGGCTTATTATTAGTACATTTTTGTCTGTTTCCATATTTCTCAACACATTGTACTAGTTGTGAAGTAGGGCAGGGACAACAAAGACCTTGAACAGAGAAAGGAAGGCGTTATGTCCTTCAGTAAGACCACTTCCCTGTGCTCCTCCCTGTCAGAATTTTTAGTATCACCAAGGAATGTGATGGGGGATGTTTTTTGACTTCTATTGGGTGCTCCAAGAGGAGGAAGGAACCTGGCCACACCTTCAAATAAGGTCATAGAGTGCCCAGAAGGACCAAGATGATTAGAAAGAGCGAAATCAAACTGTCCCACAAAAGATGCAAATTCTTATGTAGAGATCAAAGAGAAGTCCTTTTGAGGTGGAAGAATGTTGGCAGTGGGGTCTGTGGTGTGGTTTTGCTCTAAGAGAGAAGGAATCAAAGTTTTCAAAGCCACAGAGGCTGCAACGCTGGGTCCCAGCATTTCAGCAGGGGTGGCAGAAGATGGCTGCTCTTTTCAGACCCAATGACAGGGGTTATCACATAACTTATATAACAATATTACATAATATATTATATAATAATCATGTATCTTATGAGTAAGACAAACAAGGTTGGAAGATATTAAACCAGAACCAGCTGATGCACTTGCTTTGGGTGTGTGGGTCATACATGCAGGTAACAAAGACAGCTGTCAAAGAACTTTTCCTCTTAACCACACATAGGGTGACTCCTTCATCTTTCACCACTGTCAGACCCCCTCCCTGTGTTGTAGTCACACTGGTCACTTTTAAGTTCCTTGGGTAGGCCATGCCTAGTAAAATGGCACCCTTACACGTTCTGTCCTTTTTGCCTGGAACTTTCTACTCTTTGACATTCAAGAAGTGCCCAGTCCTTCCCAGCTAACACTTTTTCATCTTCCTATTCTTACCTCACATGCAATCACTTTCTAAGGGAAACCTTCCTAAATCATCCAGGCTAGGTCAAGTCCCTCTATGAGTTCCCAAAGCCTTGTTCCTGTCCTTAAACAGCATTTGCTACAGTGCAAAATTATACAGATATGGGATTATTAGATTAATGTCTATTTTCCTCACTGGACTGAAAGCTCCAAGAAAGCAGATCTGTGTCTACCTTTGTGAAACATGGTATTCCTAGCACAGTCCTTTAGCACAGCACCTGCCATATAGGAATTGCTTAATAAATGCTTATTAAAGGAATAGATACAATCAAACATTCATTGATACAGTGGAGAGAATAATCCTAGCTATGTCTCCTTGATATTTTTTTAATTGTTTGAAGCCTAAAAATTAAAGTGCTTTGGAAAGCATAAGATATCATAGAAAAAAATATCATTACAAAAGCTACTTTGAGCATCAACATGTACCTACAGAGCAAAAACAGAAAAGCTCCTTTAGGTTATGATTCTAAATAAATTTGTTTTAATTTTTTAAAAAATTTGAACCTGGGACTGCTCTACTTACTTCTTTTTATTTTTTTTATTTTAAATTTTATTTTATGTTTTTGAGACCCTCCCTTGGGCTGGCCTGGAATTCACTATGTACTCCATGCTAGCCTTGAACTCCTGCTCCTCCTGCCTCAACCTCCCAAATGCTGGGATTATAAGCACGCACCAATACACACTTGACCTAATTAGTTTTTTCCCCCTAAAAGATTACCTGAAACTTTCTCCTCAAGGCCCGGGTCATTACTGGGGTCAGTCCAGTTCCTGTATCCATGTTTTCTTTATTAGTAAGAGGTGTTCCACCTGGGCTCCTACAAAGGTATTGAAAATATTAGAAGCTGTGTTTTATGTCCCCTTTACAAAAGAATTTAAAAAGCATAAAGATAAGAGACTGTATTACCTTTCTACATCGACTTTTCTAAGCAGTTTCCGTAGATCTATCTGGCTTTTACCAGGGGTACTGATGAAATAAAGATAAGAAAATTAGAAATTTCTAGATTTTATCACTTTCCCAAAGCAAAGTAGTCCTTTTTTACAGGCAACCCTAGAAGGCAGTTCTGTTTGTTACATTAAAAAAATAGCAGTAGAAATGGAACCAGTGGCCACACTGTAATCCTAGTATTGTGGCAGGAGATCGAGAGTTGGAGGCCAGACTGGGCTACCTTGTGAGTTCAAGGCCAGCTTGAGCTATATAACAGGACTCTGTCTCAAAAAACAAAGCAAACACACAAAAAAATGAAAAAACTGCAAGGACTGTGGATGTACCTCAGTGGTAGAATACTTGCCTAGACCCTGTGTTTGATTCCTAGCACTGAAAGAAAAGGAAAAACAAAATAGCAGTAGATGCTGATGGGATCATAAGTGATAGCAAATAGCCATTCTAACAGTAAACACTTCTTTATTTTTCTCTTATAGTGGTGCTGGCATTCAAACCAAGGACCTTCCACATCCTAGGTAAGTGCTTTGCCACTGAGTTATATTCCTAGCCCCAAGTAATACTTTTTTTTTTTTTTTTTGTGGTACTGGGGCTTGAACTCAGGGCCTACACCTTGAGCCACTCCACCAGCCCTTTTTTGTGACGGGTTTTTTCAAGATAGGGTCTCTCGAACTATTTGCCTGGGCTTTGAACCATGATCCTCCTGATCTCTGCCTCCTGAGTAGCTAGGATTACAGGTGAGGGCCACCAGTACCTGGCTTCAAGTAATACTTCTTGACTCAGTAATTACATCTGTAAGATTCTGTACTAGGGAAAACTCAGTTCTTCTGAACAAGGACTTTCACTTAAGTGTTAGAGAATGAAAAATTATAAACAAGCTGAAAGTCTCAAAACAGGATTTTATCTATGAAATTTACATGCAATGAACTCTATGTATTAAAGAAGTCAAAATGAGCTGGGTGCAGTGTCTCACACTTATAATCCTAGCTACTCTGGAGGTAGAAATCAGGAGAGTCAAGGTTTGCCAAGGTCAGCCCTGACAAAAAAAACTTAGCAAGATGCCATCTCAATCAATAAGCTGGGTGTGGTGGTACATGTCTATAGTCCCAACTATGAGGGAAACCATAGGTAATAGAATCTGTCTGAGGTCTGCCCTAGGCAAAATCTTGAGACCCTACCTGAAAAATAACTAAAGTAAATAAGGGCTCTGAGTGCAGCTCAAGTGATAGAGTGCCTGCCTAGCAAGCACAAGGCCTTGAGTTCAAACTACAGTACTGCCAAAAAAAAAAAAAAGGTCAAAACGATGACTTAAGCTAATTTTTAATAAGATGGAGAAAAGTTCATGGCATATTAAAAGCTATAACTATGAACAATACGACTACACACGGGCATACATATAGACCCCATATTTCCTTGATTCTAGTTATACTTGCTCTCATATTTTGTTATTTCTGAAATCAGGCTGTTTTAGTAATTCTTGGCAGTACTTCACACAAAATCTGCTAGTAAATCATTCATATATCTTGTAGTAGACAACACCTTCAAATGGAAGCAAAAGAGTAGCATATGTCCCCAAAACAGAGCCTAGAATGATAAAAACCGGTATGTTAGCATGGCTACTGCCAATGACAGGATTATTAACAAACAGGAGGGAAGGAGCTGCTCAGATCAAAGTCAATCACCTGAACTATCTAGGTGATTTTGTTTTCTTCTTTAAGCTTTTCTGTAGATTTTAATTTTTCTTTTTTTTGTGGGTACTGAGATTTGAACTCAGGGTCTCATGCTTATTAGGAAAGTGCTCTACCACTTGAGTCACCAGCCCTTTTTGTGTTGGGTATTTTTGAGACAGAGTCTCACAAACTGTTTTTGGGGGTGGCTTTAAGCCGTGATCCTCCTGATCAGCTAGGATTACAGGTGTGAGCCACTGGTACCTGGCCTTATTTTTCTATATGAGCACATATAACTTTTAAAGTTACAAATAAAAAAATCATTGTTTTAAATAGCAGTGGAGTATAACACTGTGATGTTCCTTACATTAGGACATTTGTAACTCGTGTTGATAACACTTTGGGGTTAGGCTTCAGGGTAACATGCTGCAGGTCGGAGACAGTAACTAGTGGATTTCGTTCCTTTGGTGATGGTATAAGCTTTAATCACAAAAAGAGACATCATGAAAAACACATTTTAAAATATCATTTAAAATGTAAACATCAGCAAATTTGAGTGCTAAGTATGTGCAAAACATATTCACTATGTTTCACTCAATTTTTACTTCAAAGCTTCAAAGTATGTCTCTACCTCTTTAGACCAATGGTTGGTAGATAAAATTGCTTATGCAAATAACTTTAGGATGTATATATTCTGTTGAGGAGATCCAAAACCAATATAATTAAACATGAAATATTTAACTTGGTATGACTTCTATCCATCAGGTATATGCTTATTTTCCATAAAGGAACAACAAGGTTAGAAGCAGAAAGGCCATGTACGTAGTCGCTGACATCTTACCTTCCTCCTTTCGTCAATACTCTGTGTCTTCTTTAATTTTACAGTTAGTAGATCTTTAACTGTTATATGCATGGGTCCATCTTTTTTTAATGGTCCTGCCTTAAAATACATGGAGAGGTGAGAGTTCAAAGTAGGATGAGGACATCGCTGGTGGGAACATAAACTGGCAGAACTTTCTGAAAATAACTTGACCACATCTACCAACTATTTAAAATGCACATAACCTTGATGGTGAAATGCAAACCCAAATCTAGTTTATTAAAGATTTACTCTTTTTGTTTTTGTTTTTTGTATTTTTGAGACTACATGAACCTTATCATGCAGTCCAGGCTGGCCTTCAACTATGTTGTACAGACTGACTTTGAACTCTTGATCCTCCTGCCTCAGCCTCCTGAGTGCTGGGATTATGGGTATGTACTACCACCATGTGCCCAGCTTAAAAGTTAACTCTTACTTAGCCTAGGAACCTATCAAATTCTTTCCACTCAAGGAAGAATGATCCTGTTTCCTTTTCTTTCTTCTTCTTCTTTTATTTTTTTCAGTACTGGGGTTTGAACTCAGGGCCTACACCTTGAGCCACTCCACCAGCCCTTTTTTGTGAAGGGCTTTTTTTGGGAACTATTTTCCTGGGTTGGCTTTGAGCCTTGATCCTCTAACCTTTGCCTCCTGAGTAGCTAGGATTATAGGCATGAGCCACCGGCACTCAGCTGGCCTCAAACTTTTGGGTTTAAGTGATCCTCCTGCTTCAGCTTCCTGAGTAGTTGGGACTATAAGCACATGCCACCACACAGCTAAGTTAGCTTTTTTAGAGTTAGTGCAGTTTTTTGGTTTTGTTTTATTTTTTTTGGTGGTGGTACTGGATTTTAAACTCAGGGCCTCAACACACACGTACAGGAAATTAATGTGAGTCAACTCCCTGTATAGCTATCCTTATCTCAACCAGGAACACTTGTTCCTTCCTATTATTGCCTATACTCTCTCTTCAACAAAATCAGAGATAAGGGCAAAATAGTTTATGCTGGGTATTGAGGGGGTGGGGGGGGGGAGGGGGCGGAGTGGGTGGTAAGGGAGGGGGTGGGGGCGGGGGGGAGAAATGACCCAAGCCTTGTATGCACATATGAATAATAAAACAAAACAAAACAAAACAAAAAATAAATAAATAAACTCAGGACCTCACACTTGCTAGGCAGGTGCTATACAGCTTGAGCTACTCCACCAGTCCTGTTTGTTTCATTTTTTATTGTTTTCTTCACAGCCTCTAGAACCAAGTTGTTTTTTTCTGGGAGGAGGGTGGTACAGTGCTAGGGATGGAACCCAAGTCCTTGTGCATGCTAAGCAAGCACTCTAACATTGAGCTACATCCCCAGCCCTTATTTTAGCTATTTTAAACCACATGTGTCTAGTGAAAATTTAGCAGATTTTAAAACAGGGTCATGCCTATCTTTGTGATCCACAAATATTCTGGTCCCCTTGAAAGATAAGTAACTGTAATTGATTCTCTAGCCTTAATGACATTAAACATAAGAATTCACCAACTCAGCTGGGCATGGTGGTACACGTTTGTAACCCCAACACTTGAGAGGTAGAGCCAGGAGGATCATAAATTCAAGACCAGCCTAGGTCATGTATTGAGACCCTATCTCAAAAAAACCCAAATAATCTATCAACTCCTGTTTCTTTCTTGTTCTTGATATTGTTTTGTAGTAGTGGGGATTGAACTCAGAGCTTTGCCCTTGCTCTACCAGTAGAGCCATACCCCTACTCCTTTTAGTTTGATATAGCAGATGGGGTTTCACACTTGGTGGGCTGATATATCTCCATTTCCAGAGTCTGGGATTATAATTGTGCACCACTACACCCAATTCTTCCACCAACTCTTTTTCCTCATAACTCTTTTGTTTTTTTGGTACTGAGGACTGAGCCTAGGACCTTGCACATGCTAGGCAGGTGCATTATCACTGAACTATATCCCAGTCCCTACTAATTTTTTTTGTTCTAGCCTCAATCACTTAGTAATTTTCTGTTCTTAATTTGGTTTCCTAGAGAGGTTTTTCTTTTAGTAAAAAGATTATCTGAGTAAAGCCTTGAGTTTAAACCCCAGTGCTAAAACAAAACAATACTTTGAGAAGCCAATAGGAGTCATCTACTTTTACTCATTTACCCTTAAAAAAATTAACTTTCATTTCTAAGTGCAGCTTTTAAAAGTTCTCCGGGGAGTGTTTTTTAAAAATACAACAATTAAGTGAGGTAGAAGGATCACTTGAGTCCATCAGTTCAAGACCAGCCTGAGCGACATAGTGAGACCTTACCTCCAAAACAATGACAACAACAAAAAACTGAAAATAAAAACACAATAATTAACATAATTAAGATATGAATTCAGATCAAAATATAGCCTTCTATCTAAGCCTTTATTCCAGTCTTAAAAGATCACTTGGGTTTACTCTGATATGCTGATCAAAAAACACTATTACTAGATTGTTTCCTACCTGAAGTTCTTTAGTAGGACCGGATTTTCTGAGCAGCAAAGGTGCTAGTGGTGGTGGAGGAGGAGGCAGAGGAGGAGGTGGAGGGGGTGGAGGTGGGGGTGGAGGAAGATGAAGATGGCTGGTTGGTGCTGCCAGTGTGAGAGGAAGGATAGCACCAGATTCTCCAGGGGTGCTTACAGCACAGGCAGGCACATTTGTAAGTTTACCACTCTTGCAACACAAATGACCACAGCTTGGACAAGAAGAACTTTCTGAGACAGTCTGGAAGAAGATATTACATTTGGCAAATGAACAACAGGTTAACTTGGTTCTTGTGGCTGAAAGTCATGAAAACAATAGTTACCATATATGGAATGTGTTCTCATTGGACCATGTGCTTGGTAATATTCTCATTTTATTACCCCAACTTTCTTCATTTCATTCATTCATTCATTCATTCATTTTGCACATATATGACAGGCATTCTGTACAATATGAGCCCTGTCTGAGACTTCAAAGTGAGACATTAAACATACATAAACACACTCAAAACAAACAAACAAACAAAAACCCAAACCAAAACTACTTCAGAAAGAGCAATGAAGTTTGTTCTAAGCTTGAACAGCTAGAGTCTTAGGGAGTGACATTTCACTTAGCCTATAATCTAAAGAATGAATTGAGACTTACCAGGTGAAGGGAGATGAGGATGGAGGGAGGAGTTCCTTACAGAGGTAAAAATACTTAATCAGTCAAGAACATAGTACATTCAAAGTATCGATTAAAAAGGTCAAGGGGCAGAAACATTACTGTTAGGGGCTAAATTATGTCCCAAAATTTATATGTTGATATTTTAACATCTAGTACCTCAAAACATGAGTGTATTTGGAGATAAATATGTGATGAAGTTAAAATAAGGCCATTAGGGTGAGTCTTAATCCAATCTACTTGGTGTTCTGTATAAGAGGAAATGACAACAGGGATGTGCTCACAGAGAGGACAGATTATGTAAGGATACAGCAAAGGTGGCCATTTGCAAGCCAAAGAGAGCAGCTCTTCTGAGGAAACAACCTTGCTGACACTTTGATTTCAAGACTTCTTGCTTCCAGAACTGCAACTTGCTCCCATTTCTGTTGTATAAGCCATCTAGCCTGTGGTATTTTGTTATAGCAGCCGTAGCAAACAAATACAACAACCATATGAAATAATATGGTGTATTCCTGAGGTTTTTATAGTAAATTATCACTAACTTGTTGGCTCAAAAAACAATTTAAATTCATTTTTTATAGTGATGCAGGCTGGAAATCTGAAATCAGGATGTTAGCCAAGCTGAACTCCCTCCTAAGGCTCTTCCAACTTCTGGGCATTGTCAGCATTCCTTGGTTTGTAGCCTCATCACTTTAATTTCTTGGCTCTGTGGTGAATTCTCTTCTGTGTATCCCTCTTACAAAACATTTGTCATTGGATTTAGGGGCCATCCAGATAATTCAAAAAGATCTTATCTTCAAATCCTTAACTAAAGAGACTCTTCTTCCCAACCAAGGTAATATTTAAAGGGAACCAGGACTTAAATTATATCTTTTTGGAGGCCACCATCCAGTCAGCCATCTATAGATGTTATAATTTCCATTTTAATTAATTAATTAATTTTGAGGCAGGGCCTCACTATGAACCAGGCTGGCTAGAACTCATGATCTCCTGCTCAATCTCCCAAGTGCTAGGATTATAGGCGTGTACTACCATATCCGGCAGTATGCTCATTTTATAGACAGGGAAACTAAGGTCCAGAGGACTGAGATGACTTGCCTTTTCCTCCTTTGGCTAGTTTATCTTGAAGTCCAAATTCTCAGAGCAGAGGTGGAATCCTAAAAGCTTTTCTCCAGATCAATGATCACAATGTTGAGTCATTGAGAATAGAGACCTTGCTTAGGGGAGTTTGGAACAGATATTTATAGTTCGTTTCCTGCATGCATTAGTCAGGATAATTGAAACCACTCTGAGTGTTTAAAAGAGGGGAAGAGGCTAGGGGGTGTAGCTCAGTGATAGAGCACTTGCCTAGCATGCATGAGGTTTAGAGTTTGATCCCTAGCACTGCACACACACCACACACACACACACACACACACACACACACACACACACACACACACAAATGGTTCATTTGAACTACTTCTAGTCACCAGCAGACTACTCTGACAAGGAAATTATAAAATTGTAGGAATTCAAAATAACAAATTTACTTCTAGAATCCAAATCTCAGTTGATCAATTAATTATGTTGTATGTTTTAAAAATTATTTTCCTCAAGTAGTAGAATGCCTGCCTAGCAAGTGTGATACCCTGAGTTCAAATCCCAGTGCTGCAAAAATAAATGAATAAATAAATAAATAAAATACTGTTTTCTACATTTGTTATTGAATAGGTATTATATACACAAGCACAAAACTCAGAAAATGCGAAAGAATACACAGTAACAAAGCAAGTCCCTTCCCAGCTCTGACCCAAGCTGTGCCTTCACAAAGGCAGACCATGTCAGCAGTTTCCTGTGTTCTGGGGTGGGAACGTTTTCTGTTTTCCTCCCCATTTTCTAGGACCTTAGAGGCTTTACCAATAGATCACATCTCAGAGCTCCATGGCTATGTAGCTTGTACCTGAAAATCAGAGTAGGGGAGGGGAGGCCCTACAGAGGCTCTCTGCAGGCTTCCGGGATTTCTCAAGGGAAACTTCTGCTCTTGGCAGCTCTCCCAGTTCTGATAAACTCTCACTCCTCTATGCTTTCGGGCCTACAGTGGTAAAGAAGCTCTGTTGTTGCAAGTCCCAGAGTATTACTTGATCACTTGTTTTTCTATATCCTGTCCACACCTTTTATTAAGCACTCAGTTTTCTCTTTTTTTGAGATCCAACCCAGGGCAACCACTGAGCTACATCCCCATTCCAAATGCATTCTTTGCATCTACAGGCATATGAGTACAGACACATGCATAGAATTCTTACGTACATGTTGCCACGTATGATTAAAAAGTGTATATGTTTAAGTATATATGTATATAGTTTTCTAGAAGTATATTTTAAGTATATATATATATATATATATATATATATATATATATATATATATATAAAGGCTTTTTAGATTGACTTTGGTTAATTAATTAATTAAATTGAGACAAGGGTCTTGCTAAGTTCAGGCTATCCTTAAACTCAAGTTATCTTTCTGTTTAAGCCTGCCTAGCAGCTGGGAGGTTGCCTATAGGCATGTACCCTATGACCAGCTAAAAAATTGTGTGTGTATATATATATATATATATATATATATATATACATATATGTATGTATATGTATATATATCTATACACATATATATGTATACCTGTCTTAATTGTATATGGAACCACCCTATAAATGCTGTTCTGCCTGTATGTCTACATTTAATTTAATGCTGTATACTTGAGACCACACTTCTTTAGTGCAGGTGGAACCACCTCATTCTTCCTATCAGCTTCACAGCATCCCACTGCACGAATTGATTTTAGCAGTGCTAGGTATCAAACTCAGGGCCTTGCCAATGCCAGGCAAGCACACTCTACTGCTGAGCTACACCCCCAGCCAATTGAAGTTTATTTAATTAAACCCATATTGCTTGACATTTACTTAGAAATTTTTTGCAATTTCAAATCACAAATCAATACATAAATTTGTATATATGTATAAAATTTGGTTACATAAATGGATTAAAACTTTTTCTGAGAGACATGACTTAATTGTAGCCCATACAAGTTTTTATAATTTATGCTTTTTGCAGCAATGTGAGAGAGCGTTCATTATTATTATTTTTTTTTTTTGGTGATACTGGGGTTTGAACTTGGGTCCTTGTACATTGCCGCCCCCAGCCAATTGAAGTTATTTTTAATTAAACCCATATTGCTTGACATTTACTTAGAAATTTTTTGCAATTTCAAATCACAAATCAATACATAAATTTGTATATATGTATAAAATTTGGTTACATAAATGGATTAAAACTTTTTCTGAGAGACATGACTTAATTGTAGCCCATACAAGTTTTTATAATTTATGCTTTTTGCAGCAATGTGAGAGAGCGTTCATTATTATTATTATTTTTTTTTTTGGTGATACTGGGGTTTGAACTTGGGTCCTTGTACATGCCAAACAAACGCTCTACTACTTGGGCCGCATGCCTAGCCTTTGGTTTTTTTTTGTTTGTTTGTTTTGCTAATATGACAGGTTAAAAATGTTACTCTGAAGCTCATTTTGCATTTTTGTTTTGTGTGTGGCAAAGACTACTAATTGTGTCCCAATACACATTTTTGCCTTCCTTAGTAATAGGACCCCAGCGAGCTCCTTTGGCCTGCTGTTTGAGAACATTGTAGAACTCATATTCTAATTCTAGATTTTTTTTTTTTTAATTTGGCAATACTAACCTTCATTGTTTCTTGGAGCTTGCAAAACTCACTTTCCAAAAGGCAAAATTGTTGTTTTAGACTATGAAGTTCTTGGTGGTAGATTCGAGATGGAAAGATGGTATCTTTCAATACTTCTAAACTCTGAAATTCGTAAGTAAAAACAGTCTGAATCATATAAGCAATATGATAAAGAACAGAAAAAAAGGAAAAAGAAAGTGATTTGATGTGTCTTTTTTTTTTTCTTTCTTTTTTTGAGACAGTGCCTCAATAAGTAGTCCAATTCTCCTGACTCTGCCTCTGAAGTGCTGGGATCACAGGCATGTGCCACCACACCTGTCTTGACGTTTGTCTTATAGAAGCAAAGGCAGAACATGACCCCATGAACTCATTTTTATCCAAGTTAGCCTGAGTGTTATGCTAATCTAAAGCATATTCACACATGAACACAAATACCAAGTGTCAAAAAACCAGATGGCTAGCTGGGTGGCGGTGGCTCAAGCCTGTAATCCTAGCTACTCATGAGGAAGAAATCAGGAGGCTCGAAGTTCAAAGCCAGCCCAGGTAAATAGGTCACGAGACCCTATTTCAAAAAACCCTTCACAAAAAAGGGCTGGTGGAGTGGCTTAAGGTGAAGGCCCTGAGTTCAAACCCCAGTACCTCAAAACAAACAAACAAACAAACAAAAAAACCAGATGGCTGAAAACAGGTATGTCAAACCCATACCTGGACTACACAGCTCTGGCACCAGCTGTATATACACCATGCTCTATTTGTCCAAAGTTTTATTGCATCTTTGATGTTGAGAAATCTGAATTTCCAAGATGGTCTCAGCCAGTTTCTGCTTTGGAGTGTATCTGTTGAAGAAGTAATTACCCTGTAGAAAAAAACAAAATTAAACAAATCAAAAATCTCTTAGAAGAATAGCCTCTAGTTAAATTAAAAGCTGATTTTATTTATTTTGACTTTATTATTTTATTGCTGGGAACTGAATGATATGGCTTATGCTAAGAACACAAGCTACCATAAAACCACCTCCAACCTCCAAAAGCTGGCTTTATTGTGTGACTTACAAGCAGGGACTTCCTGAATCTATGAACAACATAGATTCAAAAAGAACCTTGTCTTCATGGAGTTTATGTCTCATGGGGGAAGAAAGGTAAAAGTAAGCAAATAAGTAAGTAAACAGTAAATGTGGATTGCTAGGTAGTGAATAAATGCAAAGGAGAGAAAGATAAAAAGAGAGAAAGATAAAATGTAGGTTGGGGTTAAATTTCAGGTAGAAAAACCAAGGAGAGTTTTGCTGAGCAGGTAACTTTTGAGTAAAAAACTGAAGGAAGCTAACAACCAAATAGCTGAGAAAAGAGCATTCAGAGGCTGGCAATAGTAAGTACAAAGGCCCTGAGGTAGAAGTTTTTGTGATGTGTTCTAAGAATACTTAGGAGGCCAGGATAACTAAATAGAGAGACTGAAGGGAAAGAGATTAGGAAATAATGTCAAAGTTACCTCATAAAAGTCTGCTGGGTCATACTACAGACTTTATTTTTTACACTGAGAGAGTAATACCTTGGAGATTCTTTCCCCCTCTCTTTCATGTATTATTTCATGTACATATTTTAGTGCTGTATCTAAAAAGTAGTTGCCACCAGGTGTGGTAATGCATTCCTATAATCCCAGTACTTAGGAGGCTCAAACAGGAGGATCATGAGTTAAAGTCAGCTGGGGCCACATGTAAGTTCGAGGATGGCCTGGGTTATATAGTGAGACCCTGTCTCAAACAAAGAAACAAAAAAGTAATTACAAAACTTAAGGCATATTTTAGTATATTTGTATTAGAATAAACAAGTTTAAGTTAGCAATAGAGTACTATTATGTCTAAGCCACAGGTAGAATTTTGGTTATAAAACTGAAAATTGTTCAAGGGGTGGGGGTTATAGTTCAAATGGTAGAGCTTCTGCCTAGCAAGCAGAATGCCCTGAGTTTAAACCCTAGTACCACCAAAAAAAAAAAAAGAGGAAAATTGTTCCAATTCAACATACAAAACAAATATATTTGACTTATTGATACTTTTCATTCATATTTGATATGCTTGGCTATGTGCTTTTTTAAAAAGTATATAGTTGGTAGTTCATGTAACAACTGAAAAGAATTATATGACTGAAAATAAATAGAACGAATTAAATGCCTGGAGAAATCTCTTACTTTCATACAGAGGAGAAAAATGGCATGACTTTGATAGGCTTACACTGGGCCAGGCATGGAGGTGTACCCTGTATTCTCAGCTACTAGGGAGTAGTAAACAGGAGGATTGAGGTCCAAGTCTGGCCCAGGCAAAAACAAACTGAAAGCAAGAGGGCTGGGCATGTTGTTGAAGTGGAAGAGTTACTTGCCTAGCACACATTAGGTCTTGAGTTCAATCCCTAGTTCTGGGGGAAAAAAAGGCTCAAACAGACTATAGTATTCCGAATACACAGCAGAGAGAGCAGGGAGAGAAGTAGGAAGATCAGTTAGGAGACTTTTACAGTAATTGGAAGACAGAAAATAGTCAAAAATGGGATCATTGTAGTTACTGCTTTTCTTTTTTCTTTTCTTTCCTTTTTTTTTTTTTTTTTTTGGTGGTGGTACTGGGGTTTGAACTTAGGGCTTCACCTCTTCAGCCATAGTGCAAATGGTTACTGCTTTTTGAGGATCTGTTTTTTTTGTTTGTTTGTTTGTTTTGTTTTTAAATCTTATAAAAGAGAGGTATAAGGCTGAGGATGTAGCTCAGTGGTAGAAGGCATGCATGCATGAAGTTGTAGGTTCAATCCTCAGCCCTACGAAAAATAAAATCAAATGGAATTATAACAACAAAGAAGTATACATAAAGTATAAATTATTGTAAAAATCAGCACCCTACAATTCCTATAATTCAATAGGCTCTATTAATAGCACATTTCACTTAGGAGCCCCAGAGAATACATGACCAAACTTTACCAACTTGATTTAAACTCTAGTCCTACATCGCTTTTTTATCACTGAGTTCTAGCTTTATACAATTAAATTCACCTGGAAAAAAGAAAACAGTTATTTTGCTCTTGAACACAATCCCTTGTGCTTCTCACTTCATTTAAACTCTTAAATCATGTTTTCCATGTAAAATTCAGGATGTATATAGGGGCTGCTAGAATGGTTCAAGGGGTAGAGCTCCTGTTTAGCAAGCATAAGACCCGGAATTCAAACCCCAGTACCACCAAAAAAAAAAAAAAAATTCAGAATGTCCAATTTGAAGTTAATTTCAGATGAAGGAGGGATAATTTTATTTATTTTATTTATTTTTTGCAGTACTGGGGTTTGAACTCAGGGCCTACACCTTGAGACACTCTACCAGCCTTTTTCTTTTGTGTGATGGGTTTTTTCGAGATAGGGTCTTGTGAACTGTTTGCCTGGGCTGGTTTTCAACCATGATCCTCCTGATCTCTTCCTCCTGAGTAGCTAGGATTACAGGTGTGAGCCTCTGGTGCTTGGCTTAGGAGGAATAATTTTAGTATGTTCCAAATATTACACAGGGCATACTCAATATTAAAAATTACTCACTGTGTAGCTGAAATCCCATTTGACTGCATAGTCTCTATCTTCACTTGCTAAAGCTGGTACCTCTAGCCTAAGCTGATCAGATTTGACATTTTCTCTAAGATACATTATGCCTTACCTTTCTGGTGAGGGTGGTGGAGGCGGAGGTGTAATTAGCTTCTGTTGGAAGTGAGAGGCTTCTTTCTTCTTGGATAATCCTTTGGCTTTGGCTTTTAGCTTTCTTCTTCGTTGTTTGAATTTGGGCATGATTTCTGCAGAGAAATTTTTTAAAATATTTTTATTGAAGAACTATATATATAAGTAACGTAAGTGTACAAACCTTATAGTTCAATGAATTACTATACAATAACTCTTATACACACATGTGAGCATCACTACCTTGACTGATTAAAAAAAAATTAATGCTTTGTTTTTCTTCTTTCCTTTCTTTCTCCCTCACCTTTCTTTTTTTCTTCTACCACCTTGGTTAAGAAATAAGTGTGGGGTGTGTGTGTGTGAGGAGAATGATGGTGGGGATGAATCTAACCAAGGTACATACAGCCTATTTAGAAATTTCACAGTGAAACCCCCGTACAACTAATATATGCTAACAAAACTACTGAAGAAAAAGAAAAAAATAAGTCACAGTTGGACGTGGTAATACACATGTATAATCCCAGCACTTGAGAGGTGGAGAAAGAAGAATCATAAGTTTTCTGCCGGTCTGGGACCGGCAGTAAGACCCTGTCTCAAAAAGCAAAAACAAAACCAATCAAACAACAACAAAAAGTTATTACCAGCATTCTAGATGGCCCTAAAGTGGAAGAAAATGTAAACCCAGATTTAAGTTATGTTTGGAGAGATCTTTGCCATGGCATTACATTACTCTGACTTTGGTTGGCTTGTGTTGCTTTCCTTCACTAAGTCGAATGAACAGAGAAAATGGTTGAAGGTGGGTTATGGTTAGAAATTAAAAAAAGATGTTTCTATGCCGGCAGCATTTACTGAGCATGCACTATGATGGGCAGATATGGTAGTAAAAGGAGGAAGCATTATTTTTTGGATGCCTCTCTACTTTTAGGGATTGTTGGGTCTGGGAACCTAAAGGAATGATGAGTGAGGAGGAGATGCAGGGTCTCATAAATTTGCCACAGGACTGATAAACAAAATGCTCTCAAGATTGTTCCCGCCCCCCACAATAAGGGGCAAACAGTCCAGCTCATCTAAGAGAGCCTGAAAATCCATGGCCAATGGAAAGAGCCCACTTAATCCCTACCCTAACCCAGAGTTAAAGCATCCATAAAAAGCCTTCACCTGAGCAGGGAGCCACTGGTTTCCAGGCTCCACTGCACTGCTCTAGCCTGTAGCCTTTCCTTTCTCTCTAGTAAATCCTACTTCATGTACCAGCCTTGGCTCACAAGTCAATCAGCTGCCTCATGAGCCAGTTCTCTGGCCTGTAAAGGCAAGGACTCTTGACACCGGCCCACGATATTTTCACACCAGCACATTACAGCATCATGTACACATTTTCTCAGTTAATCTTCACTATCCCAAAAGGTATTATCCCTGACAAAGAGGATTTTTATTCCCATTTTTATACAAGAATAAACTGAGGGTTAGAAAGTTAGAAGATGTGCACAATGTAATACAATGAACTGTAAATGCCCTACTCTGTCAGTCTTCAAAGACTATGTTCTTACAATAAACTATGGGACAATGGTAGTTTAATTAGGTGATATATAACGAAATAACAATTACCCCAAACCTAAGATGTGTTTTACAATAATTATTTTGAAGCATTTAAAAATATTATCTAGTATATTTATATTTTAATCCATCTCCTTTTCTGAAGAGAGCTAGTTTGAGCTGAAGCTCCAGAAGGGCTTTGCTGGTTTTAGTTGTTGCTACCTGAGGAACAAAAGATGTTGCCATTCAAGTAGCAGAAGTGAAAATGGTTTCAAGTCCCTGGCCTCCTTCCCTTCACACTTAGATTTGAATAGGAACAATCGGCCTTTAAAATACACATTCATTCCCCTTCTGCTCACTCTGTAACCTTTCAGCACTTGGTATGCTGATCTACGCTTGCTCAGTTCTCACATTCTCCTGGCTGAAGAATATCTCCCTACTGAGAAGTGTCTGGATTTCAACAGTTTTGACTTGTAGAGGCTATTAGGCAAGAAGTAAAGATTCTTGATAGCATCTTACTGGACCAATTATCAGGTTGTAATTTAACAGAATGCTTCAATGCTTCCTTTTTTCCTTCTTTTCACTTCCTATCCCTCCCCTCATTTCCCCTTCCCTACCTTTCCTGGAGGTTTTAGAGACACATCAAAAAATAGTTGGTTGACTGGAAGCCAGGGGGTAGAGGGGGAGAGGGAGGGGGACGGAGGGGAAGGGGGGAGAAATGACCCAAACATTTTATGTACATATGAATAAAAAAAATAGTTGGTTGACTTTACCTTTAGTATATCATTTTTTTTCTTGCTAAAGTAATGAAGAAAGGCTAAACAGGGATTATTAAACACAACAGATGTCTGAAGGATTAATTGGTTTCTTTTAAACTTAATAAAATAGCATTGAACAATTCTTTTTTCTGTGCTGGGGATCAAGTATGCAAGGCAAGAGCTCTATCACTAACCTACATCCCCAGACCTACAAAAATATTCTGAATGAAGATATATAGGGGAGCCTCCCAGGAAATAGCAATTTTGTAGTTGCCTTGAAGAGGTTAAGTCTCACCGAATCTATGCCGAGTACCTCATGTCGAGAAATGTCACCGGAGACCTCTATCCAAGATCCAGAGTCCACTGTTGGACTAAGACTTCCATGGCAACCTCCAGTTCCTTGGCTTCTATCTGCCCTTCCACAGCCCCTCCCTTTCTCCCCTTGATGTTTTTCTTAGGGATCATACTGGCCCATAGTACAAGCCTCCTGTCCTTTTTTCCTTTATTATTAAACCTTTATTTTATTTTATTTTTGCGGCACTGGGGTTTGAACTCAGTGACTGGGTTTGAAGAGTGTTTGCTAGGCAGGCACTCTTACTGCTTGAGCCACTCCACCAGTCCTTTTTTGTGATAGGTTTTTTTTGAGATAGGGTCTCACAAACTATTCACCTGGGGATGGCTTTGAACCATGATCCTTCTGATCTCTGTCTCTTAAGTAGCTAGGATTATAGGCATGAGCCAGGGGTGCCCAGCTTTAAACCTTAATTATTAAGCTAGACTTTTAAAAAGGACCTGAGTGAGACTGGCAGTATGAATCAAATGGTAGCAAGCATGCCTAGCAAACATGAGGCCTTGAGTTCAAGCCCCAGTTACTCAACAACTCCCACCCTCCCCCCTAAAAAAAAAAGGTCTGGATTTTCTACTAAAACTTTGTGGATTCATTCTGAAAGAGATTCTGTGTTGACCATACTTTAGTCAAGCTTCTGAATCTTTTCCTAAGCCCATCTGTGCAATCTTTGTAAAAGTTAATTTTAGCCAAAGCTAAATCAGTTTAGCAAGAACCAATCCCAGTATGTTTCAGGTTCCTTATCTTCCACTATCGCCCAGGTGATGTCAGATTATGCTGGCCTGTCTTCAGCAAGAATCTTATTTAGTGTGGTTAGGCAGAATCCACCTTACCCATGATGTTTCTGCTTAGTAATTTTTTTCACTCTACTAACCTTTCTCTTCGTCTCTAAATTTCCATTTGCCTTTGGAGTTCCAAATACAATACAATTCTATTGTATTTGGAGTTGAAGCCAATCTCTCTCCCGCACTGCAAAATCCCACTGCAGTGGTCCCTATACCTACTGAAATACCCCTGAATCCAGTCTTTCTTACTATGCTTTCACAAGTATAATTGATTAATTTATTTCTTTAACAATTCTAGGGGCATGAGGTAAAGCACTTGTCTAGCACGTGCAAAGCCCTGGATTTGATTCCTAGCACTAAAAAAAAAGAAATGAAAAAAACTATTCAAAACTTAGCTCCTACAGTACTTTGCAGTCCCATATTTTCTGGTGACTAGTAATTTGTATGTCAGTTATACTAAACACCAAATACTTTCTATAGTGTTATCTTTGGCATATCCTCCAGGTCATCGAATAGCTAGCCTTCAACATTCTGTTACTTTTTTTTCTTTTTTTGGTGGGACTGGGGTTTGAACTCAGGGTTTACCGGTTGCATAGCAGGTACTCTACTACTTGAGTCAAGCCTCCAGTCTATTTTGCTCTGGTTATTTTGGAGATGGAGGTCTTGCAAAACCTATTTGCCCGAGCTGGCCTCAAACATCAATCCTCCAGATCTCAGTCTCCTTATAAGTGGGAGCCAGTGACACCCACCAAGATTTTGTTACTTTTATATTACAGATCTTAGCTGAGTGTTTAAAATCTACCAGGTAGGTGCTGATACATAGTTCTGAACAAGACCAACATAGTTTTTGTCCTTATGGAATTTTACTGACTGAAATGTCATCTGTTTTGTGCTTCCATACCACTTTATACATACCTTTCTTATAAAATTTAGTACATTTAATTTTAGTTTCCTTTTTTGCACCCTCCTTGGACCATGAGATTTTCAAGGATAGGATAAATTTTGTTCATCTTTGTTTCCCAGCACCTAGGCATTACATAATGTTTCATCTAATAAATTAATGAAATAAAGCATTCCTTTTAAATGCCAGTAAGTGTCCTCTCTCTCTCTCTCTCTGTCTTTCTTTCTTTTTTTTTTTTTTGGTGGCACTGGGGTTTGAACTCAAGGCCTCACATTTGCTACACAAGCACTATTACTGCTTGAGTCACTCTGCAGCCCAGTGTCCTCTCTTTTAGTTAAGGGCTATGCTTTAATATAATTACATGCTGGAAATCTCTTGGTTAGGGAAGTTTTTAGCTCTTCAAATCCTTCCACATCTTCATGGTTAAAGGAGTCCAAACTTTTTGAGTAGGAAGATGCAATAAATAATAGAATATGAATTATAATCTTGTGCAGGAGTTAGCACTGCTGCTTCCATTAAAACTCCATCTGTTATATGAAAAGTTCTTTGGTCAGGGACAGTTCCAAAGCTGTGTCAGCGATGAAAATGACAATTGCCTTGCATTACCATATTGCTAAAACACATTTTTATGGAGCTCTCTTACACGCCCCTAAAAAATCCCTTCAACCAATTCAGTTTCCGTTACCAATTCAATTGGTTCATCTTGAACACCATAACACTGTTACTGGCACTTGCGTATATTTAACTATACGTTTTATGCATGGTAGCATTGCTTTTTTTTTTTAAGCTCCTGTCTTATTTCTCAAAGGAGATCACAGGTTTCTGAAGTCTCGTTCAGCACAGTATTGGGCATATGGTAAAAAGGGAACACTTAAGAAATTGACACTCTTAGAATGTCGGACGATGCGTAGGCTCCACCAAAGAATATTGTAATACTCCCGGTCATAAGTGTACCGTCTCAGGTTTAATGCGAATAAGAATTTCGGGAGGGGATCTTAATAAAACGCACTCAGTAGCAAGATGGGTGGAGCCCTACAATTTGCATCTGTAATAGCGACCTAATAATGCCAATGCCGCTAGTCTGTAAACTCAATGAGCAGCAAAGAAGTAAAGGGAGCAGAAGGAAAGGTAGATGCTTTGTTCCAAAACGTATTTTGCGGAATGTTCTTTAAATAAAAGTATGGTTCGAAAGCCCCAAGCCTTCCAGTTTCTACTCCCTCTACCCTCCGAAGTCCCCACCTCCTTAAGCCATAAGAACCCAAGCATTAATAGGCTCAGCGACGGCCGACGCGAGTCCAGGTAACAAAGAAAGAATCGACCCTGCACTTACTAGTCCTAGAGCCTGGGGATTAGATGGAGTCCCGGCAGTGTCTTCTTCCAACGCCGTAAAGAAAAATTCAAAATTAAATCCTTGTCATGGAGGAACCAATCGTAGACATGGACTCTACACGATTCGTTCTTCGGGTAGCGTAGAACAACAGCCTGGCTAATGATTGGCTGAGAGGACATCACGAGCTGGCCAATCAGAGATGAGGCGCATCTGGTATGAATAAAGAGAAGGATGGCGAGAAGGGGAGGGGTCGCCCTAGAGGAAAGAAGGTGTGTCACAGCCCCGCAGTCGATGGAAGCTTTTGTGTTATTGGCTGGTTCTTCTTCGGATTGCACCAATTCAAACTCTTTTTAGCTGAGTCCTAACTATGAAATTGAAAGTAGAGGAGAGAGGGCAGCCAATGGAAAAAAGTATATATTCAGCAGCCAATCCTTCTGCGGCGTTTTGTGTTTTTGCCCAACAGGAAAATGTGTTTCATAAGGGTGGGCGTTGCCCATTCGTTAAGGGGCGGGCACCAGTGAATCAGAGGAGCCAATGAGTGAGAGATGTTGAGTGACAGCTGTCCAATAGAGACCCTCAGTGCTAGTACGGCTTGCAGCTTAAGCGCCGCCGCGGTCCTGGGAATGTCAACTATTCAACATGGAGGCGGAGGTCGATAAGCTGGAACTGATGGTGAGTGCAAAGTGAAGGAGACCTGCTGGGTAATTAATTTTTCCCCAATGGCCTCGAAGATGGGGCGCAATTTGGAGTCGCCGGAAACTCTGTGCGGCGGAGGCTGGACTACAATGGAGTTCCCTCCTCTTGCACCGAAGGGAGCCGCCACCACCTGGTCTGTTAACCGCCGCGGGGGGAAGGGGTTACATCCGGGAAACTCGTGAGGGAAATGGCGGGAGATGTTGAGGTTGTGGGGCCTTTGTAATTCCTTGTTCCTTGCCTTCTCCTTTCCATCCCTCTAGCAGATGCGCCTGGTACAGGCAGCATTTTATGTGTTTGTACCAAAAAAGTGTGTCCTTAAACGCTCGAAGAAGGAGAGGTTGTCCAGCCTTCGAGGCGGGGATGGTGGGTGGGGTGGGGAGGAAGCAGGGTGGGGGGAGCGGGGAGAAGTGGTCAGGGTCGAACGGTTCCCGGTCTTCAGGGCGGTCTGCGAAAGTCTGAGAAAAGGCGCCAGACTTACGCACAAGTTCCTAGCAGCGGGGGACGCCCCCACCTGCCTCCGTGTGGCCCGGAGTGGGAGCCGGTCCTGCAGTGCAGGCGGGAGGGGACGGCTGCCAATGGAGGACTGGAAGGACTCGCCCCCTCCCCGAGGTCCGCACTGCCCGCCGGGTGGCCCGCGCTTTTCTCCCGGTCCCCTTCTTGAGGCTTCATTCTCTTTTGCGCTACCGGTTTTCTCGGATTGGTCTGGCTTCCTCAGAAACACGGGTTTTGGAGGACGTACTTGTCCCGGCGCTCCTGCCCTATGTTTGCCTTTGTGAAAGAAAAAGTACCAAACTCACCCGTCCGCTTGCGGTCCTCCCCTCCCCACCCTTCCCGCGCGCTGCTCCGCCTGCGCCTCTGCCGCGCGCTCCGCCACCCCTGCTTCCGAAGGGACCGGAGGGGCAAAGACCCCGCGCACCTCTCCAACTGCACCACCCCAGAGAAGGAACGCAGGCCCGGGCTTCCCTCGCTGTTCCCTTCTAGAACAATTCTCTAGACGAATTCGAGTCGAAGGCTTTTAACGGTGTGCTTAACTTTTCTTTGTGGAGGGTGGATCGCGTGGGAGGGGAATTTCTGCAGCTTTCCAAACCTGCAATAATGAAAATGTAGTTCAAAGTTTTTGTTTGGGATTACTAATGTATTTTAAAAATAAACAAGATGTTAAGCATTGTAGTATGATTCTGTCAACAGGCATAAATATTAAGACTATCTGGCCCTTTTCCTCCATTCTGAAATTTTTCCTCCTGATTAAGGTATAATTGTTAGATGCTAACTGATACTAACTTTGCTTTTAACAGATTTCCATCCCCCTCCAGTTGGCTCTTTAATTTTCCTGCCTTTCCAATAGGGTTGATATTCTTACAGGACTCTAAATTGAAAAAGAAATTTTATTTTACAGGAAAAATAACAATTAAATAAATATCTCAAAAAAAGTAGGTTTTAGAAAGTTATGATGTAACCAGACTTAAATTTTTAGATGTTTACATTATTAGGTAGTTTGGGCTGGAGGCAGAGCACCTGCTTAGCATGCCCAAAGCACTGGGTTCAATTCCCAGTACTACAAAAAAAAAAAAATTGGCACATGGGGGTTAGTTTTAAAAGTTCTTTTTGAAACGAGAAGACTTTTTTTTTCTCAATTTAAATATTTTTGTACTGGGGGTTTGAATTTAGGGTCTCCCACTTGCTACGCAAGCACTCTACCACTTCAGCCATTCCACCAGCCTTTTTTGTTAAGGGGTTTTTAGAGCTAGGGACTCAGGAACTATTTTGCCTGGGCTGGCTTTGAACTCTGATCCTCCTGATTTCTGCCTCTTGAGTAGTTGGGATTACAGACACCTGGCGAGTCCATTTCTTGATAGGCTTAATCTAGCTAAATTCCTGAACTAGACCATTTAAAGGAAGGTTGGTGAAAATAATGGAAATGTATTTTTGCATCAGTCAACATTGCTAGTGGAGGAATAAATCAATGCAGGGCAATCTTTGTTCTCCAGCCTTTCTCCCTTCATTTATTGTGTGATTGTATACAAAAGCTAGTGTGTGATACTATGGCACTGTTTCTATTTCTAGGTTTAGATCTGAGTTTATTTATTTATTTTTAAAGAATGGTTTCACTCTGTAGCCCAGACTGGGCACGAACTCATAACTCTTCTGGAGGGGTGTTCAAGCCATAGAGCACCTGCTTTGGAAGCTTAAAGCCCTGAGTTCAAACCCAGTCCCACTTTAAAAAAAAAACAAAACGATATTTTAAGAGTTACGAAATGCTAAAATCCTCTTCCATAGTATAATGTTATGTTGTGTTAGTGTCATCCTGTTTAGAGAAGTTGATTCCCTGTCAGTCTCATCTCTTGTGGTAATATCCCTCAGTAAACTTGTAAGAAAAGCCGTAAGATAGTAAGAGCTTTTTTGTGTGTGTGTGTGTGTGTGTGTGTGTGTGTGTGTTTAGTTTAGATGCCAGAATGATTGGGTATGTAGATTTCAGAAATTTATTATTTTACTTTTTATTGTTTTCTTTGACATTCTTATCCAAAGGACTTATTTATATTTATTTATTTATTATTGTTGTGCTGTGTGGGGGTACACTGGAGTATTTGCAAAAGTTCTTACAATGTATCAAATATATCATACTTGAATTTGCCCTCTTAAAGGACTTGTTTAATGTGGCAGGGAATCAATTAAATTGCTTTGGAAAATATCTAACAGCAAACCATCTCAGCAGAGAATAGAAACATTTTTCACAATTTTACCTTAGCAGTAATTATAGCTGGTTTTGTAAATACCAATCCTAAGTTATTATTAATACCCATGTATATATACCATGATATATTGACAAAATTCATTTACATCTATGAATGTTTCTGTTTGGATGTTAGTCAATATCACTTTGACATGTAAGTCTTAAGCTTTAAAAAAAAGTAAGAATTGATATAAATGTTTTTAGGTTTGACATGTCTTCTGATCAAAATGGCAGCTCAACTTTAAGTTCTTTTCACACTGAAGCTTCAGGTGATGCAAGATGCTTTTGTGTTCCTTTCCTACTTATCACTGCTAACAAATGCTCTGACTTTATTGCACTACTGTACTTTACAGCTAGCAGTGCAATAGTATTGTCAAAGCATCTGCAAGCAGGATACACATCAGAATTTTGATTCTTGCCTATCATCTTGTTCATTGCTTGTGAATGATTTACCACAGTCTTTGTTGTTGAAAGTTGTATAATTTTGTTTTAAGTGGTCATAATTGAAAAAAAAAAACCCTTAACATTAAATACTCACTACTGTACTGCATTATGAAATTTGTAGAAAATAGTTTTTATATCTAAAGTTGTTATGGCTTGTTTAAATGTAACTTGCTTCTTTTTGTAACAGATTTCAATAGGTTCTGTCAAGTCTTAGGTTTTATTTAATTTTTATGAATTAGTAAGTGATACAAACAATCTCTGTATATTTCCTCTGGTAACTTGCCCCAAGTCTTAATTACTGTTAATTTTGGTATTAGATAGAATATGCTTGAATTTCAAACTTAAAAATCAGGAGGCGTGGCTCAAGCTGTAGAACATCTGCTTTGTAAGCTTATAGCTCTGAGTTCAAGCCCCAGTTCAACCAAAAAAAGAAAATATGATGTGTATACACAATGGAGTATTACTCATCCACAAAGAATAAAGTTAAAAAATCAAAAAACACAACTTAACCTTGTAATCCTAGCTACTTCAGAGGCTGAGATCAGGAATATTGAGGTACGAGGTCAGCCTGAGCAAATAATTCAAAAGACCCCATCTCCAAAATAACCAGAGCAAAATGGACTGAAGGTGTGGTTCAAGAAGTACAGCACCTGTTTTACAAGCTTGAAGCATTGAGTTCAAACCAAATAGCAGCAGCAGCGACAACAAAAATAAAGCCATTTTAAGATGCTTGACTTGAAGTTTATTTTTGTAATTATGAGATGTAAAGTGTGAATCCATCACCTTTTTTGGTAATGAGTCTTACTGAGATAGAATTTACATACAATAAAAACTCATTCAGTTTTACAGTTTTATTTATTTTTTTTTGCCATCACTGGGGTTTGAACTCAGGGCCTCACACTTGCTAGGTAGGTGCTCTTACTGCTTGAGCCACTCTGCCAGCCTTAATTTTACAATTTTAAATGTACAATTTGATGAGTTTTGACAAATGTATCCAATCATGTAACCATCCCTACAGCCAGGATATAAACATTTCCATCACCTTAAAAAGTTCTGTCTTGCCCTTTTGTAGTCAACCTAATCTTCCCAAACTTCCTGGCAATCACTGATCTCTAGTTTTTAAAAATTTTATGAAAATGTAATCTTAGATACAGCCTTTTGTAGCTACCCTCTTGCACCTGTCATAAGCTTTTGAGATTCATCCATGTTGTATTAGTAGCTGGAACATTTTTATTGCTGAGTAGTATCCATTGTATAGAGTATGATTATCCATTTGCCAGATTATGGCATTTGATCATTTCTGGGTTTTACCTTTAATGAATAAAGTAAATTTTATGAAAATGTAATCTTAGATACAGCCTTTTGTAGCTACCCTCTTGCACCTGTCATAAGCTTTTGAGATTCATCCATGTTGTATTAGTAGCTGGAACATTTTTATTGCTGAGTAGTATTCCATTGTATAGAGTATGATTATCCATTTGCCAGATTATGGATTTTGGATCATTTCTGGGTTTTACCTTTAATGAATAAAGTTGCTGTGAGTGTTAGAATGTGTCTTTTTGTGGACATAATTTTTTCATTTCTTTTGAGTAAATGCTGAGAAATGGTCTAGCTGGGTAATGTGATAAATGATCTTATAAGGAACTGCTAAAATCTTTCCCATTGTTCCTTAATGGCTAATGATAGCAAACATCTTTTCAACACTACCCCCCCACCCCGCCTTTGGTATACCTTCTTTTTTTAGTAACTGCATTTTTATTTTATTTTATTTATATGTGCATACAATGTTTGGGTCATTTCTTCCCCCTTGCTCCTGCCCCCTAGTAACTGCATTTTTAAGTTTGTTTTTTGATGGTACTAGGGTTTTGAACTCAGGGCTCATGCTTGTTAGGCAGGTGCTCTACCACTTGAGCCATACCTCCAGCCTTTTTTGCCCTGGTTATTTTGATGATAAGTTCTTTTTTTGCTCAGGCTGCCCTAGACTGAGCCTTCTATTTTAGGCTTCCTACTGTAGCTGGGATGACAGATGCAGGCTACCACACCCAGCTTTTTCCTGTTGAGATGGAATCTCATGAAATTTTTTGCCTGGGCTGGATTGGAACCATGATCCTCCTGATCTCGGCCTTCCAAATCGCTAAGATTGCAGTCATGAGCCACTGGTGCCTAACCTTGTTCTTGTTCTCTTTTAGACAGGGTCTTGCTATCAGTCCAGGCTGGCCTTGAACTTGTGATACATCTGTTTCTACTTCTTGAGTACAGGGATTACAGTCATGTATCACCATGCATGGCAACAATTTGGTATATTTTAATGAAGTATCCTAAATCTTTTGCCTATTTAAAAATTGTTCTTAAATTATGTTTCACCATAAGAATCCTTTAGTTTTCTCTCACTCAGTCTGCTATTTACCTTCTCATTTAAAATTTTTGAAGTTCAAGTTTAGGGTTTTTTTTTTTTTTTTTTTTGTGGCATTGGGCTTTGAACCCAGGACCTTGTGTATGCTAGGCACACACTCTACCACCAGAGCTACAATCCAACCCCAAAGTCCAATTTACATATTCTTGAAGTCATAGTTTTTTGTATTAATGTATGATCATGGTTACTTAGTATCTTAATTTTGACTTGAAATTTAAGAGAGATGCATAGAGAAATGACTTCAAAATGGTAACTAGTTTTTATTTTTTTCCCATGGTGCTGGGGGTTGAATTCAGGGCCTTGTTGATGGTAGGCAAACTCTACCACTGAGCCATATCCACAGTCATAGTTTTTAAATTTTTAATACACCCTATGCTCTATTATAGATGATCAATATTTTATATACTTTTTATTTCCACATTTTCAAAATGAGTGTTTAACCCATATAATTAAAATATTAAAGAATGAGAACATGCTGGGTAGACATGGTGACACATTTGTAATCCTCACATTCAGAAGGCAGAGGCAGGAAGATCCAGATCGTAAATTCCAGGCCAGTCTGAGCTATATAGTGAGATCCTGTCTCAAAGAACAAAGAAACAAAAGATGAGAAAAGAAATAATCATGAAAGTGTCATGTTTATTAATGTCTTTTCCTTTCCAAAATAATGATTTGTTCTGATTTTTAGTTCCAGAAAGCTGACTCTGATCTGGATTACATTCAGTATAGGCTGGAATATGAAATCAAGGACTAATCATCCTGATTCACCAAGCAAGGTGATGTGTAAAATAAGTAAACTCTTTTAACTGAATATTTTATTTAAAAAACCCTCAGATAATATTTCTAATAGTAATAAATTATAACGATTATCAAGTACTAACTTTATGGAGTTTTAATATCTTGTGATAGAAGCTTGGTTACAGCATACTGTAAAGAATATACCAGTAGTCAGTGAAATTTGTGGTTACTTTTCTTTTTCCTTTTTCCTAACTTAAAAACGAATCAGTGAGCTCAAAGGTACAAGCCAGGAAGAAAGCCTCTGAAATTCCAAGAAAGCATATGGTTACTTTTGGGGCAGTGGTTCTTCAATAAGTTTGAAGGGAGAAGTCCTAGCAGTCGGATATTCTTTACGGGAGATGATATACTTTTCGGTTTGCCCAATTACATGATATGAACAGTGATTTTTGCATAAAATTATATAGTTATTCTAGAGTTAGGTTGATTAGGAATTATTAACTATAGTTTTGAGACAACTCACTAGTTGTCTGGGCTGTTCTTGAACTTCTGGGCTCAATGGATCCTCCTGCCTCAGCTTCTTAAGTAGCTGGGACTATAGGTGCATACCTCTGCGCCTGTTTAATTCAGTTTATATTGCCACAAAGTCATAATATATGCCCATGGCATAAAAGCAAACAATCTCCAAGCATTGTCATATATTTGACAGTATTTGGCAGTAGACAAGAAATAGTGTATTTTGAAGATTTTCAAAAAAATTCCACATATTAAAAAATATTTTCTAGGGCTGGTGGTGTGGCTCAGGTTAGTAGAGTGCTTGCCTAGCAAGCATGAGGCCCTGAGTTCAAGCCTCAATAGTGCTGCAAAAAAATAAAATAAAAAAATAAAATTGGGTAAAACCATGAATTGAAGTAACATTTTATACCAAATTGGGGAAAAAAACTTTATGTTCAATTTTACTGTTTAGTTCATGAAATTTCAGAATTCTTTGGGCATGTACTTAGCTCTGTAACTGACTTTGACTTTTCTCTCTTTGTCTGAGGAACAACTAGACATTCTGACTCAGTGGTACCACCTAATGACTGGCTAAAAGACTCATCTGAGTCAGTATTCTTCAAGTACTATTGTGAAAGATATTTCATGTGGTGTTTCCACTTTTCCTCTCCCTTCCATCACTCAACTTTGTTTTATCTACTGTTATTTTTCTCTTCAACTTTTTTTTTATTTTTATGATGTGGTTTGGGGTATATTGTAGAATTTACAAAAGTTCTTACAGTGTATCAAATATATACTTGAATTCATCCCCTTCACCATTCTCCTTTACCACCCAACTTTTTTGTTTTGTTTTGTTTTTTAAAAACCCAGGTTTTCAATTCCCAATACTGCAAAATAAATTAAATAAATAAATAAATAAATAAAATAAAAACAAAAACCAAACCAACCAAAACCAGCTATATTGAGCTGTCATATACCATAAAATTTTCCCTTTAAATTATGCAATTCAGTGAATTTTAGTATATTCACAGAGTTGGGCAGCTGTTAGCACAGTCAGTTTTTGAATATCCTCATCACCTCAGAATGATACTTCATACGAATGCAGTTACTCTCCATTCCCCTATAGCTCTTGGCAACCACTAACTTTCAGCTCTACTGATTGTGGGCCATTTTGTAAACATTTCACATAAATGGAATCATATAATACGTGGTCCTTTATGTCTGACTTGTTTTACTTGGCATAATGTGTTCAAGCCTGATCCATGTTTTAGCATGAATCTTTGCTTTACTTTTCTGTAGCTGAATAAATAATAATCCATTGTATAGCTATGCCACATTTGTCTGTCTGTTCATCAGTGGACATTTTCATTATTTCTACCTTTTGGTTACTATGAAACATTATGTTTTGTAAGTGAAGCACTATGAACATTTATGTACAAGTTCTGGTGTAGAAATAAAAATGTAATCCTAGCTATTCAGGAGGCTGAGATTGGGAAAGCAAATAGTTTGCAAGACCCCCACCTCCAAAATACCAGAGCCAAATGGGCTGGTGTGTGGTTCAAGCTGTACAGCACCTGTTGCAAGCACAAAGCCTTGAGTTCAAACCCCAGTCCCACCAAAAAAAAAAAAAAGTTGATTATGTGCATAATTATAGATTACAAGTTATAAGTGGTACTAGAATGAGTTCTATGTATGTGTGTGGGTATGAGTAAACATACACACACCATAGCATAGAGGTTGACACATAGTAATATTCAATGAATATTTACTACCAGTATGCACTCCCTATCACCATATAGAGTGTCAGATATTACAGCAACTGGCTGTTTATGTATTTATCAAGGAAGAGTAAAGTTAATCATTAGGACAAATGTTGGGCAAATGTATAGAGTAAAAGAATGGTTTTGCTACCAAATGTAATACACATACACACAAAGTGGGAGGGATGAAGAGAGATTTTTCTTAAAGTTACTGAATAAGTATTATAGATGTTTAAAAAAGACTCCAGGTGTGGTGGTTCATACCTATAATCCTGTCATTCTGGAAGGCTGAGGCAGGAGAATCATGAGGTTGGAGCCAGCCTGGTCTCCAGAGTTAAGTTCCAGGCTAACCTGAGCCACACAGAAAGATTTTGTCGCAAAAAAAATTTTTAGCGAATAGGTAAAAAGATTAGTGCCTCAAAAACTGTGACCTAGTAAATTCTACAGGGTATATACTTAAAAGAATTGAAGGCAGGTACTCAAATACATGTACACTGACATTCATAGCAGCATTATTCACAATAGCCAAAAGCTAAAAGCAAACCAAATAATTTGTCATTGAATGATGACTGTGGTACATACACATAATGGAATATTATTTGAAAAAGAAAGGAAATTCCGACACTGATAACATAGGGATCATTTTGAGAACATTATGCTAAGTGAAATAAGTCAATAATGAAAACGTGATTCTACCTCTGTAAGGTACTTATAGTGAAATTCAGAGTCAGAAAGTAGAATAGTAGTTGCCAGGAAACAGGTCATGGGGGTAATGGGGAGTAATGTGTACAGTTTGGGAAATGAAAAGTTTCTGGAGATGCTTGCACAACAATGTGAATGTACTTTAAGCCACTGAACTATAAACTTAAAAAAGATAAAAATGGTAAATTTTGTCATGTATATTTTAACTACAACTAGAAAAAAATTAAGGATGTCAAATGATTTTGCTATTTGAAAAAGTTTTGGTGATTCATCAAAATATTAAGCATGAGTTATGGCCAAGGGAAATAAAAATGTAAATATGGCCTGAATCATTGGTGCTTGGCCAAAATCAACATTTTTGACTAAGATACAATAAACTGTTAAGTTCCTATTACTGTATTTTTTTATCCTTAATTGTTCAAGAAAGATAATCTTATTTTACAAGCATTTTCTTTGTAGATTTTTTAAATTTAAATTTTAATTATTTTTTGAGACAGGAGCTCCCTAGGTAGCCCAGGCTGTCCTTGAACTTGTGATCTTCCTGTCTCAGCCTCCTGAGTGCTTGGATTATAGATATGCACCATCATATACAGCCTTATGAAAATTTTTAAAGCCTAATAGTACTAACTAATGCCATATTTACTTTTGTGTATTTAAAAGACTTGAGTTGAGCTGTTTGCCTATGTATTGGCTTTTTTTCTTTTCTCTCATCGTCACCACCATCATTGTTACAAGCCAGCTGGCTGGGGTCCTTCTGTTCCATCCAGATTAGAAATCATGGGTAGGTGAGAAGTTCCTCCATTTTATTCTGGCCATTGGCAGGTATTTGCAGGTGGTGGAATAAATGACAGTAGGTAGCAGCAGTCAGCCCTGGGCTTTTGACAGCTGGGGTGATAGATGTACCTTGGGGTTTGGCCTTAGGCTGCTAACAGCTAGGGTGGCTGCATAGGGTCTGGGCCAAATTCCATATATGTTACAGCTCTTTTGTGCGCTGGGCAGGGACCTGCAGCAAAAAGAGTCTCTGTTGGTTAATCCCAACTGGCACCTGTCATTTTCTCTTTTGCTGATGTGCTTCTTGCAGCTTCTCACCCCGGCTGCTCCTGAGAGTTTTCCTGGGCTGTTCAGCTGTGATTGGCTTGAGGTTACTCCTGCCAGGGGCTGCTCAGCTCCTGGTGCTGTGGGAACCCCTTGCTGACCTTGTTGCTGCCCTGCTGTCAGGGCATCCTCACCACTTACCACCTCTACTTCTTCTGTTATTTTTCTTCATGTTACCAATTCAGTAAAGGTAGGCAAGACCATTCAAGAGAAAGCCTTTATTGGCACCTAATTTGCAACACCAAGGTGTCTCCCAGCTGCTTACAAAGTGGGGTAAATGGCCTGTTTATGTAGCCAGAATGAAGGTGTGTGTGTAACAAGGGAGTCTGTACCAATTATGGCAGGCCACTCATGCAAGTGAAGGATTGCGTTTGTACCAAACACAGCAGAGCCTTATGCAAATAGATTGTGTTTATATCAGTCATGGTCTTTTGTTGGAGAAGACCACTAGGGAAAGTGCTCCCCCTTGGGCTTGGGTCATAGATTTTTTTAATGGCAAAAAGTCTGTGTAAGCTGTCTGTTGGGACAGTGTCATCAGGAGCAGAGTTGTGCTTCAGTGTATAGCCTCCTTAGTGTGTCCATAGAGTGCTCAAAATAACCAGTGTTGGCATGAGGGCAGTCCATCTGGCTGCTTGGCTGATGGTCCTTCACATATGGCAGCCAGGGCCCCAGGGAGGGGTCTAAGATCTGTCAATTAGGGAGTCAAATTAAAGGAAAAATAAACACTTAAAAATAAGCACACTCCAAGGAAAAATAAACATTAAGAGGGGCCCTTATAATAAAGACTTACTAACATTAGCGATGGTTTAATAGTGTTTTACAGTACTCTAACAATGCTTAACTCCTATCCTAGTGTCCCAGGGAGACATGGGTGCCTACCATCTTTTTTTTTTTTTTTTTTCATTTTTCTTTTATTATTCATATGTGCATACAAGGCTTGGTTCATTTCTCCCCCCTGCCCCCACCCCCTCCCTTACCACCCACTCCGCCCCCTCCCTCTCCCCCCCCTCAATACCCAGCAGAAACTATTTTGCCCTTATTTCTAATTTTGTTGTAGAGAGAGTATAAGCAATAATAGGAAGGAACAAGGGGTTTTGCTGGTTGAGATAAGGATAGCTATACAGGGCATTGACTCACATTGATTTCCTGTGCGTGGTGTTACCTTCTAGGTTAATTCTTTTTGATCTAACCTTTTCTCTAGTTCCTGTTCCCCTTTTCCTATTGGCCTCAGTTGCTTTAAGGTATCTGCTTTAGTTTCTCTGCGTTAAGGGCAACAAATTAGCTAGTTTTTTAGGTGTCTTACCTATCCTCACCCCTCCCTTGTGTGCTCTCGCTTTTATCATGTGCTCATAGTCCAATCCCCTTGTTGTGTTTGCCCTTGATCTAATGTCCACATATGAGGGAGAACATACGATTTTTGGTTTTTTGGGCCAGGCTAACCTCACTCAGAATGATGTTCTCCAATTCCATCCATTTACCAGTGAATGATAACATTTCGTTCTTCTTCATGGCTGCATAAAATTCCATTGTGTATAGATACCACATTTTCTTAATCCATTCGTCAGTGTGGGGCATCTTGGCTGTTTCCATAACTTGGCTATTGTGAATAGTGCCGCAATAAACATGGATGTGCAGGTGCCTCTGGGAGAAAACCTACTCCTAACATAATGTAAGTCATGTTGTACTGAATTAGTCGTTGCCATATCAATGTTATTAGGTACAGTTAATGCCATCAAAAGCATGTAGAATGTGTAACTACTTGAGAACCCTATCCTGTCTATTTAGTAGTTTTATTGGCTGTTTATTCCTTTTGCTTGATTCAGCGATTCTTTCTTTTCCTAGTTTTGAGAGATGGTCAAGGATTAGTTCTGTATTTGGGGGTTCCTCATTTCTTCTGTGTTATATGTTCAGGTGCAGTATGTGGAGGAGCATTTCTCTATTGAGCTCCATTTTAATAACCTAGAATTTATACTTACATAATTTCCTACTGCTTCACAGCTGATGTCTTCCCTAAAATAAATTTTCCTGACTCTTAATTTTTAAGAGTGACTTGTATATAATTTAGACTCACAGACATACAAAGCTTACAATTTCACATGGTAATTCCTTAATGTACACTCTCACACCTAAGAAGGCCACCATTTTATTTCAGTGTCTTTTAGTCTTTCTTTTCTACTATTCTATTCTCTTCTATATGTGTGTGTGTGTGTGTGTGTGTGTGTATTATTCCTGTACTTACTTAGACTATAAATTCCTTAAGAATAGGATCTAGGTCTTATACTTTTTTCCTCAGCTCCAATCTTCTGTCACACAGTTTTATAAATATCACCAGTGTTCAATTAAATGAATGATAGGATGTCTTGTATATTTTTATTAAAAAGCTTAGCTTTCCATTTCCTGATATAAATATTAACTTTTTCCCTGATGTAGAAAAATCCGATTACACTTGTAAAGGAATTGTCAGCAATAAAGTCTCGATATCAAACTTTGTATGCACGTTTTAAACCAGTTGCTGTTGAGCAGAAAGAAACTAAGAGCCGCATTTGTGCTACTTTGAATAAGACCATGACCATGATACAAGAACTACAAAAGCAGACAGACCTGGAGGTAATGTTTTTAATTGACAAGTTGGATTTGAATAGTTTTAGTTTGAGTGTTGTTTTAAAAGATAAACCCTTAGTAACTTGGATTTTAAAATTTAGCAGTTTGAACTGTTGATAGAAACAAAATTTTCGTTGGTATTTCTTTGTGTTTTTTTCAGACAGGGTCTCACTATGTAGCTCAGGGTGACTTGGAACTTGCTGTATAGCCAAGGCTGGCCTCAAACTTGCAACTCAGCCTGCTGAGTGCTGAAATTACAGATGTGTGTCATCTAGTCTGGCTAGAAATGAAATTTTCCTGATACCCTGAAGTAATTTCCACTTATTTTAAAATGAGCATGTGGACTTGACATTGTTAATGAAAAGGTATGCTGTCTTGGATAATAGAACTATGTCAGAAGAAAAAACTTGCTAATACTTATTAAAATGTGTCAACTCTGCTAGTTCTTATAACTAGTAAGACTGAAAAGTTTGGAAAGCATCCTAAGTGACTTTTTGGGTTCAAACCCAGGATCTTGTATATACTAGGTAGGCACTGTACCCCTGAGCTATTCTCCCAGTGGGTTTGTTCCTTCTTCCCCTCTCCTCTCACATTTTTTTTCCTTTATTTTTCTTCTTCTTTCCTGCAGTGAGGTTGGCAGGTATTGGTAGGTCTGACTTTCTCCATTCTCTCCTTCCATTCCCCATCTCATTTAAGTGTAAGAATCCTTGTAATTATGAGCCTCCAACATTGATGTGTAAAATTTCAGGTATGTCAGAGTAGAGAAAATGGTATGAGTTGTTGAACTGACAACTAAAGGATTTGGCAGCATTTTCATTTACTGTCAAGGAAAAGTTGGGGATGTAGATAGAAAAGATCAGCTATATGTAGACAGAATCAAAGAGTAGAACAAATAGATTGTCTGGATGGAGGATGTCCAATCAATTGTATTTCTATTAGTCATTGGTAATGGCTGCTTAGAGTACTATATTATCCTATGTCTTGGCATACCGAAAATAGTGCTATCTGCTAGGGATGAGAATGGGAGGGGCCACATACATGGCATTTATTCGCCAACTCTGAACTAAATTATGGTTTATGATACTTGAATTATGGTCGTAAAGCCAGAATAAATCTGTTTTTGATAACCCAGGTCAATTTGATCAAGAATTTTTTTTTAATATTGCAGATGTAGGGGGAAAAAAGAGAACAGTATCTGGTTAAAGATATAAAAATGATACTTTAGATGTTTCTTTATATCACAAGTAGATGAATAGTGGAGGAGGGCACAGCAATTAAAAAGTATGTATGTGATAACCTTTTATAGCTACAACTCAAATCACATTTTCTTCATTGTATGTGATCAAAGCCTGGCAATATGAGCATATAAACTTGTTTTAAGGGATTAGATCTTGGAGATTGTGTAGTTCCCAGTGTAGTTTCACATTAAGATATTTGTGTAGAAATCCATAAATTTATTGAAGCACAAAAAAAATTTTGTGTGAACAAAGAGGAAATTTTTTTTTAAATATTTGGTACAAATTACCTCTGCTGGATTAATAAATAGGTGAACTATTTCTGATTGAGACCATAAACTGGTGCAGAAAAATAGTTAAGATAGTAGTAAGTGATTTCTCTCTCCTTTCCTCTCTGTCTCTCGCTTTCTTTCCATTGGTGGGGGGGTCAAACCTAGGACCTCTTGTGTCCCTTGTACATGCTAGGCAGTGCTCTATCACTGAGCCACATTCCCAGACCCCAGTGATGAGACTGTAATCACCTGAATCCCTGTAAAGGTACTCATTCAGTTACAAATAGAAATCACTGAAATGAACAATAATTATGCCAGAGATAGAAGGCTAAGGGAGCTTTCATTTTGGATCAGGTTATGGCAAACAAGGAGAAGTGATTGAAAAGTAGGTTATGAACCTTGAAAAACGAGGCCGTATTTTTAAATCATCGATTGTCAAGTTGTGAAACATTGGACATAGTGGGTCTTGTACCTTCTACTTTACAAATGAGTAGAAAGTTCAGAGAAAATATGGAGGTGTGGTATTCAATATTCTGAGAAATGTTTAAGATTCAAAGGGAGACTCAAAAAAATAAACTGCTATTAAAATTTTTATGACTCAGATGTAAAGAAAAGGGAATGATATATATGGAGAGTTGTATAACCAAAAATAGCTCTGAGTTTCAAGGACATATAATGTGGCTGGGTGTAGCTCAGTGCTAGGTCACTTGCCTAGTTTATATAATCCTCAGTATTACCAACACACACACACACAAAACCCCCCAAAACCCCAAAAGGACAAGCATGGCAGAATTTGTAAATAAATTTCAAGTATTAAAAGGGGGTTTTCAGGCCTGTGGATGTAGCTCAGTGTAGCACCACTACCTGGTGCATGCAAGGCACTGGGTTTAATTTCCAACACCAAAAAAAACAAAACAAAACAAAACACAACAAAAAAGAAAAAGTATAGCTGGGCATAGTGGTATACACCTGCAATTCTAGCACTTGGGATATGGAGGCAGGACTCGAATTTGAGGCTAGCCTAGGTCACATAGTGAGAACCCATCTTAATTTAAGCCCTTTTTCCTCAAGAAAAAGGTGTGTTTATGTGGGCTCATTAATAGGGTCAGACTTTGGAGAACAGTTAAGAAAGACAAAGGCTAGTTTGAATTGAGATTTCTAAAATTTTCTAAAATAACCAAAGGGCCTTTAAAGTTATTTTGGGAGGGGTTGGAAATATAGCAAAGTACTAAGGCACTTGCCTAGCATGTGCAAGGTCCTGGGTTCAATCTTTAGCATCATAAAAAATATTCTGTGAGCATGAAGAACAAGAAAGGGATTAAGTTCTGCTTAGAGAAAATGGTGCTTTGTTTATAGACAACAGAAAGTAAAAGTGTTGAGGTATTGCTATTTGGAAAGGTTAAAAAATATATTTGAACTGATAATCTTTTTCTTTTTTTTGATAGTACTAGGAATAGAAGTCACAGCCTTACACTTGGTAGGGAAGTGCTCTACCACTTGAGCTATTCCCCCACTCTTTTTTGCTTTAGTTTATTTTTCAGATAGGAACTTCTGATTTTGCCCAGGTGCTGGCCTCAGACCATGATCCTCTTACTTCCACCTCCTGAATAGCTGAGATTACAATACCACAACTGGCTTTTTTTGGTCTTGTTTTGTTTTTTTGGTGGTACTGAGGTTTGAACTCAAGGCCTCTCACTTGCTAGGCAGGTGCTCTACGACTTGAGCCGCTTCGCCAGTCTGTTTTTGTGTTGGGTATTCTTGAGATAGGGTCTCATGAACTATTTGCCTGGGTTGGCCTGGAACTGTGATCTTCCTGATCTCTGCCTCCTGTGTAGCTAGGATTATAGGAGTGAGCTACCTGACTACACCTGGCTTGTTTTTGAGACTAGAGTTGCTAACTTTTGCCTCAGCAAGGCTGAAACTATGATCCTATCTCTGCCTCTCAAGTAGATGGGATTATAGGTGCCCATCACACTCTGCCCAAAGTGATAATCTTAACTGATATTAAGACATTGAAGTTTAAATATACTTAACTATATAGGTGACTATATACCCCGCCCCCAAAAGGAGTAAATTTGTACCAAAACAAGAAATAGCAAAACAAACCCCCAAAATAAAAATATAATAGTAAACAGTCTAGAAAAGATATTGAAAGTACAATGTATGGTGTTCCATTGATAGATCCATCAATTAGTTGTGCTAAAGAAAAATTAAACTTTAGACTGGTTAACTTGACCTTATTTCTTGAAAAATTTGTTGAGGATTAAACAGATGGTCTGAAAACTCTTGCATAGTGATCACATGAGCAACATGGATTCATTGAAAAATAACAAGTTTTTCCAGAATAGTATCATTTCCTTTAAGATAAAAGAGGGAAATTTGGGCTGGGGTTTTGGTTCAAGTGGTAGAGCACCTACCTGCCTTGCATGTGCCAGGCTCTGAGTTCAAACCTCAGTACCTCCAAGAAAAGAGGGAAATTCTACGAATAGATTGCCATTAGTCATATAATTATCATTTTATCCATATGAGCATGTTGGGCAAATGTTGGTCAGCCAAACCAGTTGCATATCAGAATCAAAGTAGGATAACTAGGCAGTCCAGTAACCATATGTAGCTATATAAATTTAAACTTAGATAAAATTGAAAACTCACTTCGTCTCCTGATTGGACAGGGCAGATATAGATTTCCTGCATCATGGAAAGTTTTATTGGACAGGGCTGCCCTAGAGATTCTGATTCTGTAGGTCTGGGGTGTTCCAGATTTAGCAGTCTCTCTAGAGATGACCTAAATAATTAGGCAGATTTATAACTACTTGAGTGATTCAAGTTATACCTCCTATTATTTCCCCATATAACCCTTTGTTTCATCCAGCCTGTTGGTGTTCTGTCTGTGAAAATCCCTTACCTCTCTCATTTTCCTTCTTCCTTTTGGTTTTGCTTTTGCTCCTACCTGCTTTTGGTGGATGCTGTTGGCTGGCTGTTGTCTCATTTGTTCCTACACCTGAGTACTGACTTTCTTGAGGTAGGTGTCTTCCCTCACAGTCACGGATCTGAGGTGAAGCTGGCTCACCAGGGGTTTGACAATAGATTTTCCTTTAATGGTAGTTTAGGAATGATTTGCAACCCCATGACACACGAGGACAGAAAGTTTGAAAGCATGTTTCTAAGCAAAGTTTCCTTACTTTGGAAAACCCTGGGAAGAGTAAGCTTCTTTCCTTTTTCTGGACATTGTGTATGGATGTGATACCTACCACCATTACAGCCATTTTGTTGTCAGCTTGAGTGTTGCCACCATCAAGGACATCAGACTTGTGAGATGGAGCAAACTTGAGTTCCTCATGTGGTTAAGATGCTGAGTAAGTCAGGCTTGAAGTCTTCCCTTTTGAATTTAAGGTGTAATGAAAACATTTTCTTTTTGGTAAAACAGGGGTTTGAACTCGAGGCTTTTTGCCCAGGGCTGGCCTTGAGCTGCAATCCTCCTACCTATACCTCCCGCAAAGCTGGGATCACAGGAGTGTACCACATGTATGACTTGTTGAGATGGGGGATGTTGCTAACATTTTTGCACAGGCTGTCCTCAAACCACATTCCTCCCAATCTGCATCTCAGGAGTAGCTGGGGTTACAAGGCCCTCATGATACATTTTCTTATAAATTATTCATTTTGAAATGTTTCTGTTATTTGCACCTAAAAGCATTTTGAGTATTCTTCAGAATCTAGGCCAACCCTCTATTTCTCTGAGAAAATTTCCAGAATCTTTTTGTTCACCTCTGCAGATGTGAACCTCTTTTCTTCACTCTTAGAATATGGCATCCAAATAGTCTTCTTTGGTTTTGTTGCAGTCCTTAAATTATTTGATTTCTTGGTCTTGTTTGTTCAGCTTATTTGCAAACTACTTTTTTTCCGCTTGTCTTCCTAAATTTGTATATAATACATATATATAGTGTAAGTTTATGGTGTGACAAAGCAGAATTTAACTAACTTAATCTTTGAAATACAGATTTTGTCATTTGTTTTCTAGTTGTCACCATTGACTGAAGAAGAGAAAACTATGACAGAACAATTAAAATCTCACATGCCAGATTTATGAAGAAATGGAATTAAAAAAGAGAACGCTGATAAAGAAGAGATCAATTCCAGAGAAACTCGGCAAGATGATGACTGGAGATGGGGAGCTGGTAAAAGAGACAGAAGTTTGGCTTGAGTGACAGGTTTCATTGATAGGAGACTGCAAGAGCAGCAGATCTTATGGGAATAGAGGGATTTAAAGATATATACACATATACTTAGTTTTGTAATTTCAGGTAAGGAATCCCCTTAACATGATTTTCCATCTGTTTCCTTTTTTGTATAGTTGGAATAATGGAGATGTGCTGGCCATCATAAAAGAATGTCCATGTACATTTTAGTCAGTCAGTGTGAACGAGCATACTTTAGAAATTAAAGGTGAAGGGCTGGCAGTGTGGCTCAAGTGGTAAGAGTGCCTGCCTAGCAAGTGTGAAGCCCTGAGTTCAAACTCCAGTACTGTCAAAAAAATAAATAAATAAAAACAACAGAAATTAAAGGTGAAATATTTGTATTGTACATTGCATATAGGTATATAATCTCATTTTTGAAAATGTTGATTGGAGATAGGATCACATTATTGGTGAGACCACTTAAGTGATATGTAATCTCTCAAACTAATGTAATAAAGTGGTTTGTGTGGTAGCATCACTTTTATTTTTTCCTATTACCTGACAATGTTGATCAGTATGAGCTTGGTTTCAAAAACTATTTTAGACTGTCCCCATGGTATTTCTGTATTAGTTTTCTTTCAGCATATATTTGTAGTTGATATTCTATATGAAAGCTAAGAAACTGAAATCACTGGAGTATTTAACTGCTAATTGCCAGTTTTGTATGGGTGTGAGAGTAAGTTTCCTTACTTATTTTGTGGTGCTGGGGATAGAACCCAGGGGCTTGCACATGCTAGGCAAGTGCTCTACTACTGAGTTACATCCCCAGCCCTTCCTTACTTCCTTATTTATGTATTTATATTTTTAAAAATTCTATTAGTGTATATTAATTGGACAAGGGATTAAATAACTATTGGCAATAAGGTAATTGCCCAAAGTAAGAACAAATAAGATTTTGGTGGCTCAATGGTAGAGCATGTGCCTAAGCAAGGCTATAGGTTTAATCTCTAGCTCTAAAAAAGAAGATATTTCCAGGTTATTTATAATACACATATACATCTGGCTAATAGATGATTAGGAAAGTAAATTATGTTGTATCTATATAATAAGAGGTCAAGTTGCCAATAAATTATTACTATTGATGTTCTGAGAAATGTTGAAGCTATGCCAAATTGGGGACAGGGGAAGCAGTTACTGTAGTTTTTTAGTTAAGACTGGGCTTTGAGACAGGATGCCGAGGCTCACACATGTAATTCTATCTACTCAGAAGGCAGAGATCAAGAGCATCGTGGTCCAAAGCCAGCCCAGGCAAATAGTTCTCAAGACCCTATCTTGAAAAAGCCCAATATAAAACAAGGCTGATGGAGTGGCTCAAGTGATAGAGCACCTGCCTAGCAAGCCTGAGGCCCTAAGTTCAAACCACACACACACACACACACATTGGGCTTTTGAGTCACACACACACACACAGATTGGGCTTTTGAGACACACACACGGCTTTTGAGACACACACACACACACACACACACACACACACACACACACACACACACACACACACACACACACACACACACACACACACACACACACACACACACACACGGCTTTTGAGTCATACCTGAGATCTAAAGTACAGAAGTCTCCTCTTAACTATAGTTTTACCTTCTAAGTTTCACTTTCATTTAGCCAAAATATCAAGTGGCAAATTCCAGACATAAACAATTCCTAAGATCTAAATTTCTCACCATTCTGAGTGGTATGATAAATCTCGTACTGTCCTGTACCATCCCTTTGTTTAGCATAGCTACATTATCTGCCTGTAAGTTACTCAGTAGCCATCTGGGTTATCAGATGGACTATTCTGGTATCACAGTTGTATTAAGAGTTCTCTAAGGCTGGAGATGTGGCTCAAGTGGTAGAGCACCTGATTTGTAAGCATGAAGCCCTGAGTTCAAACCCAAGTCCCATCAAAAAACAAAAAATGAAGAACTTGATCTTTGGCCCAGCACCTGTGGCTCATGCCTGTAACTGTAGTAGAGATCAGGAGGATTACAGTTCCAGGCAGAGTTTGAGAGTCCTTATCTCAAAAAATACCCAACACAAAACAGAATGGAGAAGTGGCTCAAGTGGTAGAGTACCTGCCTAGCAAATGGGAGGAACTGAGTTCAAATCCTAGCATTGCCCCAAGAAAAGATTTCTGCAAAGAGACAAAACCAAAAGGATATGTATATAGATCAGAGATTTATTAGGATAATTGACTTATGCAGTTATAGTGCTTGAGATGTCTCATAACAGACCACTTGCAAACTGAGACACTGGTGTTAACTCTTAATCTAAGGCCAAAAGCCTAGGAACCCAGGAGTTGGGGTTGCTTGTGTTAAGTCCTGGAATTCAACAGTTGAAGAGCTTGGAGTTATGATGTCCAGTGCAGCAGAAGAATGTATTCCAGTTCTCCAGGAGAAAGACCATCATGACTTATGTATTCTTTTATCCCTGCTACCAGCCATTTGGATGATGCTCAAATACAATGAGGGGCTGATCTTATCCACTTAAATATGAGTCCATTAGACTCATGTGTTAATCTCTTCAGGAAATACCTGTTTTGGTTGTTCCTTAATCTAGTTAAGGTGCCATCTAACATCATCAAAGCAGAGATGCAATGCTGCAGGGCATATTGGAAAAACCCTAGTATTTGGGTGTGGTGGCTTATACCATGACACTTAAGCCTCATAAGACTGAAGCAGGATACCTGAAGTTTGAGGCCAGCCTGGGCTACACAGGGAAATCCTGTCTCAAAAAAAGTTTAAAAGAAGAAAAAACGTACATATAGTTTGGTATTATCCACGATATCAGACACCTATTGGGGTCCTTGGAATATCCCCTGTGAATAGGAGGGTGTACTTATAGTTTTATTAGCAATGATTTTTTTCAGTGTCTTTCATCCTAGCTACATGGGTAAACAAATAGGACTGTGATCCAGGCCTGCCTAGGCATAAAGCAAGATCCTTTCTCAAAAATAAAAGCAAGCTGGGTGCCAGTGGCTCAAGCCTGTAATCCTAGCTACTCAGGAGGCAGGGATCAGGGGGATCTGTTTGGGAGATCTGCTTCAGTTAAAACTGTCTAGGTTTAATATTTTAGGCTAGTGGTATGGTTCAAGTGGTAGGCGGCTCTGAGGTCAATCCCCAGAAACCCTTTTCCCTCAAAAATTAAAAATTTTAAGAACAAAAGATCTTCTCTTTAGATTAGAGGAATGTTAATACCTTTGTATGAGATACTAATTTTCTCCAGCACTCAAGCAATTAATACTAAGAAAGCTCCTTTCATGGGATGGCTTGGAGCTGTGATGTTGAATGGTGGAATTAAAAAGAGGTCACAGTAAATTCTTATTAGTATTAAAGTGGTTTTGTTTACAATTATATTGTTTTTCCTTTATGATTTACTTCATAGTTACCCTCTGAGTGGTGGGACTTCAGCCATCTGCTCAGCTATCTTTTCATCTTTTGACCTTACTATCTATTATAATTTCTGGCTTTTATTTGGATAATGCATATTGAATGAAGAAGAGAGACTATGGTAGGAAAATAAAATTGAGCTGGATTGTGATATGTCTTTGTTGGTATTATTGGAAACTAGATTTTCCCGAATCCATTCCCCTTTGGTTCTGTTATAATGTCAGTAGTCTAACATGTATGAGATTTGGAAGGCAAAACTAAAGGCATTAGTCAGGTTTTGAAGCTTACCATGCAAGAAGAGAGAAGCATATGGACCCTGTGGACACTTGTTTCTAGCCTATTGTCCTGATTCATAGGCTTGCCAATGAAGACTCATGCAAAGCACTTCACTTTTTATATTTTCAGGTTATATTCACAGATGTCTCTACCAGCCCTACCCAAAATATCCCTTCTCACTTGGGATTTTCCTCCAAGCCCTAATGTTGGACTGATTTGGCCTGTCCTGGTTGGAAATACTCTCTGATGATGCTTTGATTCTCCTTTTCTATAGACTGATTGAATTTATATAGGTCTGATTTGTATATGCATACCTGGTTCTCAGTGGTAGTTACTGTGTTCCTGATTGCATAACAGCAGCAGTGATGCTGTCAAAAAGACTGCTCTGTCTTTATGTCTGAGAAGATGCACCTTTCTTGTGTCAGAAACACTGGGTGTTTCCTGTTTCTCACAGCTGAATGTACTCACTCAATGCTTTTCAATCCATGTTTTATTCTCTTGGATTAAAATAAAATTCTGTACATTTCTTAGAAATATTTTAATATTTTCAACTAAATTGCATACCAAACAAAACATGTTCTTCGTCTTACCTCCTTAAAATTGTTCTCTCTACACCTCTCACTATATTGTTCCAATTGTTTCCCAAGCCTCAAGCCTCTTGTGGTTGACTCCCAAACTGTCAGCCTTAAATCAGTATTTCAATAAAATTCCCTACCTAAATATTCAAATTGAACATATTCAGAATACTTACTGATTTTATTGTTAATGGCTATTCTTCTGTTAGTTGGAATTGAAATCTGTACAACTAATTTGCATCCCTCTTAATAAGACCTACAATTCTGTCTGTGAATTGGATATAGTATCTAATCTCCACTTTATCTTCATTTTTACTACTACAATTTAGAACTATTTCTCATCTAGATTATAATTTTCTCCTGTGTGAATAAAATATTTTTACGTCTTAAATTATAAGCAATAGTGTTTAAGATATTTAAAAATACAAGCATACCTATTCTCCAGAAGTAATCTGCAATTTCTTCAGCCATTTTTACATAAATTAATTTTGTTTACAAAACAGGTTGGTAACCATACATTGTACTACAGTTGTACTTAGTTTTTCGTTTTAAATATATTGTCATGTCACATGTCACACATCCATCATTCTTAACATCTGTAATCCACTATGGATGTATCATCATTTTGATCAGTTCCCTATTGATACACATTTGATCTCTGAAATAGCAGGTTACATATATAAGTTACATTTATCTTGGAGGAAGGGGAGTGAGCTCAGCTCTTAAGGAATTCTGACAGAGCAGATAACAGACTCCTTAACCCAAGGATTGACAATTGACCTTATTTCTAATAACATTACTTTTTTTGCTTAAACAGCCAGAATCTAACTTCATGCTTGCAATAACAGGCACCTAATTAGTTGTACAGGTTTTTCTAACTCTTTACTATCATGAACTAGCTCAATAAATCAAACATCTTTTTGGTTTTTGGGCAAATACACAATAACCTATTTTAATGTTTATCATTGTTTAATTTGCCTCATTTTTCTTGTGCTATACTGTTACTAAGAGCAAGGACCACTTCTTACTACTCTTGTGAACCCCAAGTACCACACTATGTAGCACAAAATTTTTAAAATAGAGGTAAAATTCACAGAGCAAAATCAATTTAAAAGTGTCTAACTGAAGGCATTTTAGTACAAATGATGTTGTGCAATCATCACTTACATCTAGTTCCAAGGCCACAATTTGAAGTGAAAGCATTTTCAGGCCCAGCTCAATCTTCCTAAGTTTTATCTTGTCTATGGGAGCCATAGACAAGTTATATCTTGTCTGTAGCTTAAAAAATTGTAGCAACAACTAGTAAGATTAGATTATTAATTTCCTACATCTGTACTCTAAATTGGAGTTAAGTATAAACAGCTGTTTGCAATAAACAGGAAAGTTAGATTCAGAATTTGATGTGTGTCCCCTTTGTCTCGTACACCTTCAGTTCCTGAGTCTGCCATCTCTACGGACAGGAAACTACAAAGAACATCTCAATTACAGGGAAGGAGAATACTGACACCCTTTCCCCTTGGGGTGTGAACTCAGGGCCTCAGCTTGCTAGGCAGGTGTTCTACCACTGGAGCCACTCCACTAGCCCTTTTTTGTGTTGGGTATTTTCAAGATGGGGAGGTCTCACGAACTATTTACCTGGGCTGCCCTCAAACTGCGATCCTCCTTATCTCTGCCTCTTCAGTATGCAGGATTACAGGCATGAGGCACCAGCGTCCGGCTCCCTTTCCCATGGCGACACCTCTACTCCAGTGGCAAAAACAGGAAGGGTAGGGTGTGTGTCTGCATTCTTTAGTCCGTGGTCTCGTTTTCCCATTACCAAAATGAGAAACCCCTCTTCAGGTTACACAATCTGGAGCTTTCGAACTCCATTTGCTTCGGTAAGCAGAGAGGAAGTCTTAAAAACTTTACAATTTGAGTTCCCTCCCAGAGAAAGAACCACTAACCACGAACCCCCGGTACCAGGGTTTCTCACAGTGAGGACCACAGGACCACCTACCTGCCGCCAAATATCCGAGAGCAGTGGCTCAAAACGCAGATTTCCGGGGCCCCAATCCCACAACCTTGGAGTAAGAATACCCAGGGGTGGGACTTCAAAGCCTACGATTTCCACTACCACGGTAGGTGGCTCCAAGTCTTTAGTGCGCTAAAATTTGAGAGCTGAGGGGCACCGCCTCTCGGCTGGCTGGGGGAGTTGTGAAGAAGAATAACAGCGCACCGCACTCCGACTACCGGCTCCAAACACGCAACTCTGCTGCAACGACTCACCAAATCTCGTGTGCGCTCCCGCACCGCGGGAACTAGTCGCGCGCCTCTCCTCTTCCAGCCCCGCCCGCTGCGCTTTGCGCGCATGCGCACCGCGCAGTCTCCGGCGGTCGCGCCTCTAGCTGCCCTGGTTACCGTTGGTGTTTGCGAATTCTCTGCAGCGCCTTCTTCTGCGACCAGCGCCTCGGGACTCCCGCGGCGGTTCGACACGCGCACGCCCGCGTCACGTGGGCCGAAGCTCCCTCACCGGCGCTAGCTGGTGGCTAAGGCGGGAGGAAGGAGCAGTGGCCACCGGTCGCCCTCCCATTCTGCGCCCCAAGGCCGGCGTGCATATAAAAAAATGGCGAAATGGGGGTAGCCGTCACCGACCCTGAAACGATGGGATGCGCAGGTGGGACGGTTGTTGGAACCCCCTGACGTGGGCGCAGGGGCTGTTCTCGGAGATTTGTCCTGGCGACCTCGAGCCGACACTTAATAGGGCAGACCACGGACTCCGCGGGTCGCCGAGGGCTCCGCCGAGAGCCGGAGGCAATGGATGAACAGAGTGTGGAGGTGAGATGCGGCGTGGAGGGTGGTGGTTAAGTCTCCCCCGCCAGCCGGGAAACGTGATTTTTTTTTTCTTTTTTCTTTTTTTTTTTTTTAACTCGGGGCGGCTTGCCCTCGCCCTGTCTCTGTGAAGGACCCCCCCACCCCCAATCCAGTCGTTGCTGCCGGGAAGAGGGCTGACCCGGTGCTTGTTCTGCAGCCCTCCGGGTACTTGTACACAGACGGTTCTGAGTCAGGTGCTCCATGTTCTGGCGTTTTCGGGATGTCTTGGCACCTGTACTCATCCTATCCGGTATTTGCAAACTACTGCCTTTGCAGAGCAAAACTGCAAATTCATCAGACGGACGTGCCCTGGGCAGGAGAGCTCATCGAGATCCGGATTGAATGGATAATCGTCTTTACCTCTCAGCGTTGCAGTTCGCATGCTTCTGTCCCTCCAAGAGTGAATGAAGATATATGTGGAGGCAGAGAAATATATATTTGTCTACCTAGATAGACAGATATATGTGTGTATACATATTTATATCTAAATATATCTATATGGAAGCTACGGTCCACTATATATATATTTATATATGGTATATATAGGTACAGTGGTCCGTAGTTTCCGTGACAAATTGTTCTTTTACTTTTCTAGATACAGGATCTCGCTGTGTGTCCCAGGCTGGCCTGGAACTCGCGATCCTCTTGCCTCAGCCTCCTGAGTGCTGGGATTACAGATGTGTACCACCACTCCAGGCAGAACATGCTATTCTTTTTATATCTGACTCTTGTAAGACGATTTCACATAGTTGAGTTATTTCCATAAAGGCTAGAAACAGCAAAAAAGAAATTGTTTGTTGGACGTAATTATGTAATGGCTTAAAATTTGAACCTTTTGGTAAGGGATAACTGTGTTACTGAGCACTGTCCTTGAAACTAATTCACCCAGTGGTCTTATTTTTTTATTTTTTTTTTTTTTATCTTTTCTTTTTTGGTGCTGGGATCGAACCCAGGGCCTCACGCATGCTAGGCAAGCGCTGTACCACCGAGCTACATCCCAGCCCTCCAGTGGTCTTATTATCTATCCCCACAGCTAGTTAAGAGTCTGTCACTCACAGTCTCTGGCCCTGCAGTCATGATTAGACATATGAGTAATTTTCTCAATTTCTCATGTGAGAGTATTTTTTTAATTTCCTTTATTCATATGTACATACAATGATTGGATCATTACTCCCCCCTTCACCCCGCCCCCTCCCTCCTTTGCCCCCCAAATGTGAGAGTCTTTAAACTTAGTTTGAGGGGGAGTTAATTCTTCTGTAATGAAGTAAAATGTCAGTACTGTAAAAATAAACTCAAAACGTATAATGGCGGTACATTTTAATTTTATGTGTTTTCTTGTTTTAACTTGTGAATTACTCTTTTTTTTTTGAGACGGGTCTCACTATGAAGGCCAGGCTGTCCTGGAACTCCAGATTCTCCTGCCCCAGCTTCTCTAGTGGTGGAATTACAGAAATGTACCATTATGCTTAGTTTGCCAATTACTTTCTAAATGGATTCAACTGAGGCTTGCAAAGATAACACTGTTTCTTCTATTTATAAATTAATGTTTTCACATTAGCATATATTAATTGCACAAAGAATTGGTGTCATTATTATATTTGCAATTTTTTTTTTGTTCCTCACAAGGCATCATAGAGCTGCCACGGAAATTTTCAGTAATGGTAGACTCTCAGGTTTAAAAAGTAGCTAGTTGGTTGCATCATTCTTTTTTTTTTTTTAATTTATATATTCATATATGCATACATTGTTCGGGCCATTTCTCCCCTGGCCCCTCCCTCTCTCCCCCACCCCCCTAGCTTCCAGGCAGAACCTGTTCTGCCCTTTTCTCTAATTTTGTTGAAGAGTAGACTTAAGCAATAATAAGAAAGACAGTGTTTTTGCTAGTTGAGAAGCTCAGATTTCTGATTTTGAATTAGTTTCTCTCTGGACCAAAATACACTACTATTAGAATACATAAGTTTTTAAAACTTTATTTTCCTTTTAATTATAAAAGTAGTTTATCTCCTTTGGGGAAATTGCAGAAAAAGTGAAAAGTTCATATTCATTCATATAGTTTGCCTTTATTTCTTCCTGTTATACAGCCTTAGCATTTTTCTGTATCATTAAATCAAGAAGTATTTCTAGTGACTGTGTCATATTCTGTGTACTTGCCATAACTTAATTAATATTTGGATATTTTATGTCTAGCCAGACATGTGGCCAGATTCTTGCCATTATTATTGATTCAGTGAAAATATTTGTGCATAAAATCTATATTTGCATTTCATATCTTCCTTATAATAGAATCATTGCCAAGCTTAGGGGAAAAATGGGACCCTGGGCTTTGACTAGTTAAATCCTGATAGAAAAACTGAGATGTTACCATCTTAAAATAAATGTAAATACTGAGTGAATTATCTTCCTCCCCCCTTCACCATTTTCAACTCAGGGCTTCACACTTTCAAAGCAGGTACTCTACCGCTTGAGCCACATCTCCAGCCCATTTATTATCATGCCTTTTATTCTTGATTTAGCAGTCTAGTCTGGGAAACTTAACGATATTTTACTATTTTCAGAGCATTGCTGAAGTTTTCCGATGTTTCATTTGTATGGAGAAATTGCGGGATGCTCGCTTGTGTCCTCATTGTTCCAAGCTTTGTTGTTTTAGCTGTATTAGGGTAAGTTGTGTTTCTTTTTACATACATTTAGTTTATATTTGCTATATTACAAGTAGTAACCATTTTGTGCCCTTTGGAAAAATGTCTCTTTTTGTATTGCCTAATACTGTGGAGAGTAATAAACAGTGATAACTGCCATGAAATGTATTGAAGATAGCTCGGTGCCTCTGGAAACAGCTCACTGTAATTTTAATATACTTACATTATTAGATTCACTACACCTTTAACAAATTGCCTGTATTGTGCCTGAGGTTGAGGATACTAAGATAAATGACAAAGCGCTTTCCTTGAATGGCGTTTACTGTTTATATTGAAAAATGTGTGGTATCATAAAGAGGAACTAAAAATGCTGGGTTCAGAAAAGGGAGAGTTTATATGTGTTTGGTGGGTAGATAGAAAAAAAGTGGGCAATGGGTTCAGAAAGAAAAAAGAAAATCCTATAATGGCATATTACATGAGAGAGTAGAGGTGAATGTAATCTATTGGCTTTAGAACTTGAATCTAAGTAAACATCTTGAACAAAGTTATAAGGATGCCCAAGATTTGAAACAGAAGAATTTGTTTGGGTTGTGTGTGGGGGTCCAATAGTATATCTGAGGAGCACAGTTGAAAACTCCCTGGTCACATTACTCTGAGAGAATTTCCTTTACTGAGGAAATCAAAGCCATCTAATGTGTTCTTCACCTCAGAATTTGCTTACTTATTTTTGCCTAAGGAAGGCATATGTCCTTTTGTCAAGAGTAATGTCTATTAACAGTTAAATAATTGCCTTCTAGTCACAGAGCTAGCAAATGGTGGAGTTGGAATTGAACTCTGTAAGTCTGACTCTAGAGCCTGTATTCTTTGCTACTACACCATGTTCAGAAGCCGTAGATTACATATGGTGTTAGTTCTCACTCTGATAAAAGGAGAGACTTAATCTTTCTTAGCCTTGTTTCCTCAGCTATAGAATTCAGATAATAAAATCTACATCCCAGGGTGGTTAGGCATTAAATGAAATAAGTTAAAGAGTAATTCAGAAATTATATATCACTATAAAGTGTTTATAAAGTATTATAAAATCATAAAGTGTTATATTATTCTAGTTGTTAAAATATCAACCAACACACACAACATGTATCTACATTTTATAAATGATGGAACTGAAGCTAGAGAGATTAATTGGCCTCCATCACTATAGTTAATTAATTGGAAGAGTCTAGATCTGGACTTAGTTCTTGTAATTGAAGGTCCTGTATGCTTTTCACCTCTAGTTATTATCTTGTACCTTTTTCCGGGGGCCGGGGTTGGGGGACTGTACTGGGTTTTGAACTCACACTTGCTAGATAGGCACTCTTCCTTTTTCAAGTTGAAGAAGTTACCTTCTTTTCCACTTACTGTTTTTACCATAAAAGGACAGTAGATTTTGTTAGATGCCTTCTGTGTATCAATAAAGATGATTTTGTGGTTGCCTAGCAAGTATAAGGCCCTGAGTTCAATCCCAGTACTGCCAAAAAAAAAAAAAAAAAGCATGTTTTGTTTTCTTTCTTTATTCTATTATCATGATGTATTACATGGAATGATTTTTGTATGTTGAACTTCCCTGCATTCCAGGAATAAATCCTATTTGGTCATGGCGCATAAGCTTTTTAAATGTATTGTTGGATCCATTTTTGTAGGATTTTGTTGAAGATTTTTATAGCACAGTTTCTCTAATCAATGTCTTAAATTCAGTAGCAATAAATTTGTGTTTAAATTTTTCATTTAGTATTATGAATGAGGATGAGGATACATAGTGTCTGTTCTTTTTTTTCCTTTGGAATGGAGGGTCAGTACCAGAGTTTGAACTCAGGGCCTTACGCTTGCCAGGCAGGTATTCTACCACTTGAGCCACTCCGCCAGGCCTCTTTTGTGTTGTTTTTGAAATAGGGTCTGGAGAACTATTAACCTGGGCTAGCCTATAATTGCAATCCTCCTGGTCTCTGCTTCCTGAGTAACTGGGATTATAAGCCTGAGCCACTGGTGTCTGTTGAGCCTGTCCTCTTAATTGTAGTATCCCTGTGATTCCGATACTGAAGAAATAGAAGGAATTGGATAAATATAGTTAATTTCAAATGCAATACTGTACTCATAATACAAGGTTGTGTGTGGTTTTATTTTTGTTTTGAAGGTCTTGTTATGTAGCCCAGGCTGGTCTTGAATTTGCTATCCTTCTGCTTCTGTTTCTGTCTCCTCAATGCCTTTTTTTTGGAGACTTTCCCAGGCTACCTTGAATTTGCGATCCTTCTGCTTCATTCTCCCAAGTATCTGGGATCACAGGTGTGTATCAACTCCCCTGACTACAATAAGATTTTAAATGATTGCTGTTTCTTTTTTTTTGGTGATACTAGGGCTTGAACTCCTCCTCATGCTTGCTAGGCAGGTGTTCCACCACTTGAGCCACATCACCTGCCCTTGATGGCTGCTTTTTCTGTTACAAAGATGATATATTTAAAAAAAAACAGGAAACAACAACAAAACCCCACCATCTTTTTGTTTGATCTTCTGTTATACTGAGTAACCTTATTTATCATCTGATTATTCTGTATTCTAGAGAATTCATATACATGGTTGTTAAGGTAATTAATTACTTATGTAAGTGTTTGGAAATGAGCAAAGGAACTGCTCTTCCTCTTTGAGATAGACATACCAGGAGGAGGGAACTTTTGTTGCAGTTATAAAATGATTGTGCGAGTCTATTTAACACATATTTGTTATGGATATGTAGTGTACCTCAAATTGTACTTACAGTACATGAGAAACTTTGTTTCATAAAGCATAAGAAAGACCTTCATGATCTGCCTCCTGGTCCCTGCAGTTTTGAATCATTTGAAATAAAATTCCTTTGTTAGTGAATATCCTTGTAATTCCTGCCTAATGATTTCTGTTACAGCTAATGAATGAATTAGATGAATTTTTTTCCCCCACACCATTTCTTTGTAGCTTCACCTTCCATTTACTCTTCAACCCATTCTAACTTGGCTTTGATTTCCTCTACCCTATTCATATGGTTTTGCAAGGTCATAAATTCAGTTTTGCTAAACCCTGTGAACACTTTTTTAAATTGTTCCTTCTTAGAGCTTTCGGTACAAATGACTATCTTTCTTGAAATATTTTCTCATTTGCCTTTTTGGACAATCATCCCTTCAGTTTCCTATTACAGCTTTCTCTACTTACCTGAAAATGTTGGAGTGCCAGAGCTAAGATCTTTTTTTTATATAGCTATGTTATCTCATGATCTTATGGCTCTAAATACTACCACTATACTCATAATTCCCAAATTTATCTTTTGAGGGGGTCTTTTTTTTGGGGGGGAGGTTTTTTGATAGTACTGGGGTTGAACTCAGTGCCTCATGCTTGCTAGGCCGGCACTCTACCACTTGAGCCACACCTCCAGCCCCCCCAAATTTATCTTTTGAGCCCTGCCTTCTCCCCTGCCTGCCTCTAGCATACAGCTGGCTAATTTGGATTTATTATAGGCATCTTAAACATCTTGTAGGGATCCAGTTTGACCTGACTGCAACCATCTTGAGTTGTAATTGCCATGATTGCACGTGATTAACCCTTTCTCCCCCTGCCCATAATTTCTCAGCATACTGTGAATAAACAAGACCATTAGAGTAGTACATGGAACTTTATGACCAGTCTTTGATACTGTTTGCACCAGAAATTGCCTGAAGTCCTTGATGTTAGCTTGAAATAAACCAGATATATTCTAGCTTGGTAAAAATCACTTTTGTCATGACCACTACGAAAGCTTCCTCTCTCTGACCCAATTCATGGGGATCCACTGGTCTTGGTGTAACTCTTGATCAAGCTTTTGTCAGTAAGTCCTCAGTAAATTGTATTTTGTTCAGTCCTGCATTTGTCTGTCACTTTCTTCTCTGTTATGCCTTCTACCTACAGTGGCTAGTTCTTTTATACTAGATTTTTCTATAAGCAATGTTTTGATTTACCATCATACATCATTTTTATCTTGAACCTACTTTTTTCCCAAAAACTGAGGAATTTTTTTGTTCTCACTTCTGGTAGTATGAACAATAAATGTTAGCACCTGTTTTTTTAAAATAGATTATTTTATATACTTAGTATATACTAGCTGTTTCTTTCTAAACCTTTGAGCAGTTTGCAGGGTAGGGATGTTAATTCTCTCCTGCACGTGAGAAAACAATCTGTTGTCCAGTGTCACATAGTAAGTGCCAGAGCTAAGAATCAGAATCAGATCTGAATACTTCTAAAGCTTGTGACTCTTCTGTTTTATAAAGGAGAAGAATTAATTCCTTTCTGAGGGAAGGGGGTCTAAAGATGCTCCTTACCTATCAATGTGGTGTCATTGGTTCTTACTTTTGGTTTTGGTTTAGGAGAAACATTGTTTTTCCCAAAGTGTTAAAACTGCCATATTAAGTTTACTGTGATGGGCTGGCAGAGTGGCTCAAGTGGTGGAGTTCCTGCCTGGCAAGAGCAAGGCCCTGAAATGAGCCCAAGTACCTCCCTCTCCTGCCCGAAATTAGGTAAAAATGCTACAAATATACAGGAATGGAAAGCTTACTCTATCCTGGGATAGGCAAGAAAGTTTCATGGAATAATCAAAGGAAATTTCTATGGGACAGATGTGAAGGGACTATATAAACAAGTATACAACTATTATGCCAAGTGTGGTATATATTGCAGTACATAGCCTATTTTGACTGGGAGGGAGGGGCATATTAAAAAATATGATTTGGTAACTCCTATTATGGTCCCAACCTTTTTATTTTTTGCATTGCTGAGGACTGAACCCAGGGTTTCCCACTTGCTAAGGAAGCGAAGTCTCACTTGAGCTATGCCCTAGCCCTTTTGTTTTTGAGATATGGTGGTGTTAACTTTGTCTTGATTGGCCTGGAACTCATAATCCTTTTGGTTCTGCCTCCATAATATCTGGGGTTACAGGTGTGTACCACCATATCTGACTAATCTCAACCTTTAATGAGTTTCTAATCTGGCAGTGTAGGGGAGACCAACAAATCATAATAAAAAGTATGAACATAAAGAAGGGGGAAATAAGGTTTGTTGTGGGAGAACATGGCAGTGGTATTTAAAATAGTCTGAAGAGGTCAGGTGCTGTTACTCACATCTGTAATCCTAGCTACTTGAGAGGCAGAGATTGGGAGAATTACTGTTCTAGGCCAGCTTGGGAAATAGACCCCATCTCAACCAATAGCCAGTTGTGGTACTGAAGGAGGCATAAATAGGGAGGGTCATCATCCAAGGCCTGCCTGAAGTAAAAAAAAAAAAAAAAAAAAAAAAAAGACCCTATCCAAAAAGTGACTAAACAAAAAAAGGGCTGGTCCCTAGTACTGCCAAAAAAGAAAAAAATTGTTAATAAGTATCCTGGTCAGACCTAGGAAACATTTCAAGGCTTAATGTTGCTGGGTCATAGGGTGAGGCTGAAGAGGCTGGACAATTCTTGAGGGTAAATACAGGAAGACACAATTCAACAGAAAAATGGCATGGTCAGAGCAGTGTTTTGGAGGAAACCTTACCCAAGTCTCAATTTCACCCGAAGAAATAACTGCTCAAGGATATGAAAAATGAAGTAATTTTTTTTCCATTTGCTCCCTTTTTTCTTCCATCTTTATTTTCTTTGCTGTGAAGTAACTTGTTTGTCATCTTGAGTGTTTTATTGTCCTTTAAGGTTTTCTTAGAAATTTCATTTCGAATTATTTGAGTTCACATAAAGTTCATCTTCTTTCAGAGTAGTTGAATGGGATAGGCAGAAATAATGTAACTGTGCTTGTATAGGATTAATTATTTACCTCAGACCGTATTTGTCAGATATTAAAACAAAGTGAAACTTTTAACCCCAACTATTTTCAGAAACTTACTCAGAAAATCTTGGTATATCTTTTGTATATGGTATAAAACTATTCCTAATCTAGCAGTTACTTATTTAAATGATTAAATTAATAAAATTTGGGATTTTGCAGAAACAATTACTTTCTTCTAAAACCTTGGTATAATTATGAGGAAACCAGAGTTCCTAGATGTTTACTTTTAACACTTAGAAAAAGTTGTTATATTTTTTAATTCATATTTTAAGTCTAATTTATATGTTCAAAATGTATATGCCTTAGAATTAGTTTGCTTTTCAAAAGATAAATTTAGTAGTATCTTAAACTCAGGGGTTTTGTAGTAGGTTAGTTAGAAGTAAATGATTACTATGGTTTATTTTATTTTTTAATCATTGTGCTGGGTGGGGGTACATTGTAGAATTTACAAAAGATCTTACAATATGTTAAATATATCGTACTTGAACTCACCCCCTCCACCATTTGCCTTTATCCCCCTCTCTGCTATGGTTTATTTTTGAGGATGAGGTGACAGTAACATTATTTTTGTGAAGATTACATCATCTTTGTGAGTCCTAGAGTCACTTCCTACCTGATGGAAGAGTAGCCTCTTAACCATTTTGGGATAAGTTCTGTCCCCTCTCTTTTTTAAAAATTTTTTTTTTTTTTTTCACATGAAAGTTCTGTCCCTTTGAAAGTTTGTTTCTGTCATGATGGTAATGATAGGGAGATAATAAATTGCCTATTATTTAAGTATTTCTGAAATAAATTTAGGCATTAGAGAATTAAACTCATTATATTTGATTATAAATACTACATGTATACAAATTAGTGGTGTTTTTACAATCAAAATCTAATTTTTTTACCTCCTTAGCGCTGGCTGACCGAGCAGAGAGCTCAGTGTCCTCATTGCCGGTAAGTGTTTTTGCTACAATTATTTGTGTATTCGGAAGATGGTAAGGCTGTGGGGTCAGAGTGTGTAATAGGATTCATTAAGACAAAATTTTTCTCTGATTTTCCATATTTCTGTGTGAATATGGTTGAATAGAAAATAAACAGTGGGTCTATAAAAAGAAACGCAGACTAGTTTTCATGACTTAGATTTATGTAGGATGCATTAGGTTGTATGATGTTGTACCCTTGCTGCCTCTATTACAGTCGTTGTGTAGCTTCTTAGCTTATCTTTTAAACAAAAATGTTTTTTAAAAAAAAAAAATTTAAAATTTTTAAACAAAAATGTTAATGTTTCAGACTTAAAAATCCCAGTAGTAGAGATAAATATTAAGGGCTATGGATTCTAATACTTCCTTTCCTATCCTTTTAAAAAAAATAACACTTTGAGAAGAAATTGTTTGACATGTTGTCTGTTCTTTTTCTTCTCATTTTTTAATGCATATTCTGATGTGTGTACTTACATGCTTTTTCTTAAATCCACTCAAGATGTAAAATGGTTTTATAATTTGCTTGTTCATGTGAATATGGTGGTGTCTCTCCTTGATGTATTTATGCATATGTCATTTAAAAAATAAGTTTGAGCCAGGTGCCAGTGGCTCATGCCTATAATCCTAGCTAATTAAGATCAGTAGGATCTCAATTCAAAGCCAGCTCCAGGCAAATAGTTCGAAAGACCCTATCTCAAAAAATCCCATCACAAAAGACTGGTGGAGTGGCTCTATGTGTAGCGCCTGAGTTCAAACCGCAGTACTGCAAAAAAAAGTTGCATAATAATTCTTTGTAAGTATACCTTGATTTATTTATGCCCATATTGAGAGACATTTCAGTTGTTTCCATTTTTGGTTATTTCAAATAATGATACCAGAGTGCATATTTTGCCCGTTTTTCTTCTTTATTTACTTTTCTCACGCTAGCTTGTGAAAAGACCAGCGCTATTAAATAGTGTCTTCCATTGATGGAGATGTCCTAGGTTCTACACAATCCGATATGCTAGCTACTTGACACATACGGCTTTTGAGCATTTGATATGTAGCTAGTGTAACTGTTTTGTGTTTTTTTGAGAGAAGATCTCCCTGTGAGCCTCTTCGTTCGGCCTCCAATGTGCTGGGATTACAAGCATGAACTACCATGCTTGAAATTTTATTTTTTTCAAAATTATAATTAAAGTATTTATGTGGTTAGTGGGTATCATGTTTATTGTTGTCTTGGTGGATTGAACCCAGGGCTTTTACACATGCTAAACATGCATTCCACCACTGAGCTATATGCATAGCCTTGTGGCTATCTTTTTAGACTTCAGAGCTTTAGACAAAGGTATTGAAAATTTAATGTGTAATCTGAATTGTCAGTATTTTTGTTGAGGTTGTTGAGTTAGAAGGTTTCTTTTGTTGTTGCTTTTGGTAAATGATCTACTAATATGATGAATATGTTTGTTAAAAATTGCAAAGATTGCAAAAGATACTTTCATTGTATCTTTGTGGGTTTTTTTTGAGACAAGGTCTCATGTAGTCTGGGCTGGCCTTAAACTTGAGTGATGGAATTTCAGGTGTGCTCAGCCATGCCTGGCTTTGTTTTTTTGTTTTTTTGTTTTTTTTTAAGACAAAGTCTCACTATGTAGCCAAGATTGGCCTTGAATTTGTGATCCTCATGCTTAGACTCTGGATTGCTGGGATCACAGTGTGGGCCACTGTGTCTGGCTTTTGTTAATATTTTAATAATGTTGTGATATGAATATTATTATGAGATCTATTTTGAGGAACATGTTTGTTTTCACAAATCTCAAATTTCTAAAGTAGAATATGTGTATGAATTTTCCTTCCAGTGCTCCACTGCAGCTACGAGAGCTAGTAAATTGTCGTTGGGCAGAAGAAGTAACACAACAGCTTGATACTCTTCAACTCTGCAGTCTCACCAAACATGAAGAAAATGAAAAGGACAAGTACATCATTTTTTTTGTTATTCAGTGTTTAATAGATTTTTGCCATGTGCGATTTAATGACACACTCTATACCCATAAACAAACACATATACATAAACATTGTGTGAGAGTGGGGCTGGGAATTGAACCCAGAGTCTCATGTATGTGAAGGCTGTACTCTGCCACTGAGCTAATCCCCCAGCACTAATGGTACTGTATTGATAGTTAGTTCTCTTTTGATAATTTATAAATGAGGAAGTTAATGGTCCTTAAGTTTTTAATTCTTTCATTTGACTGGTGCTTCTGCTGCTTAATGTATAAAATGAGTCATTCTTACTGCATTTAACATTTATTTTATGCCATTTATACACATACCAAGTACAGTGCTAGATTATGGGGATACAAAGGCAAATGTCTGCTGACCTGTTTAATAGGAGTACAATGATAATACAGTGTTAACTTAATGTTGGAGATTGCCATGGGAGCAGAATCTTTGTAGGACAAGAATTAATGAATGGGTTTATGTTACATGATTCAACAATTCTGACCGTATGTAGAGGGTTGCTATGAGGAGCAGATTAAGAGAGGAAAGACAAGTAATATGGCAGTGATCTGTTTATAGGTGAAGAACTACGTGGTAAATTGCTTGCAGTACTTTCCAGCGATAATAACTTGAGTCAGTATAGATTTCAAAAATGTTGAGTATATAAAAATAAAGTCATATCTTTTTCTGTAGATTTACAACATGTTAAAGCAAGAAGTTAAAACTTCAGGGTCATTAGGAAAAAACCTTTCCCTGTTCCTTTATATTTTGAGGAAATAGAACTGTAGAAATGAAAGAATCATTACATCTTAATTCATAATTAGAAATAAGACCAAGTGTTGTTTCTATTATTATTCTAGTTAAAGTAGACTCTTAAAGATTTCTGTTACTTCTAGCATTATGGAGGTAGCACCTAATAGAACGATTTAATCTTTCATTTTCTGTATAATAGTACATTTCCCTTAGGAGTTTTTTTCTTTGGGATGGTTGATACCAGTATTTGGAAACCCCCTTTTTGTTTGTCTTTTATTAGAGTCTCTCATAAAAGGAATTAGCTGAAGTTTGCTAATGTGACAATTTCTCTTTTTCTTTTCTCTCATAGTCTTTCTCTCTTCCTCTCTCTGTCTGTCTCTCCCTGGGATAGGGTCTTGCTGTGTAGGCCAAGCTGGCCTCAAACTCAGTTTTCCTTCCTCAGCCTCCTGCCAGCTCTAATTACAGGGTTTCGCTCCTGCACTACCATGTCCAACTTCTTTTTGAACCCCCCTTTTTTTTTTTTTGTGGTACTGGGGTTTGAACTCAGGGCCTGGCACTCACTAGACAGGTGCTCTTCCACACAAGCCATGCCCCCCAGACTTTTTTACTTAGATTATTTTTGAATAGGCTCTCATTTTTATGTCTGGGCTGGCCTGGAGTGTGATTTTCCTATTTATGTTTTCCTTGTATCTGGGATGATAGGCACACACCACCTTACCTACCTTTAATTGATTGAGGTGGAATATTGCAAATTTTTCCCCTTGGACTGTCCTCAAACCACAGTTCTTTTTTCTCTGCCTCCTAAGTAGATAGGATTACAAGGGAAAGCCACTATGCCCTGCGTTCTTTTTTGCCTCTTTGATAACTGTTGATCTTCCTTGCTTTGCTGAAGGTGCATATAGATTCTTGATTAAGAATTGTGCTTGTATGTTTTCTACAGTGTAAAAGCTATATAAGCTTCCAGACAGTATCTAAAATGCTTTTTTAGCTTCCCGATGCTTACCACAGTCTTTGTTCTTATACTGACTGTATAGATAAAGAGGAAGAAAAGTAAACCTACCCCATTACACTTCAGCCCAGGCCCTGTGCTTGATCTGTATTGTGAATGAGAAGACATGGGGTGAGAAAATAAAATTCAATAAAATAAAATACTTTTATTTTACTTTTATTGATTTCTTATTTGGTATGGTATTTGGATTATTTATAATGAGAACTATAAAATGTAGAGCTGTTCAGGTGTTTTTTTCTGAGCTCAATATCTATCAGTCTATGTCTGTACTTTTCAAACAACAATGTAAATGGACTGAGGAGTGGCTCAAGTGGTCGAGTGCTTGCCCTGCAAGCATGAGGCCCGAATTCAAACCCCAGTACTGAAAAACACTAGTGGCTCATGCCTGTGATCCTTGCTATTCAGGAGGCAGAGATGAGGAGCATTTCAGTTCAAAGCCAGCCCAGGCAAAAAAAAAAAAAAGGGCTGATGGAGTGGGTCAAAGTGTAGAGCCTGAGTTCAAACCCAAGTACTGCAAAAAAAAAAAAAAAAAAGTGTCTGCTTTATAGGAGAGATAAAATGGGATTTTTAAAAAACATTTATAATTCTGATAAAAGTACACATGAGAAAATTTACCATCTTAACTATTTTTAGGTGTACAGCTCAGTATATTATGTTCACATTATTATGTAGCCATTCTCAGGACTTTTTAATCTTACAAAATTGAAACTTGTACTTACTAAACAACTCCTCATTCCCTCTTCCCACCAGCCCCTGGCAGCCACCATTGTATTTTCTGAGTTTGTTTTTCTTTTTGTTTGTGTACGAGTATGTGTTTTTTTTAATTATTTACTGTTTGTATGCTCTAAATTTGTCATATAAGTAAAATCATACAAAATTGAACATTTTGTGATTATTTCATAAAGAAAAGTCACAAAAGAACTTTCAGTTCTTTTGGACATATACCCAGAAGTGGAATTACTAGATAATATGGTAATTATATTTTTATTTTTTTTTCTTTTTTGTGGTACTGGGATTGGACACAGAGCCTCACTCTTGCTATACAAGTACTCTACTACTTCAGTTTCATCCCCAGCCCTTCTGTATTTAGTTATTGAGACAAGGACTTGCTAACTTTCCCCAGGCTTGCCTTGAACTTGCAGTATGCCTTTCTCTACCTCCTAAGTAGCTGAAATTACAGGTGTGAGCCACAATTCCTGGCTTTTAATTTTTTTTTTTTTTTTTTAATGCTAAGGATCAAACTCAGGGCTCATGCTTGTTAGGCAAGTTCTCTATCTCCAACTCCTCTATTTTCAATTTTTTTTGGTCAGTATTGGGGTTTGAACTGGGCTTTGTACTTGCTAGACAGGCTTTCTACCACTTGAGCCACAGCTCCAACCCTTTTTTTTTTTTAGCAGTCCTGGGATTTGAACTCAGGGCCTCATGCTTGTAGACAAGTGCTTTTACCACTTGAGCCACTCTACCACCCAGTCCTTCTAGTTTTAATTTTTAAGGAACCTCTGTATAATTTTTTTTTTGTGATACTGGGGTTTGCACTCAGGGCCTACACCTTGAGCCACGCTTCCAGTCCGTTTTTGTGATGGATTTTTTTGAGATAGGGTCTCACGACCTATTGGCCTGGGCTAGCTTGAACTGCCATTTTCCTGATCTCTGCCTCTTGAGTTGCTATGATTGTGGGCGTGAGCCACCTGCGTGCTGGCTCCTCCAAACCCCTTTTCTTTTTTTTTTTCATTTTTCTTTTATTATTCATATGTGTATACAAGGCTTGGTTTATTTCTCCCCCCTGCCCCCACCCCCTCCCTTTCCACCCACTCCACCCCCTCCCGCTCCCCCGCCTCAATACCCAGCAGAAACTATTTTGCCCTTATCTCTAATTTTGTTGTAGAGAGAGTATAAGCAATAATAGGAAGGAACAAGGGGTTTTGCTGGTTGAGATAAGGATAGCTATACAGGGCATAGCTATTGATTTCCTGTGCGTGGGTGTTACCTTCTAGGTTAATTCTTTTTGATCTCACCTTTTCTCTAGTTCCTGGTCCCCTTTTCCTATTGGCCTCAGTTGCTTTAAGGTATCTGCTTTAGTTTCTCTGCATTAAGGGCAACAAATGCTAGCTAGTTTTTTAGGTGTCTTACCTATCCTCACCCCTCTCTTGTGTGCTCTCGCTTTTATCATGTGCTCATAGTCCAATCCCCTTGTTGTCCAAACCCCTTTTCTATAGCGCTATTCCATTTTACAGTCCTATCCGTTGTGCACAAAGGTTCCAGTTTCTCCACCTGTTTCTAATACTTCTAGGTCTTGTAAGTTTTTTGTTTTGATAGCTGCCATCCTAGTGGATGTGAGGGTTGTTTTGTTTTTGTCTTTTGAGACAGGGTCTTGCTATGTAGTGAGTCTTGAACTCATGATTCTCCTGCCTCAGCCTCCTGAGTGCTGGGAGTAGAGGTATATACCACCACACCCCACCTGGGTCTCCCTTACAGGTGCGCATAACTATACCTTGACTTGATTGGGATTTTTATGCACAGAAACTTTTCATTTTGATGTAGCTCCTGAGCTTGTGCCTTGAGATATTGGTGTCATATCTAAGAAGTCACTGTCAAGTTTAGTGTCATGAAGTTTTTCCTCTTTGTGTTGGTTTGATCTGTTTTCAGTTCATTTTTATATATGATGTAAGTAAGGGTCTGTTTTAGTCTGCTGGGGGTGCCATAATAATATCACAGATTGAGTGGCTTGCACAATGAAAATTAGTTTTTTTTCACAGTTCTGGGGGCTGGAAGTCCAAGATAAATGTACTGGCAGGTTTGGTTTCTAGTGAGGTCTCTTGCCTTGACTTTTGAATGCCTACCCTCTTGTTCTGTCCTTACCTGACCTTTGCTGTGTATGCATTTGCTTCTGATACCTCTTCCTCTTATTTATAAGGACACTAGTCCTGTTGGATTTGAGTCCTTCTTTCCTCCCTTCTTCTCTCTTTCTCTCTTTTTCCATTTTTGAGACAGGGTCCTGCTGTATACTTCAGACTTTCCTCGAGCTTGCCATTCTCCTGCCTCAGCCTCCTGAGTGCCAGGATTATAGACCCATGCCCAGTCTGGGTCTCCCCTTTATTATCTCATATAAACTCAGTTGTCTTCTTAAGGACTGTATTCAAATACAGTCACATTTGAGGGTTAAAGCTTCAACATAGGAATTTGAGGTAACAATGCAGTCTGTAACAATTCAGCTTCATTGGTTTGCATGTAGCTGCTATCTGGTATAAGAGAAAACTCAAAATTGAGTGTTCATCTTTGATAAGGATCTGGAATTACTTTGTGTAATTATGTGTCTTGATTATTATCATTGGCCATGTGAAGGAAAAGCTTTTGTGTATTCACTCAGGTTTATGTATGTATTGACACATCAATCTGATTACTAAGCACTTGCCTAAAATTTAATAGTAGAATACCATTGTCTGTACTGATGCTGTGGAGTGGTACTATATTTGTCCTTTAATTAGAAAAGAATCTGCAATTTGCATGGGCTTGTAAAATTTATATTAATAAAAACAGTACTTCAAAAATTTTGTCCATATATAATTCTTTAGCTTAATTAAAAGAAGCCATGGAATACATTTTACGTAATACATGATTCTTTAAAATTGAGTGACCTATTTGCCCTACCTTATGAACATTTTAGATCATTATATTTCAGTTTTAATTTATAATAATTTATAACTGTATTTTCTTTTCATGATGTATAGATGTGAAAATCACCATGAGAAACTTAGTGTATTTTGCTGGACTTGTAAGAAGTGTATCTGCCATCAGTGTGCACTTTGGGGAGGAATGGTGAGCAGAACAAATTCAGTGTATTCTCTTTAGTTAGGTTCTAGAATGCATTGAAATCCTTGTTTGATTTGAATTAAAATAGTATCATTTTACTCTATAGAATGAAAATTAAAAAAAACTAAAATGCATCTGCTTTATGCATGCCTTATTAAAGATACTGCACCTTGTTATTCCAGAATAATCTCTTTGGGTGATAATATTTAATGTATGATATGTATCTCTTACATAAATAGTTTAACCTAAATCCTATAAAATGTACATTCATATGTAACTTTGTTTTTTTTTTTTTTTCCTGGTGCCTGGGATGGAACCCATGGCCTTAGACATTCTAGGCCAATGCTTTCACCGTGAGCTACATCCCTAGCTCCATATTCATTTCTAAATGTTTCGTTACAAGATCATGCCTTTTCTTTGATTAGTCAGTTGATGTGGTATACTGGCCACAATTTCCAGTTTTGATTTTTTTAAAATGGATCAGGAACTTAGACACTTGTAAGATAGTCTTAGTGTAAATATCTAGATCTTACAATTTAGTAAGATCTTGTTTTTTAGTTTCATTTTTCTAATCTCATTCCAAAGCGTTTTTTTTGTTTTTTGTTTTGTGTTTTTGAGACAGTTTCTCAGTATTGTTGCATAGGCTATTCTAGAACTCCTGGTTTTAGCAATCCTGTTGCCTCAGCCTCCTCAGTAGGTTGGCCTTGAGCTGTTGGACCTCCTCCCTAATACTGGGATTACAAGTGTGCTGCTATACCTGGCTAAAAGCAGATTTATAAGGTAGCCTACCTTTATTATGTTCAAAGCATTCAAGTTTTCTAGAAGCAGCCTTTTATTTTATACTTATGTTCTATTATTTACTTACTATTCAGTTAAATAATTTACTTATAGTCAGTATAATTACACAAATGTTGATAATAAGCACAGGAGTTTTCTTTGTTTTGTTTTGTTTTGTTTTGCAGTGTATGGAATTGAAGTGAGGGCCTCTTGCATGCTAGGCAAAGTGTTCTACCACTGAGTTACATCCCCAGGTCAACACATTCAACTCTTAGTGGATAGACAACTAGAATTGAATATTAGTCATGAGAACTGATTGTTCCGTGGGTATCAGTGTTTCGTGGAGAGAATGGCAGGCCAACTTGATTGAGTAGATCTCAGTTCAGAAAGCTTTCTGTTCAAATTTAAGTACCAACTGCTGATTAGAAAAAAAAATAAAGTTCCCGTAATTTGATATTTAGATAAATTTTATTAGAGTTAGTAGGAATACTGTTTTCCATACTTTAAGGAAACATTTTCTATTGGAGATTATGGGAGTGCTTTGGCTAAATAAGACAATTTTGATAAAGTTTATCTGTTATAGGAGGTTTTCATATAATAGAAATCTATTTACCATTCACGTGTTACAAATTACATTACTAAAATTGGATAGGAAATTGTTTTTTGTGCCAAAAATTCTTTGAATATAACTGGATTTATGATACTAATTTGTTATCAGTCTTCTGTTTCTACACTAATTTGTTGTGGCATGAGAAATCAGTTAATTACTTTTGCTAATTATGTACATGGGGTTTCCTTCAAGAGTCTTTCTAATTTATTTCAAATGTGTGCAAGATGGGGATTTGGTGATGACTGTGACAGATGCCAAGCAAATGTTTACTTAAGTGATCTAATAAACTTTAGGAATATAGAGAGAGCTGATGAGAGTGCATAACTATGGAGCTGACTCTGAAAGCCTGAGCTAAGTTCCAAAGGATGAGTAGAAATTAAGAGTTGCTGAGATAGTGAGAAGATAAAGAATTACTTTTCCGTAAGAAGGAGTAACTTTGCAAAGGCATTATGGGAAAAAATATGCAAACATGGAAAAAGGCTAGTGTTGCTCAATAGAAAAATGGCTAATATGCTTGTGACAGATAATTTAGATTGAGGTTAAGGATTTCTTTTGTCTTTTTTTGGGAGTGTGGTGGTGCCGGGGATTGAACTCAGAGCTGTCACGTGCTAGACAAGCACTCTACCACTGATTACACCCTTATCTAGGATTTTGTTTTTTATAATGAATTAAGGTTTCTGGGTAAAAATGAACATTTTTGCTATGTCCGGTATTTAAAATCTTCAAGGAATTCTTACATGGGCCGAGTAAGTTTTTGCAAGCACTGGCTTTGATAAAGTAAAGGTAACTGAAAAAGATAAAATTCATTTGAAAATATTTGCCAGTTTATTATTGTCCATAGAGTATTATGAAGGAATGTAAATGCAATTGAGGTGTATAAAAATGTTCTAAAACTACTTTTATTAATTTAAATAGCATGGCGGCCATACCTTTAAACCTTTGGCAGAAATTTATGAGCAGCATGTTACTAAAGTGAATGAAGAGGTAGCCAAACTTCGTCGACGTCTCATGGAACTGATCAGCTTAGTTCAAGAAGTGGTAAGACTACTACTGCAACACCATTAACCTTTTTATATTCTATAAAACGTATATTATATTATAAATCATTAGGTTGAAAATTTGACAGGATGTATATATATAGTCTCAATAATTTCAAACTAACTGAGGAATTTGTATCCAAAGCTCTGATCTATAGAAAAGCAGTTGAAGCCATAGGGTTATCTTTTTTTTTTTTTTTTTTTGGTGGTACTGGGGCTTGAATTCAGAGCCTTCACTTTGAGCCACTCCACCAGCCCTATTTTTGTGAAGGGTTTTTCAAGATAGGGTCTTGTGAACTATTTGCCTGGGCTGACTTTGAACCGAGATCCTCCTGATCTCTGCCTCCAGAGTAGCTAGGATTATAGGCCTGAGCCACTGGCGCCAGGTGTGAGAATTACCTTTTATGTAGAATTAGAGAATCAATTCGTGAGTTAGAGAAGCCTACTTGTTAGAGTCGATAATTGACTTTATTTTAAATTTTCTTTTAAGCAGAGTCAATATTGGCTTGTCTAGTCATTAAGCTGTTCATTCTTTGGATCCCTAGCTTTTTGGAGATTTCTAATACCAGTGAGTGAACTGATTTTGATATCCTGAATTAGACTTCGCAGAGTTGAAAAAGTAATATTTAATACCACTCTTACAATACTGTATGGGTCAGTTTTGGTGAGTTATGTATCATTTATAATATTGTTTCTGTGGGAAGATATATTCTTTAACCAGTTAAGTACTAAATATACTTTTAAAATGTATTCTGTTTAAAGTTGACAGAATAACAGTTACAAATATAAGATTTGTATAACACTCCTAACTTAAGGACAGACAGGTGTCCTCCCCTCTCCTCTCCTCCTCTTATGTTTGAGATTGGGTCTGGCTTTCTTCCCAGACTGGCTTGGATTGTTCTCCTCTTACTTGTGCTTTCCTGTATACCTGGGATGATAGGTGTGCACCACTATACTCAGCCATTGGTTATGATGTGATCTTGTGAACCAATGTCCCTTTCCCCTTCTGCCTCCAATGGTGATCCTTCTGATTTCCACCTCCAAAATACTAGAATTACAGGCTTTAGTCACTGTGCCCAGCCGAGATGTTCTGTTTATTTTATCCTTCAGGAATCAAAATCCAAATCAACAGTTATAACATTCTTTATACAGAAAATAATATTGTTGGCTTGCACATATGCTACAAAGTCATTTTGACAGATTAGATAAGCTACAATAGTTTCGATTTGGCCTTCATCTATATACCTTTTTCTTATTATTTTCTTTTGGCAACATTAAGAGGGTAATCTAGGTTGAGATTCTTACTCCTTATCTTTATATAATAGTAGTAAATGTAGGAAAGATTGATTTTTATTTTTTGTGGTATGCTGGTTTGAAATATGTCACATATATTACTTTGCAGTTTTGGGAAAATACTCTTTTTGTATGTAGTTCTAAAAACAAAATGAAAAATTTTTATGAGCTAGAGTGAGTATTGGCTTTTTAATTTTTTTCATTTGTTTTAGGATTTTTCTGGATACCAACTGGCTTTACTTGTTTTGTGTTTGAAAAATAGTTTATCAGGAATGTAATTGGGCTTCGCATATAGTTTATGTTACCTAAGCCATTTTTGTAATTATAGGACCTTTAGTTGATATGTTTATTAAATTAGCATATAGTTTATTATTCTTAAGTTTTAAGAATCTTTTTAACTGGTTTAATTCAGTATACCAAACTTTTTAAAGCAGTGTGTTACCTGTGGTATTCCAACAATTTAAAAATATTGGTATATGAGTTTTACCATCAACTGATTTTCAGAATAATTGCAGTGATTGGATTGAGGTTTCTGCTTCTGTTTTTAAAGTTAGCATTCTCTTTGCTGTTTATCTTATAGGAAAGAAATGTGGAGGCTGTAAGAAATGCCAAAGATGAACGTGTGCGGGAAATTAGGAATGCAGTAGAGATGATGATTGCACGATTGGACACACAGCTGAAAAACAAGCTCATAACACTGATGGGTGGGTGCGTTTGTATACTGCGGGAGTATGCCACACCTTGAGCTTGCTTCACACTCAATCTTTTTTTTTTTTTTCCACAGAACTGGGGTTTGCAGGCAGGCCCTTGGTAGTGTACCACTTGAGCCACACCTTCCAGTCCATTTTTTTTTTTTTTTTTTTGCTTTAGTTATTTTTTGGGTATGGTCTTGGACTGCTACCTTCCTACCTATCCTTCCTGCTTAGCTGGGATGACAAAGTGCACACCACCATGCCTGGCTTGGTTGAAATGGAGTGTTACTAACTTTTTGACCTGGCTGGCCTCTTACTGTAATCCTTCTGGTCTCTCTTTCCTGAGTAGCTGGGATTACTGATGTGAGGCACTGCTCCCAACAAGGTTATTATAAGCTAGAAAGGGATCTTGAGAAATCATTGGAGAGAAAGTTTTCACAGTCATTTGGGTGTGAATTCTAATGACCAGTGCATCTCATTTGTTAGCATTAGGTAGTTTATTTTTTGTTCTTTTTTCCTAAATCTGATAAAAATTCCCACCATTAATATCCTTTTTTTTTTTTATCTTTACTGAAGGTGAGGAACTGATGTTAATGAATATTAGTTCACTCAGCTTTTTTTTGTGGCATTGGGATTTGAACTCAGGACCTGTGCCAGTCCTCCCTCCCTCGTCCCACTTTTTTTTTATTTGTTTGTTTTAGTTATTTTTTGAATAGGCCTGGCTGACCTGGACTGTGAGCCTACTGAGATTATAGGTACACCCAGTTTTTATTGGAATTTCTCTGTTTGCTAGGCCTTAAACCTTGATCCTCCCGATCTCTTCCTCCTGGATAACTGGAATTACAGGTGTGAGCCACTACACTTGTATTATTTTAAATTTCTTTTAAGTAAATTGCAAATATCTTTGAACTTAGATATTTATATATTATTTAATGAGTTGTCTTTCATTATACCTCAAAATTTAACTTTCTTTTTTTTTTTTGTCTTTTTAAAGACATAGCAACAAATAATCTTAAAACATCATTCTTCTAGGCTGGGTGTGGTCACTCACACCTGTATAATCCCAGCTGCTTGGGAGGCAGAGATCAGGAGGGTCATGGTTCAAGGCCAGCCCAGGCAAGAACCAATAGTTGAGTGTTGAGGTGTGCGATTATCATCTTAGCTACCCAGGAAGCATAAATAGGAAGATCACAGTCCAGTCCTGCTCATCCAGAATCTTGACACCCTGTCCTAAAAACAACTAAAGCAAAAAGGGCTGGATGTGGAGCTTAAGTAGAAGAATGCCTGCCCAGCAAGCATGTGGCCCTGAGTTCAACCCCAATACTAAAAAAAAAGTCATTCTTTTCAGTTGGAATGAACAGTTAGTTCATCTGTATAGTGCAGCGGTTAGAAGAAACCTGTAGACATCAATTATGCCATTCTCAGTGCTACTTAAAGATTTCATGTACATGAAAATCATGATTGTTCTTTGACCCTCAATTATAGTCAGTCATATGTGCAGATGATCTTATTTATTCAGGCTTTTAAATGATATTTGAGACTCTTTTTAAGTTCTTTAAGTCATGTTACATACTAGAACATTGGTATGTAGTAGGACTTTTAAAATTGAAATCTGCATTGGATGTGGTAGTACATGTCTATAATGCCAGCACTGAGGATAGTTTGAGGCCAGCCTGGGCTCCTCAGTGAGACTTTATCTCAAACAATAAATAAATAAACAAATAAATACATATACTTGAAGTCTTTTTCACTGTTAATGTAATTTTATATAGTAGCCAAATATATATTTGCCTGTGGCCTCAATTTTCTTGAATGGATTTGCTTGATTGCTTCATTTCTTTATTGGATTAACTAAAACTCAAATAAGATAGCAGTAGTATAGCTCTCTTAGTTTTAGTATCTGTGTAATTCACTGAATGAAATAATATTATTTTCCAATAACTTAGCTGTTCTGCTTTTGTGGTTTTCAAATTATTCTTCATTATGAAACGTAACTGCAATTTGTAATTTTCAAGATTCTGTTACTAAATAGAACACTTTCAGGGCTAGAGTATTTCTAGTGTAGTTTCACTATATGAGCATATTTGGTATTATAAGGTTATAAGGAACTGCAGACTTTTATTCACCATTAACTTTTAAGTTGCATTATATATGGTAGCGTTGCCAATAGGGCTAATGTTACCTGTAATACTAGGTGAGATCTCAGCTTTTGTATCTTTTTGTAATCAAGGGCTTCTGGTTTTAGTTTTAAAAAGCAAAAATAAAAGTTCTCCCCAGTCCAGGCAAAACAAAGGAAAAAAATCCCATAAGTTCTACATATTTTCTGTCTTTATCAAATATCACTACCCCAAATTGATGAAACTTCTGCTAATCTCATGGGATGCGGTTCTAGCACTTCAGACTTTGTGTTCTTTAGAGAAAATGTTCTAGGCCAGGTGTGGTAGCATATGCTTGAAATCCTAGCTATTGGGAGGCTGAGGCTGGATTGAGAGCTTGAAGTCAGCTGGGTGAGTCAGTATGGTGAGAACCTGTCTCACAAAAACCAAAAACCACAAAACAAAAAAAGATTTAGATGAACTTGTTAGACCTAAATTGAATTTTGTCTAAAAATAGGTTGGTTCTGATTTTCTAAGAGAAATATACATTAATATAGATTAATTTTAGGTTAAATCTCTTAAAGCGCCAGCAAAATCTTTAGTTTAATTATAAGAAGAATTTTTACTCATTGGAAGTTAATTTCGTTCTTAACCTTGAGTGTCGATATTTTCCTACATTTTAAACAGGTCAGAAAACATCTCTAACCCAAGAAACAGAGCTGTTGGAATCCTTACTTCAGGAGGTAGAGCACCAGGTGATGAACTATTAGATATGATAAAATAGTTTTTTCCTCTTTTTGTCCATGTCTCTTTAAAGTGTTTTTTTTTTTCGGGGGGGGGTGCATTTTTGGGGAGGGTTGGCAGGGAGAGAGATTATCTATATGAGATCAAAAGATCTATGTGGTGTAATGGAGATTTTTATGAAATAAGAATCAGGTGATTCTTCTCAAGATTTCCCCTTATCATATTTGAGAAGTTGACTTATGATTTTGTGGAAGAATAGAATTATTATTTTATTCTTTTACTTGGAATGACTCATAGAAATCTGCATATGGCCTGTGGTGAACATTACAATCCAAACCATAAGATGGATTTTATGAATCTCATCCATATGGCTTTTGATAGTACAGCCTTAAACAACAGAAATTGACTTTTTCTCTATCTGGAGGCTGAAAGTTCAAGATTAAGGTGTTGGCAGGTTTGATTTCTCCTGAGGTCTTTTCCTTGGCCTGTAGATGTCTGCTTCACACTGGGTCCTCACATGATCTTTGTATGTGCATGAGCATTCTTAATGTCTCTTCCTCTTGTAAGAACATCTATCATGTTGTATTAGTTTCCCACTCTGACTGCCTAATTTTAACTTAGTCACTTGGACTTCAGACTGGTCTTGTTGAATTAAAAATAGGTCTTTTAACTGCTATGTTCATTTTACTAAAGTTGTATTTTTCACTCTTTACTTCTGACATAATTTAAAGTAGTCTTTCCAAAATTGGTATAGGATGAGATGGTGTGTGTGTTTGTGTGCTTGTGTGTGTGTGTGTGTGTGTGTGTGTGTGTGTGTGTGTGTGTGTAAAAATGCTTGGTTTTACGAGCTTTCAACCTATAAGATCTGTTCGTTAATAAACCAATAGCTTCACTGAACTGGTGTGAAAATACATTAGTAGTTGCTTAATATTTGACTTATTCTAAAATGTGAGGTGAGATAACTGGATTAAAATCACATATACTTACTTATTGACTTTACTGCTAGAATGAAAATAAATAAACCTAGATTTTTTTTTTTTTTTGATGGAACTTGGGTTTGAACTTGGTGCTTCATGCTTTCAAAGCAGGTGCTTCATGCTTTCAAAGCAGGTGCTCCACTGCTTTAGCCACATCTCCAGTCCATTTCCTCTATTATTTCAGAGATGGGATCTCACTATGTATTTGCCCAGGCTGACCTCTCAAATCAATATCCTCCCAATCTCAGTCTTAAAAGAAGCTTGGATTATAGTTGTGAGCCACTGGTGCCCAGCTAAACCTATATTCTGTAAGATACTTTATTCTCAAACTAACTTTGAAAGAGTCATTTTATTTTTCTTTATCCCATTTTTTTTGGTGTATAACCAGATTAATTTCTAACTTCCTTTTTAAAATTTTTGAGGTTCCATTGAATAGTAATTTTGTTGGTTCAGATAATTTTTTTCCTCACACAGTTGCGGTCTTGTAGTAAGAGTGAGCTGATATCTAAGAGCTCAGAGATCCTAATGATGTTTCAGCAAGTTCATAGAAAGCCCATGGCATCCTTTGTTACCACTCCTGTTCCACCAGACTTTACCAGGTATGATAGTTTTTAAATTTCATTTTCATTTGAGGTTTGTGTGCAAAGGTATATACTTGTTTCAAAAGAATAAGTTAGATTTCTTTATTCCATCTCTTTTTAAGGTGCTGTTTTTTTTTTTTTTATTTGACTTGTAAAAATTTCTTTTTATTAGGTAGGGGTACATCGTGGCATTTGTAGAGGTTCTTATAAAATAGTTAATATGTTTATATTAATGTGATTTGGTGAATTATTCCATACATGTAAATCTGGCCTCAAAAAGTGATGGGCTCCTCTCCTTTTGTTTTGGGGTAAGGTCTTGCTGTGTAGCCCAGGCTGGCCTTGAACTAGAGGTCCTCCTGCCTCATACTCCCAAGTGCTGGGATGTACAGGCATGCACCAACTTGTCCTACTTTAGACTCACACTTTTGACTATAAAGAGCAAATAATAATGAATTAGAAATGTATTTCTTTTTTTGCAGCTGTATTTCCCATAGTAAAAATAATTGAACTTGTTATCTTCATCAGTGTCTATTCATTCTTTTTATTTACCTTTTGGATAAGCTTACATCTTGTTAAATAAAACTCAGGAATGGATAAAATGCCAAGAGAATTTAAAAGATAGTAGATCTCCAGATCTTAAAGTAGAAATAAATGCAAAATGTTCAGTCTGTGTATCTTTTTGCTTTTTATCCTAAACTGAATCCTCAGATTTTTCTCAACACATATTCTTTCAAGCGTATTTAGAATTACACTGTGGTGTTAGAGTAGTGGTTCTCAAACACTGACTATGTATTAGAATCATTTGGAATTCTGTTGAAAATGATGAATGTTAGGCCATACCCCCGGTCATTTGAAATGAAGTTCCTGTGTATATATTAAATTGCTCAAATAGCCATGACAAAATATCACAGACTAGGTAGTTTAAGCAACAGAAATTTATTATGGTGCCAGAAAATTCTGTGTCTGGGGAGGCCTTTTGAGTTGCAGGCAGCTGCCTGGTTTTGTCTTCACAAGACTTTTTCTTACTTGTTTGGGGAGAGAGATTTATGTGTTTTCTCTTATTAGGACAATAGCCTTAGTGGATTAGAGCCCCACTTTTATGATGTCACTTTACCTTAATGACTGTCCTTAAGGTCCTATTTCTAAATATAGTCACATTGGAGATTGGGACTTCAACAGAAATTTTGGGAGACACAATTGTCTGTAACACTGGGTACAGATGAATACTTTCAGGTTTGTGAGATCTTTTCTGTTTTGTTTTTTTAAGATAAGGTATAATTGTGACTCTGAGCTCACCATCCTCCTGCCTCAGCTTCCCTAATGCTGTTCTTTTTAAATAATAACTTATTCCTAAAATGAAGGATCATATTACTGCTTCAGGTTAATATTTTGGTATGACACATTTAATCTGTTTTACATTTTAGAGATGGCTTATGGAATACTGTCAGGTTTTGTAACCTGTTAGAGGAGATGGTTCATTTAGAAAACTGTTCATTAAAAAATCTATATGTTGAGTTGCATTTTTCTTTTTCTGTTCTATATGAAGACCCCTGATGGCCACAGGGTATTCATTGTACTAGAGTGAGTATTATAAGCCAGATTTTTCAGTCTTGGCATTGTTGACATTTTGAACTGGATAATTATTTTGGGCTAGAGGGAGTTTCCTGTGGATTGTTGAATATAGAACCCTCCTGTCAGTAGCACCTTACCACCACCACCTTGCAATTTTGACAAATGTTTCCAGACCTCCAAATGTCTAAGGGGTTTCTGGTATATCTCCTCATAGATGTATTCCTGAGAATCATGATCACTCATAGTCCTGTAGACAGACAGAAGGGCAAAATTCTGACCAGCAAGGGAAGTGTTCTTTCTTTTCTGAATTAATGAGTATGATACAATATTCGTCTTATTAAAGCAATAAAATTATTTAAATAGTTATTTAAATTATTTAATTATTATCTTTACTTCAACTAAATCTTGGTTGAAGTAAGGATAGATGATAGCATTTGCTATCATTTAAATAGGTTTAGTTGAAGTAAGGATATTCACTAATAGCCCAATAATTGTGAAAGGCTGCCTCTTTGATAGTGTGGCCAGGCATTTCAGTTTTTGTAATTTATTTCTCTTTTTGAGATAGGGTCTTGCTTTGTAGCCCAGGCTGGTTCAAACTCACTATCCTGCTTCAGCCTCTCCAGGGTGCCACTGTGCCCAGCAAGCATTTCAGTTTTGAAAATACCTTTTCTGAACCAGTCTACCACTAATGGAATAAAATGCAGATTTAACCAAAATGTTATTTATGAAGATTAATGTTTTTCAGTTTAAACTGTGACACATGGATCTGCCTGTATCAGTTTCTCATGGGGCATTTGTCCAAAATGCAGATTCTAAGAACTGCTTCCCCAGAATCTTTGGGGTGGTGTGATAGCTTCTCTCTTTCCTTCCTTTCTTCCCTCTCTCTCTTTCTGACTCTGTCTCTTCTTTTTTGTGGTGCTGTGGGTTGAACTTAGGACCTTGCTCATGTTAGACACGTGCTCTTATCACTAAGCTATATCCTCAGCCCTCAGAAAATGCATCTTGAGCACCTACCGCACTGTAGTTTGGAATCTGTTGATAAAGGTAAATTCCCATCATATTACCACTTTTAGCAGTTTACCAGGCAGGCAGTAATGTTTTTCAGTCTGATAGTTAAAAGCATGCCATGGGTGAACATTATTCTTTCTGTCCAGTAATGCCCACCACCTTATTGGAAATTTTGACTTTTAGTTTGATTCTGATTTTTATTGAGAACTCCATTTACTAGTTAAAATATATAGGAACCAGGGATTCATCTATTGATGCACTAACTAGCATATTAAAGAGGGCCAAATAAGAAAGACCATCATTCATTGACATTAAGCTACAACCCAAAATTTATGTGTGCAATGCAGTAGTGTTTCTAAGGTTAGAGGTTATGCAACTAGATTGCTTTTAGTTCCATCAGTTAATGAGCTACATTGGAGGAAAAAGGTCATTATCAGTGAAGATTATATGCCCAGCACTATTGAAGGTGTTATATGTAAGAGACACTGGGTAAATATCCCACTTTAAATAGCAGAGAATTATTTATTAAAATCAAATATTTGCTACTGAGTTATATGCCATGCTATATCAGAAATTCTGTAAAGGAGTAAGGACAGAGAATAGTCACGAAAAATTTATAACCTGCTGAAGAATTGAAGGGAGACTCTGGAAGATACACAGAATTTTCTTGGGCAGATGGGAATGAGGTATGTATTAATAAATGAAAATATGGGTTTAATAAGAGCTGTTATATTTGGGAGACAATAGGAAATAATTGCAACCAGAAATTTTTTTTTTTTTTTTTTTTGTGGTACTGGGGTTTGAACTCGACGCCTCACACTTGCTAAGTAACACTGTACCATTGAGCCACTCCAACAGCCCTCAACCGGAATTTGAAGGTTTATTTATTGCTCGGTGTAGTAAGAAATAAGACTGTTTAGGCTGGGTGCTGATGGCTCACGCTTGTAATCCTGTCTACTTGGGAGGCTGAGATTGGGAGGATCATGGTTTGAGCCCAGCCTGGACAAGTAGTTCATGAGACCCTGTCTCCAAAATAATAGGAGCAAAGTGGACTGGAGGTGTGGCTCAAGCATTGAAAGGCCTGCTTTGCAACTGAGGCCAATAGGAAAAGGGGAACAGGTACTAGAGAAAAGGTTAGATCAAAAAGAATTAACCTAGATGGTAACACCCCCACACAGGAAATCAATGTGAGTCAACTCCCTGTATAGCTATCCTTATCTCAACCAGCAAAAACCCTTGTTCCTTCCTATTATTGCTTATACTCTCTCTACAACAAAATTAGAAATAAGGGCAAAATAGTTTCTGCCGGGTATTGAGGGGGGAGAGGGAAGGGGCGGAGTGGGTGGTAAGGGAGGGGGTGGGGGCAGGGGGGAGAAATGAACCAAGCCTTGTATGCACATATGAATAATAAAAGAAAAAGGAAAAAAAAAAAAGAAAGGCCTGCTTTGCAAAGCACAAAGTCCTGTGTTCAAACCCCAGCCCCCCCCCCCCGACAAAAAAGAAACAAAAACAAAAAAGCTGGGTGTCACTGGCTCATATCTATAATCCTAGCTACTCAAGAAGCAGAGCTCAGGAGGATCGTGGTTCGAAGCCAACCCTGGGCAAATAATTAAGAGAAACCCTATCTTGAAAAAACCATCACAAAAATGTGCTGGTGGAGTGGCTCAAGGTGTAGGCTCTGAGTATCTGCGGTGTGGGTGGGGGGAAAAGGGAGAAAGAAAGGTACACATGTAGAAATATATCACAATACCCTAAGATTGACAAATGCGTTTTCTGTGCTCTGAAAGTAAGAATTGTTTTCTTAGCAAGTGAGAGTGAGGGCAGACCATATTGTATCTTCTTGGTTAATGAGCTTTGGTAATCTATAGTCTTTATCCCATAAACTTTCTGCTTCACTGTTCTGAGTGTGTCAGTACTCTGGAATCAAACCCAGGGCTTTGTGCATGCTAGGTAAATGCACTACCACTTAAGTTACAATACCAGACCCTGGTGAACTTTTTTGACCCTTAAGGGCTAACAAGAATTCACCAATGATAGTCTGGACTTAGAGCAAAAACAATAAATAACGAAGGAGATGTATCAAAGTACATGGTGGAAGAAACAACATACAGATCAGCATTCATCTGGGCTTTGGTTGAAGTCCTTGAATGTTATGGAGGATGTTCTGCATTTGGTGGGTTCACTGACCAACACTGTGTGATTGGAAATTACCCAAGATTATAGCCAAAAATACGTTACTTTTGAACAAATTGGAAGAGACTATATTGGGAAGAGTCCCTTAGCTCCACTAAAGCTCTTCAGGCACTAATTGCCTTGGTCCTGCTAATTGAGGATTGTATATATTGAATGGTAGAAAACATATAATGGGAGATTTTAGAGTAGGCCTCTGTAGGTATGTGACTTCTTAATCTGAATGCGAAGGAATGGTAAGGAATTGACCAGGCAAAAAGATCTAGGAATGAAGAATATGAATAATCTCAGAAAAGGCAACTACTAGCTGTGCATGGTGGCCACACCTGTAATCCCAACTACTTGAGAGGCTGGGATTATAGCAATTGGGAGGATTATAGGTCAACCAAGGCAAAAAAGTTAGTAAGGCCCTATCTCTACAAATAAGCGATTGTAGCTAGGAGGGATTGTAGTCCAAGACTGGTGCTGGGCAGAAAGTGCAAGACCCTAACTGAAAATTAAAAATGGCTGGGGGTGTGGCTCAAGTGGTAAGAGCACCTGCCTAGCAAGTGTGAGGTCTTGAGTTCAAACCCTGGAGCCACCAAAATAAATAAAGGATAACATCTAACTAAGGATATGATAGGAATGCTTGACGTAGTTAACTTGAATAGGAGCTGTATGGTTAATAATTACAGTGTAAAGTATGTTTACTTACTGTGAAAAAGGATGTGACTTGTTAAGCTAAATAAAAAATTATTTTTGATCTATACTGAATGTTCGCATGGCAAACCTCTAATTTATTCAGTACTCCCACATTGTGGCAATGTTGTTGATTTTATTTTGACCACTTTTGATGAGTTGAACTTTGGAAAATACATCTGAAGTTATGGTGAAATGGTTTTCAGTTTGTTTTATTAAATTTGTAACCTTGTATCAAATTTATAACACTGTGTATGGTAGAGTTTTTATTATAAATGCTGTTTAATATTGTTATTGGTGCATATTAAATTGTACCTAGTAAGAGGTTTCATCGTGACATTTCCGTAGATGCATATAATGTGCTTTGATCATATTTATCCCTCTATTTCTCCCATTATTGCCCCATCCTCCCCCTTTTCCACCTCCCTAGGAGTCCCCCTTGTACTTTTATGGCCTTGTTGTTTTTGTTTTGTTCGTTTTGTGTTTTAATGACCTTTAAGGTGTTCTAATGACAAGTGCCACAAATCACCCACAGGTTCTCAGGGTAGTTAGCATCATAATTGATTGTCCTCTAGTCCCTCATATGCTTTTAGTTCAGTTCTTCTTGGAGATTATATTGGACTAAAGCTGCCTGAGTTCATCTTGCCTTGGCAAGCAAGTATTAAAGTGATTGTCCATCCCAGTAGTCCCTAAGTGATTATGTAGTCTAATCCTATAAAAATTTATCATTATATTTGCTACTAAATAGCCTTAAAAGTATTTAAGGTCTATTAATGTTTCCACGAATTTGTTCTGAAGAAGGAAATTTGGGGATTAATTGTGATGTTTTTTTCTTCTGTTGTTTCTTTTCAGTTCCTAGCCTAAGCATCTATTTCCTTGAGGACTTTTTAGTCTCTTGTACTTGCATTAATAAAGTATTTGTTGTGTTTATAATTAATTACAAACTTCTGATGGTTTTATTGATATTAATAATTATTAATAATATAATAATTATTAATTAATAATATTAATTAATATTATGTTTAGTGAGGATTTGGAAATGTTTTCTAAGGGCTAGTTTAGCACAGTTTTCAAGATATTACTGAGGGACTTACTGTTTTTAAATAAATGAAAATTTAAATGTACATAGGGTAAATAATATGTTTTCCTTTTGTTTCCTTTTTAGTGAATTAGTACCATCCTATGACTCAGCTACTTTTGTTTTAGAGAATTTCAGGTAAGAGTACTTAAGAGCTCTGTTTTTTTGCATGTACACATAAGGAAAGAACTAGGAAAGTCTCTTTCTCTGTAGGAAAGAGATCTAATGAACTGTGTCATTCAGTTTAGTAATCTTGGAAGAAGCATGTTTCCTATTAGAAGCAGAGGTGATTTAGCCTATATAAGCTGAGTATCTCTTATCTAGAATGTTTAGGACTACAAGTGTTTTAAATTTCATATATTTTTTTCAGAGTTTGGAATACTTGTGTATACATACATAAGGAGAATTGGTTATGGGACCCAAGTCTGAACATGAAATTCATTTGTGTTTCATATACACATTATTCATAGCCCGAAGGTAATTTTATATAGTATTTTTAGTGCTCTTGCAATTTGAGTGCATCCATTCACATGAGGTTGGGTGTAGAATTTTCCACTTGTAGCCTCATGTTTTGAAGCATTTCGGACTTTGGATTTTTGGATAAGGGATGCTCAACTTGTATATTTAGGACTGATTTCATCTCCAGTCTGTGAAAAGGGAACATTTTAGAGAATAGAGTCCACTTAGCTTTTGCTAAAGTGGAGGGCTGGGAATATGGAAGTCTGTGAGCCCTAAGAAATAAAAGTGGAAAGAAGTCTGTGTTCATCTCCGCTCAAAGTAAGGAATTATGAATAAGGAAATTTCAGGGGCAGTACGCTGGTAGCAATGTACAGTGCGGTTTTAGAGAAAGACAAGAGGAGGGTAGAGGCCAATATACTGCATTATATTTAATTTCAGTAAATTTTGCTTGGCATGTTACATTTTAGCTCCTTAAATAGGATTTTAAATACTCTTAATGCTGTATGACTTTTCATGGAACATGAATCCTTTTTGTCCCCCTTGTGTTGTTGGGGATTGAACCTAGGGCCTGGTACAACCCAGGCAAATATTCTATTATTGAATATATCCCCAGCCTAAGAGACCATTATTGTAAGAAATTTGGAGGCTTTGTAGGTTGAATGTTAATTTTGTTAGCCTTTGTTATTTTTTCTTTAAGATTAGAAACAAAGCTCTTAAAACACAGAGATTCTGAGGGACTTGGGGAACTTCATGGGCAGCATGAAATTAGGAACTGAAAACGCAAGGTCTTTGGGAAAGAAACTTGGAGGAGGTGATAACCATCAAAGGGCCATGCTGAAGAAAATGTCCCCATTTATCTTTTCTTATGGGTTAATCTTGTGGTTGAAACCTAGCCTCTCTGAGGTTTTCCTCCCAAATGTTAAGGTTTAGCATATGTTCTCTTAATTTTTTCATATTCAATAATAGTAACAACAATAATAATAATAATAATACATAGAAGTGAGGAAGAAACATTCTGTTTTGTTTTGTTTTTTAATTTTTCTTTGGTGCTAGGGATTGCATATGCGGATTACACATGTTTTTCTATTGCACTACACCCCTCAGCCTTTTAGTTTGTTTTTAGATTTTATTTATTTATTGGTGGTCTTAGGGTTTTCAACTCAGGGCTTTATACTCTCTAGGCAGGTGCTCTAGCACTTGAGCTATGCCCCTAGCCCTTGTTTGTTTTATAAATGATGAAAGACTGCTATTGAAGTAGAATTAAAATTGGTCTTCCTTTTCTTTTTCCTTAAATGTTACATTTTTTAGTGTTCTTTTGTTTTGCTTTGCTTTTATGGGAACTTTAAGATTTTGTTTAAGATTCATTATCATTAAATTTTCTTTCAGAATATAGGTGTATCTAACCATACTCAGTGATACCTTGGTTTATTTAATCATCTATTATTTGTTCAGAATTTCAAATATTAAGTTAAAGAAAGTGGTTGGATTTAGTTTATCTGTTGCCATTTCACCACAGTTTTGAACTTGGGATTTGGTTGTATTTCTTTTTCTTTAGTACTTTGCGCCAGAGAGCAGATCCTGTTTATAGCCCGCCTCTTCAAGTTTCAGGACTTTGCTGGAGGTTAAAAGTTTACCCAGTAAGTTTTTTACAGTTTTAATAAATTTTGAAATCAAGACCATTTTTTCAGTGTTGTATACTGACTAGTTACTTTTTAGTGGAGTAAGGAAATCAATGAAAATTTATTTCTTTATGCATTATATTAATTGTGAAAAAATTAAGTATGGACAATATAAATTCTGACATTATTAATTTATTTCTTATATGTATTAAAATACCAATCTATAGAAGAAATGTTTAAAATGATAAGGGTTGGAGTGTAGCTGAGAGTGCTTGTCTGTCATGCTCAAGGCCCTGGGCTCAATCCATAGCACCACAAAAAAAAACAATCATTTAAAAAATAAAATACAGATTCTATAAAACTTTATAAAAAAATCATACTGATTGCATATTATGTTGCATTTTAGTGTGTTACTTTGACTTATATATTTTCTTTATATATATATTTTTGGTTTTGGTGGCACTTGGGTTTGAACTCACGGCCTCAGCCTTGCTAGGCAAGTTATCTACCACTCTACCAGCCATATGTATTTTCTTAAATTGGCAGCTGGGTCTAGCAGATTAAGACTCAAGTCTGTTCCTATGGCAAGAATATAAGCAATTAAAAAAAAATAGCAGTGGGCAGTTGCACGTTCTTTTATCACACAATGTCTAGTTGCATCTGTTTTTCTGATGTTAGCAGCTATTGATGGTTATTGTCTAAGTCATTTCTGTTTCATTTAGTACTTGTAATACTTTTTTTGGTGGTACTGGTGTTTGAACTGAGGTTCTTGTGCTTGCTTAATTGTAATACTTTGATAAAGAGATGCTTCCCTTCTCCTATTTGTTTACCCGATATTATAGTCATAGAAGGGGCTGGGTGGTTTATCATTTATTTGCCAGTTTCATCTTCTGAAGGTTTTGTTTTTTAATATCATTATGAACTATTACACATTTTTAAACTCTTTTGCAATGATCTTAGAAGTCCCTTGTCATAACCCTAGTACTTTGTTGTTCCTGTGTATGATAAAATGTTCTAGGTTCATTTTATACACTTACTACCTTATGCCAAGAATTGGTCATTTTATCCCAGGAACGTTGATTTTTTTTAGTGGGGAATTGCATTTCAAGACCAAATTGGGCAATAGGAATACTCATTGCTACCAGGTTGAATTCTTCTACATCTCTTTAGTAAATAGAACTAGGAAAAGCACATGAGTGTTTGCAGGCAGTGGTGGTCTGTAATTTTTTTTTGTTTTAAAAATACTTACTTTTCAAAAATATACTTAATTTTTTTATAGCAATCTGTGTTCACAGCAAAATTAAGCAAAAAGTAGAGAGTTCACATATAGTCCAGTCACAAGCACATTGATAAGTTACTTTTTAAAACTTTTAAGAGTAGATTGAGAGGTGTCCCATTCTGTTCTTTTAGGACTCATTTTGGGTGGATTGATAGCTGAATTAAGAGTCAATTTTAGGAACAGTGTTTTCAGTCAGTCCCAGTTTTTAATAAGACTGCTATCATAGCTATTAGATTTTTTTTGTCTCTAAATAATCATTCATTTCATAGACATACACAAAACTTATACAATGAAACACAAAGCAATTACATTAATTTTGAGTGCACTCTTGGACATAAGACAAAAAATTTAAGCTGACTTTTAGACATGTTACATCTTTGACCATGCAACATTGAAAACAAAATTTCTATAAAGAGATCCTGTTCTTTACTTTTTTTTTGGTCCATTTCACTTTTTCTCCTTTCTGTATATAGCTCCGGAACCTCAAACTGAAACTAAAACATATGTGCGCACACCACTGAAGCCTTCCTTAACCTTAAGCCTCTGGTGGCGCCACCTGCCGGAATCTCAGAGGTCCTTGAAACGAAAGGACTCAGGAAAGGAATGAAAAGATGAGACACACAAGGACTCACTCACTCAGGAAGGGAATGACAAGACACATGACCAGAAGGCTGGTGACCTAACTAGCCAATTTTTTATTTTTGCATCAGGCCTTTAAGCAGAATAGAGCAGGAAGTTATACAATTTAAGAAGAACTCCTATGCCTGGGAAACAACGCCCTGTATCTTAAAAACAATGTTCTTGCTCCCACCTCCTAGGTTACAGAAGCAACTTGGACCCTCCTAGTTTCAATGAAACCCAGTCCTCCCTGTTTTCATCTAGCTACGTTTGGTTTCATGTACACAAATCTCAGGCCTGGTTGCCAAGAGCATGTGCCCTGTTCCTGACCTTTCATAAACAAATATCTTCAGGTTAATGTTTCTTTTCTCCAGACAAAGGGTGCCAGTCCATGTTCGTTCAAAACTTTAGTGAGAGATGTGGTGCACTTGCAGTTTCCAACCTTGTCAGGATCCTGTCATGTTGTGACTCATGGCCCCCAACAATCCTTCTCACATAGCTGGGATTAGTTGTTTCATGAAATATTGCTAACTCTTTTTCTGGATTAACCTCATCCAGTCTCCACCTCCGAAGTAGCTGGAATTAAAGACACGCCCCACCATGCCTGGCCCTATGGTGGGCTCTTTCAATATATAGTTTGAGACTTTGTTTTAAGAAAATGTTTCCAGAATTACAGTGTTTGTTAGTAGTTTTGTTTCCTTGTTTAGTTTTCTTTCTTGGGATCTGTATAATCAGTATTTTGAATTTTGGGGGGGTGTTTTTGTTTTGTTTTAGTAGTGCCAGGGATTGATCGCATGTATTTTGAATTTTCTTACATTGTCTTCAGTATTTTTGAGTTGTTCTGTGATCTTTTTACCTCATTTCTTTTTTCATTTTTATTTTATTTATTAAAATTTAAAAATTTTGTCAGTACAACAGTTTGAACTCAGGGCCTGTTACTTGTTAGGCAGGCAATCTGCCATTCTTGCCATTCCCCTAACCTCTTTTTGTTTTAGTTGTTTTTAGGTAAGATACTGTGTTCTTGCCTGGTGCTGATCTCAGACCACAATCTTGTAGCTGAGACCACAGGCTTCTGTCACCCTTCTCTTCTCTGCTTTGATTGAAATTGGGGATTTTGCTAGCTTTTTCTTGGGCTGGCCTCCAACTTTAGTCCTCATGATCTCTTTCTCTCAAATAGCTGGGATTACAGGCCAACTGTGCCTGACTCATTTTCAGTTTTATTAATTTCCTGGTTTTCATTTCTGAGCTAGGTCTGGCTATATTGCTCAGGCTAGTCTCAAATTCCTGGACTCAAGTGGTCTTCTGCGTCAGCCTCCTGAGTGTTGGGACTGCAGGCCAGCACCAGTGCTTTTTCAATTTAAAATTTTTCTTTATTTACTTTTTTCTTTTTAACCTATAATCTGTTTGTTTTTGGTGGTACTGGAATTTGAACTCAGGGCCTCATATTTTCTAGGCAAGTACTGTACCACTTGAGCCATTTTGCAGCTGCTTTAACATATAATCGGTGGTGTTTATTTGTTCTGTCTTCCTTCTAGCAAAGTATAACATTAAAAAAAGTGTCCAATTCTTTACTTTCTTCTATCACCTGATTTCTAGGCAAACTGTTTTGTTTCATTTTGTTTTGTTTTGTGGTGGTACTGGAGTTTGAACTCAGGGCCTCATTCTTGCTAGGCAGGTGTTTTAACACTTGAGCCACGCCACGCACCTCAGCTGATTTCTGAGTTTTCTAGTTTTGATTTGTTCTAGTCTTCCTGGTATTATATAGTGTCACTGTATAGTGTCATTTATGTTGTTTTGAAATAAGTTAAAATTTTGGTCTTTGTTCTTTGCTTTTCTGGAGGATTTTCATTGTAAGGATATTATTCTGTTCTTTATTCTCTTATTTTAGTTAAAAAATATGTAACATAAAAGTTAATCATCAGCATAGTTTCTAAATGTATAGTTCAGTAGTATAAGTACATTCACATTGCTGTGTAATCAGTCTGCAGAACTTTTCCATCTTGTAAAATTGTAGCTACCAGGTGTGGTAGTGGATACTATAATCTTAGAACTTAGGAGGCTGAGGCAAGAAGATCTTTAGTTTAGGCCAGGATGGGTTATAAATAGTGAGCTCTAGGTCAGCCTGGGCTACTTAGTGGGATCCTGTCCAAGCCGCCCCCCAACACCACCAAATATTGAAACTCTGACACTTAAGTAAGAACTTTCCATTTTTTCCTTCCCCCATCCCTTGGTAACTCCTATTCTACATTTTGTTTCTATGAACTTGAGATACCTCCTTGAGTGGAGTCATAATAGTATTTATCTTCTCATTTCACTTAGTATAATGTCCTCAGGGTTTATACATTTTTTGTTGTAGCATTTAGAATTACCTTCCATTTATATTCCATTGTATGTATATTTCACATTTGTTCATTCATCCATCAATGGACATTTGGGTTGCTTTCATGTCTTGGCTACTGTGAGTAGTGCTGCTGTGAACATGAATGTGCCCATATCACTTCCACCATCTGGCTTTCATTCTTTTGGATATATACTCAAAGTGGTCTGTCTGGATCATATAGTAATTCTGTACATTACTTTTTCGGGAAACTGTATGCTGTTTTCTACAGCACCTATACCATTTGTGTATTATCAACAGTGTGTGAGGATTTTGTTCTCTTTACATCCTTGCCATCACTGGTTTTCTGCATTTTTGATAGTAAACATTCACATATGTGTGAGGTCATAGTCATTGTAGTTTTAATTTAAATTTCCTAGTAACTAATGATACTGAGAATCTGATCATGTTCTTACTGGTTATTTGTGTATCCTTTTGGCAAAAATTTCTGTTAATGTCCCTTGCCCATTTTTAAATCAGATTATTTGGGGTTTTGTTGGTTGTTGAGTTGTAGGAGTTCTGTATATATTCTGTACATAAACCCTTATCTTAGAAATTGTCTTATTTGGGCCTAGGAATGTAATGTAGCTCAATGGCATAGCACTTGTCTGGCAGGTATGAGGCTCTGACTTTGATTCCCAGACCAAGTTTAACTCATTTCTAGTAAAAATGAGTAATTGTTTATGTTTTTTCATTGAATTTTTAAGACTGATTTGTAAAGAGTTCTGTGTATGTTAAAATTCTTAACGCTTTCATACTTAACATTTTCCTTAATTTGTATACCTGTATATTTTTACTTTTTAAGTGTACAAATGTTTAAAATTGATATGGATTCAAATTTGCTCTTTTTTTACATCTTTTTTATTTGTTTTAAGCTTAAAAGTACTTCTCAATCCAATAATCAAATAGCAATCTGTATTTTGTGTTTTGGTTTCTTTGTAGCTTAACTTTTTACATTTAAATTGATCTAGAGTTTTATTTGTATTATTTTCTACCATTTTTTTCTTTTTTTAGGATGGAAATGGAGTTGTGCGTGGTTATTACTTATCTGTGTTTTTGGAACTCTCAGCTGGCTTACCTGAAACTTCCAAGTAAGAGATGTAATTAATTACATGAAAGCTTTGATGTATATTTATATCTCCCTAGCAACTTTTGTTAATTAATTTTGTTAATTGCTGAATTGTTTTTTCTTTCTTTACTTTTTTTTTTTTGGAGGGGTAGGTAGTTGTTTGAACTCAGGGCCTGGCTTTTTTGTGTGTGTGTGGTATGGTGTCACTGTGTAACCCAGGCTAGTCATCATCTGCCTGTGTCCACCTTCTATGTGCTGGTATTACAGACAAGTGCCACCATGTGGGGCTTGCTGCTATAAGTTGTTTTGGTTGAAAAATACATAAATTTTGAATAATTTAAATTTAAAACTAATTTTTAGAATGTATAACTCCTATACTATGAAATTTAACTGCTTAAAATGTAGAACTCAGTGGTTTTTATTAGTCATGGAGTTCTACAACTGTCACTAGTTTCCAATTTCAGAACATTTTCATTACCCCTCAGAAATCCTGTGCCCATGTGCAGTCTCTTCCTAGTTGTTTCCTCACCCTTATCACTGGCAACTACCAGTCTACTTTTTGTTAAGGAGGAATAGTCTAAAATAGTTTTATATAATTTCTGTATCTCTTTGATATCATACCAAAACTAAACAAGCCAGTAGTTTGTTAAATGTTATTTTCAATGTGGACTCTGGAAGTATATTAGTGATTTTTTTTTTAAACTATTACATGAAAAATATGTTGGTTTGCTATGGAATATCTGCTTATAACTAACATGGAATAAAAACGGTGGGATTTACCACTTCTGTAAGAACAGCAATATGAGACATTGTCTTTGTGAGACAACAAGTGAAAGCATTTCTGGGGAAGTAAGAAACACGTGGATTAGCTCTATGATTGCTCTGCCTTAAGGCCATGAGAGTTTTCAGGCTGCAGCGCAAGGTGGAAGAACTGAGGCAGAATGTTGTAGACTCCCTTAGTTGAAGAGGGAGTGCTGAGAGTCCAAGAGCACCAACCCACATAGAATGCTTCACATAGAATACCAGAGGACAGAGCTGCACAGGCAGAGAAACCCAGAGATTCATGGTGGTTTTTCTTACATATTCAGCAGAATACCAATCAGGACATATGAGTGAGGAAGCTATTGGGGGAGGAACTGTTTGGAAGAAGTTAATGCCTGGTGCTCACACAGGGCCAGGAACTGTGCCTGTTTTCACCAACCACAGTTAAGGAGGCACTGGGTAGAATACTGATGAAGGGTTTCTTTTGGTAGTTGGGAACAATTAGCCCTACACTGAACTCTACTCTGGACCTAACAAATGAAAGTATGATCCATATTTTTTCTAGGTAAATTAACTGCATCCTGGAATAAAGCTCAAGAAAATTGATAAGACTGTAAAATAATCCCACATAAAACAAAGTAAAATTTACACTGTCTGATGTACAAACAAAAGAGTAATGGATATACAAATAGGCAGAAAAACCCCAATAAATAAGGAGGAGAATAAATGGAAATTGAGCAAGAGCTGACAGATGTTAGAACTGTAAGAGAAAGACATTTAAGATACAACTGTACTCCATTGGCACCAGAAGTTAAGCAGAGACATGGAAGACTCAAACTGAACTTTTTGAAATTGCACTGTGCAAATGAGATAGAAAATAGACTTAATGGGTGAACAATAGATTAGATGTTAGAAGAGAAAACAATTACTGAACTTAAAGGAATAATATTTGAAATTTGCCAAAATGACATACAGAAAAAAGGATTATAAAATAGTAGAACAACTTCAAGCAGCTTAATGTGCATGCACTCCTTTTGTCTCTTCTTCAGGGACTTAATGGAATCCCTGAAGGGGAAGCTATGGGCGGAAAAAGTTTGAAGAAATAATGGTAAATTGTTCTAAATTTGGTGAAAGCTCTAACTCCACAGATCCACAAGCATACAGAGCATGAATAAAACACCAGAAAAAAACATAATCAAATTGTCTAAAACCAGTGATACATAGAGAAAAAGGTGTTAACAAACCGAGGAACAAAAATAACAGTAAAACCAGATTTCTCATTTGAAGCAATACAAGTGAAATAATAAGAGTAACATCTTACAAGGACTGAAAGAAAAAAAAAAAATCTACCAACTTAGTTTTGTTTTTTGTTTGGTTTTGTTTTTGGTAGACCTGATCTTTAAACTCAGGACCTCAAAGCAGTCATTCTACTACTTGAGCTGCCCTTTCAGTCCATTTTTGCTCTGGCTATTTTGGAGACGGGGTCTCACAAACTATTTACCTTGGCTGACTGCGAACGTCCCAATCTCAGCCTCCCAAGTAGCTGGGATGGTAGGTGTGAGCCACCAGCACTCAGTCCTGTGTCTAAAAAATAAGAGTGAGCTAGATATGGTGGTACATGCCTATAATCGCAACACAAAGAAGACCGATTCAAGAGGATCATGAGTTTTTATTAAGATAACACTAAAAGAGAATCCATTGTTTTTGTCTTTTTAAAAAAATTCTCATTGTATTTTATTGTTTTTACATTTACTTACATGTGTATATGTTATTTGGGCCATCTCACCCCACCCAACCCCCTACCACAACTACAAATTTTAAAGCCACCACTATAATAAAAGAATAAAGAGAAAATGGAACTATAAAACAAATAATCTTAAAGAAAGCCAGAAAAGAAGGAAAGTAACAAAGAAAACATGGACAAATACCAAGATATTTTAATGAAAATTAGTCTAATAAACACCTCAATTAAAGGCCAAAATAAGCACCCCAATTTAATGCAGAAAAAGATTGTCTAATAAAGCAAGAATCAAGTGTATATTGTTCACAAGAAACTCAATTTAACTATAAAAAGAGTTAAAGATGTAGATTAGTGGTAGAGTGCTTGCCTAGCATGTTCAAGGCCCTGGGTTTGATTTTCAGCACCACAAAATAATAAATGAATAAATAAATGTAATGATACATGTATTATTTTTCCACTAACCAAAAACAAGTTGGAATACTTATATTCATTTCCTCCATCCATTTCCCACCCTTCCCTCCTTCCCTCTTCCTCCCCCCTCCCTTCTTTCACTTCCTCTCCTCTCTTATCTTCCGTTTCCCTTCCTCCTTCCTTTCCTGTCCTCCCTTTAATAGCAGAATACAAATTTTTCTTGATAGCACACATTTACCATAAAACAGAAAACATTTGCCATAGCCAGGCTGTGGTGGCTTATGCCTATAATCCTAGCCACTCAGGAGGGAGAGATCAGGTCATTGTGGTTTGAAGCCAGCCTAGGGAAATAGTTCGCAAGACCCAACCTCGAAACAAAAAATCACAAAAAGGGGCTGTGGAGTGGCTCAAGGTGTAGGCCTTCAGTTCAAGCACCAATACCAAAAAAAAAAAAAAACAAAAAAAAAATTTGCAATAAAATATGTCTAAATGAACTCAAAATGATTCAAAGTATCTTTTCTGACCAAAATGGAATTAATTTAGATATCACAGAAAACAGCCAAAATATTTCAAAGCTAAGCAGCATATTTATCAACGAGGAAAATATGAGAGGTTTTTAATACGTATTTTTGAGACTAAATCAGAAAAGGGCTGGGGGCGTGGTTCAAGTGGTAGAGTGTCTGCTTAGCATGCATGAGGTTCTGAGTTCAAACTCTAGTGCTGCCAAAAAAAAAAGGAAAACCAAAATGAAAACACAATATACCAGATTTGTAGTGTGTTGCTAAAGTGGTAGGTAGGTGGAAATTTATAGCACCAAATGCTCATTGAAATGAGAAGCAGAAAGGTCTCCTATAAAAAAACCCTCTAGTTCTACTTTCATAAATAAGAAAAAACAAAAAGAAATAGATGGCAAATAAAAAATGAGGAAAAGAAAGGAAATAACAAAGATTAAACAGAAGTCAATGCAATAAAAATCTGAAAAAGAGAAAATCAGTAAAATCAAAAGGAAACAGATTGAGAGCTATAAAATTTTAAATTATGATGAACGTATAGTAATCAGAATAACAATATTAACATGAATGGGAAAATAAATCAGTGTATTCTTTATATGTTTTGGGCACTAAACTTGAATCAGATACATGATTTTCAGGTAGTTTCTACCATTCAGTAGCTTATCTTCGCTTTCTTGATACTGTCCTTGAATGCATAAAAGTTTACAGATTTTATCTTTTTATAGCCTTCAAAATTTTACATAATAGGATATGGAATCAGAATGCATGGGCTTTCCCAGTGAATATTTTCTATTAGAAAATTTTATAACTTTGAATTTCTGAATGCACAGTGAGTTGCTTTATTATAACTTGTACTAGAAATACATAGTAAAGCATTTCAAAGTTCATTTAAAATTATGTTGATAAGCCAGAAAGGAGAATTCAAACGAAATATTCAAATTGAAGAAATATAAATATTGGCCATATGTATAGGTAAAACAAAAGCAACTTTGAAGTATTTTTTTATATAAAATGCATTTACAATTTGAGCTGCTGCTTTATTCCTGATATATTGGTAAATATTTTTATGAAGAAAATAGGACCTAGTATCATATTTTAGTGGCTCATTCAAAATACTGCTGTTTTTATAAAAGATATCTTTTCTGAAAGAAATTGAACCATGTGTAACAAGTAATAATGATCAATAATAATCACAGTGGGTAATTAATGTTCTTAATGTTTAGATGAGTCTTTTATTATTTTATTAACTGTCTTAGTGGTCTCTTTTTCAGTTTTAAACTGTTTTTTGTGTGTGTGTGTGTGGTGCTGGGGCTCAAACTCTCTTTTTTCAATTTTAGGTACGAATATCGTGTAGAGATGGTTCACCAGTCCTGCAATGATCCTACCAAAAATATCATTCGAGAATTTGCATCTGATTTTGAAGTTGGAGAATGTTGGGGCTATAATAGATTTTTCCGTTTGGACTTACTTGCAAATGAAGGATACTTGAACCGACAAAATGATACAGTGATTTTAAGGTAATAGGAAGCATTTGATATTGTTACTTTTGTTATGGGGGAATAAAGCCATCAAAAAATTTTTTTTTCTAAGACCACTTATTCAACAGGGCTGATACATATTCAAATGATAGAACACTTGCCTGCCAAGCATGGGGCCAGGTTCAAAGCCCAGTCCTGGCAAAGTCCATTTATTTAATAGATTAATATTAAAACTCGTACTAACTGTAGCCATACCAATTTATTAACAGTTTCATTTTAGGACTTCTGTGTTGCCAAGTGAATAATAAAAAAGTCACAAATTTGTTCAACAATTAGTTACTAATTCCATTAAAAAGGAAACTATTGTAGATTAAGCATACCTAATGAAAAAATCTGAAATATTCCAAAATCAAAAGCTTTAGAGTGCCAACATGATAACACAGTGGAAAATTCCACACTTGACTTCATGTGAAGAGACACAGAATGCGCTGCACTGAAAGTATGTGTACACAGTGAATCTGCATTCACATAGTACAGTGAAGCAACTGGAAATACTATGTACTCATGTATGAAAATGAAAAAATGAGACCTGTTGAAACTATTCCAGGAATGGGGGGGAGGGAATAAAGGAGAATGATATAAAGGAGGTGATTTCAAGTATGATATATTGTAAGAACTTTTCTAAATGTCACAGTGTACCCCAGTACAACAATAGTATGATAATAAAAAAAATTTAAAAAAAAATTCAAAGTGAGGAAATCTAAGATTAGTGAGGGATCAGATGCTTACCATTTTTTCCACTTAACTGTAATATTTTTGGTGCCTGGTTTTGCAAGCATAATTTTACAAAATAACTTCGTTTCTTGATAAAGCAAAATAAAGGTAGGGAAAAAAGAGATGAAAATTGATGAAAACCAGTAGGAAATACTTGTGTTATTTGGAAGAGGAACAGAATGTAAACACTCAATATAAAACAACAGCTCTGTTTACTCTTGGGGTAACCTCTATAGGTCAGAAGTTTTGGGGAATCATTGCATAATATCTGTGATTTAATGATGAAAATGAGAGCTTGAGTTGTTTAAAGAAGAGATTCAGATGTATTCAGAGTACTTAATGATTTAGAAATATTTCATCAAAATAATTTTTAAAGAGGCTGGAGAGGTTGTTCCAGTGTAGAGCTCCTGCCCAAGAAGCATGAGGCTCTGGGTTCAAATCCAAGTACTACAAAACAATAAAAATTTTAAAAAATTAAAAAATTTTCCCTTTGGGAGTATTCTAATGTACTCTTAAATTTCACTTATTCTGAACCTTGTTCCTCAGCATGCTGGATAAATGTGTTGGCTGTCATATCGACCTTTGCTATTGTTTGTTTCCTAACTTTAGCTTTTCTAGGAGACTAAAGCGTTGAAAAAAACTATATGATCTTCAGTGTAGTAAAAAACTTTCTGGGTTTTGTTGTATTTTCTTTTGCCAGGATTATTTAAGCTCTCTTTTTATAGCCCTTCAGGTTTTGTTTTGCTCTTTAAATTATTTACCAAGAGAAATAATTTGTTGCTGTTTCATGTTGTAGTTACTAAATTGCAAAAGTAGTCAAACATCAATTCACCAACCTATAAAACAGCCTTTTTGAAAATAGTCTTAGTCATCTTCTTATTTTGTCATGATAATGTTGAATCTTTATGATGTAATCTGTAGGAGTTTCCTTTTTTTTAGATGCAATTCAACCTGACATCTAGTTTTTCTTTTTTTGCAGTGCTAAGGATTAAACCCATCACCTCACTCTCAGTAGGCAAGAGCTCTACCACTTAAGCCCTGTTCCCTGGCCCTTTTGTTTTTTTATTCTTAAGACAGGGTCTCACTAACTATGCCCAGGCTGGTTTCTATCTGCTATCCCCCTGCCTCTGCCTCCCCTGTAGCTGCGATTGTAGGTATGCACCACCATGCCCAGCTCTGACCTCTGGTATTTATTTATACTGCATGTTTGTCTAGGAACAGATTTTGTTGTAATGTTCAATTATCATTTATTCAGCAATGCTAATGGAATCTGTGTCATGTGCCTGGCACTGAACTTGAAATATAAGAATGGGGTTTTGTCTTCAAGTAATTCAAGAAGAAATTGGCAAAATTTGTATTTGTAATCCTTGCTACTTACGAGGTAGCAATAGGAGGATTGCAGTTCAAGATCAGGCCAGGCAAAAAGTTAGTGAAACCCCATCTCCCAACCTGCTTGTGTTGGTATATATATGTAATTCCTGCTATTCATGAAGCGAAAATAGGAGAATCAACTGTCTTTGGATGGCCCCAGGCAAAAGTGAGAGATCGGCTCTGAAAAGTAAAATAAAGAAGCAAAAAGGGTTTGGGGGTTGTGGCTGAAGTGATAAAGTGCAAATCCATGAGTTCAAACCCCAGTATCACCAAAAAAGTTTATATTTTATAAAATGATGCTGTAATAGCAATATAAATAAACTGCTGACTGGTAAATGGAGGAGGGGGCTTTTAGTCATTTATCTAATGAAAGATTATCCAAAATTTAAGCCTCATTTCAAGTTTCTGGTAGAATTTTATATGTTCTTACTAGAAAGTTATTTAAGGCTTTTCTCTAACTATATAAATATATATAATGAAACATGTTTATATTTAACATATATGAGATAAATACATTATTTTATTCTTTCATTAAATTAGAAAGTGAGCCAGGTACTATGGCTAACATCCTTAATCCTAGCTACTTTGGAGGTGGAGATCTGGAGGGAAGATCATGACTCAAGTCTAGCCCAGGCAAAAAGCTCCATCTCAACCAATAAAAAGCTGGGTGCGGTGGCGCACACCTGTCATCCCACATAGATGAGATACGTAAGTAGGAGGACTATGGTCAAGGCCATCCTGGGCATAAATGAAAGACCCTATTTGAAAAATAACTAAAGCAAAAAGGGCTGGATGCGTGGATCCAGTGGTAAAGCACCTGCCTAGTAAGTGCAAGGCCCTCAGATCAAACTCCAGTACTGCCAAAAAAAAGAGAGAGAGAGTGAGTTAAGATATTTTCTGTGCTATTTGTTTCTGTTTTAGTAGCACAATTAGTAATATGCAGATTTGACTTGCAGTTTCTTTAATCAGTTAAAGAAAATACTCTTTAGAAGGTTTTACTTATGTTTTGCTGATGGGTATTAATCTAGGCAGTCTCCACTTAGAATGTAGGATGGTTGACTGATTCACCTCTCATGAGTATCCTTGACTAAAATTAGATGTCTGCTGCAGTTAACAATTAGATGATCAGTATTTTCTTACACTAGGTGTTAAATCCCAGAAAAAATCTGAATGGCGGCTGTGTTAGTTTCCTGTTCCTGTTACAAATATCTGAAATAGTCAACTTACAAAGAGAAAGTTTTTATTTAAATCACAGTTTTGGAGGTTTTAGTCTATGATGATTTGCACCATTGTTTTGGTCATGTGGTGAGGCACCACGTCATGGCAGAAGCATGTGGTGGAGAAACTTGGTCACTTCATAACCAGGATGTGAGAGAGGCAGAGCAAGGGCCTTGCCCTCAATGACCTGAATACCTCCTAGCAGCACCACTCCAGGGAACAAGCCATCAATACATGGGCCTTTGGGGACATTTAAGATACAAACTATAGCATTGCTAATATAAGGGAGCCAGAGTGGAAGGACTGGAAAAGGTAAGAGAGATGTACACTTCCAAATCAGTCTTGTCTTATGGTTCTTTCTTCAAAAAACATCATTATACATGTATTGTGGGTTTTTTTTTTTTAATCACTATAAATGGAGTCGTGTTTTGCTAAATAACAAGGCAAAGGTTTGTTTCAATAAATATTAGATTTTTAAAAATAGGAATTATTCTGGCTACATTGAGATCTTATTCAACCATTAATATGATTTAATATGAATACTTCTTTTTTTCTAATTTGCTATATTCTTGATATGGGGAATTTTGATTATAAGTTATCTGGAGTGGTTAAAGATATAATTTATTTGCAGTATGCATCTGTTTCTCTCTCTTTTTTTTTGGGGGGTGCTACTAAGGTACCAGGCTCAGGACCTAATGCTTGCTAGTCTTTCTCTCTACTACTGGAGCCTCACCCCTTTGCCGTTTTTGTTTTGGTTATTTTTGAGATAGGGTTTCATGTTTTTGCCTGGGCTGGCCTGGATTGCAATACTCATATCATACTTCCTGTGGAGCTGGGATGACAGGTGTGTACTATCATTACCAGCTTTTTTATTTTTATTTTTATTTTTTTTGAGGTGGATTCTCATTAACTTTTTATCTGGGCTGGCCTTAAATGGTGATCCTCCTTATGCAACTCTTTAGGGAGTCTAGGCAGTCTTCCCTAAAAAGAGAGTCTCTACTATTCCTCTTTTGGGACTAGTGGAGCAATCCTGAATGATTGTCCCAGAATGTAGGGTTTTTTTTTTCCCCGCCGAGGGATAGGAAATACTGGAATGTGAGGTAGAATAGAGAATTAAAAAGATCAGTACTTGAAATAAACTTAGCATATTTTGTTAGTGTCTGATCTAAGCAAGTTTGGTAGAAAAGTGTTGTCTTCTTACTTCTTTTGGCATAGTATTGTCCTCTTTTCCCATCTGACCATCATCTTTATATTTGACCTACATTATTATAATAAATATACATTAATCTTGATAAACAGTGTGAGTTTAAACAACTGACTTTTCAGAACTTTATGCCATTATGATTTGTAGAATACTTGTGTAAATAGTGAATACTAGGGTCTTGGAGTTCATTTGAATTTTTACCTTATAAACATCAAATAAACTCAAATTGTAGAACTTAGAGTTACAAATTCAAGGCTAGATTGATATTTTCTTATTTGTATTAATGTTCATGTGGAGCTATTCTCTTAAGGTTTCAGGTACGTTCACCAACATTTTTTCAAAAATGCCGGGATCAGCATTGGTACATTACTCAGTTGGAAGCTGCACAGACTAGTTATATCCAACAAATAAACAATCTTAAAGAGGTAAGGAAATAACTACTATTTTTGATTTCATGCTTCATAAGTCCTTTTTGCCTGTTATATTTGGAATTAGGTTTTGCATTCAGTAAGCCCACCTTATTTGAGGATTTATCACAAGTGGTTTTGAGCAAGTGTGAAAAATACTTCCCATGTGCACTACGCAGCTCAGTTGATGCGGAGAAGCTCTCATTAAGTTCCACATCATTGTCATTGCTAAGAGTCTAGCATTTATTGCTGCTTGGAATTTTGTACGAAAAAAAAAATCCAGTTACCCAGATGCCTATCCTTTGAGCCTCAGGTTCTGCACTGTCAAGTTTAGTAGCCACTAGCCATATTGGCTATGTCAGTTTAACTTAGTTAAGATTAAACATTTGGAGGGGTGGGGAGAGAGGTGGCACAACAATATAAGTAAATGTAAAAATGGTAAAATAAAAGGAGAAAAAAAAAGTAATGTAGCATAGCCATAGTTAAAAAGAAAAAAATTAAACATATACTTCCTTAGTTATAGTAGCCACATTTCAGGTGCTTGTATTGGGGTTTGAAGATATAAAACATATCTATTAGTGCATAAAGGTGTATTGCACAGTGCTGCCCTAGTTTAAGGCAAACTTTTTTTTTTTTTTTCTTTTTTTTTTTTATTTTTCTTTTATTATTCATATGTGCATACAAGGCTTGGTTTATTTCTCCCCCCTGCCCCCACCCCCTCCCTTACCACCCACTCCACCCCTTCCTGCTCCCCCCCTCAATACCCAGCAGAAACTATTTTGCCCTTATCTCTAATTTTGTTGTAGAGAGAGTATAAGCAATAATAGGAAGGAACAAGGGGTTTTGCTGGTTGAGATAAGGATAGCTATACAGGGCATTGACTCACATTGATTTCCTGTGCGTGGGTGTTACCTTCTAGGTTAATTCTTTTTATCTAACCTTTTCTCTAGTTCCTGGTCCCCTTTTCCTATTGGCCTCAGTTGCTTTAAGGTATCTGCTTTAGTTTCTCTGCATTAAGGGCAACAAATGCTAGCTAGTTTTTTAGGTGTCTTACCTATCCTCACCCCTCCCTTGTGTGCTCTCGCTTTTATCATGTGCTCAAGTCCAATCCCCTTGTTGTGTTTGCCCTTGATCTAATGTCCACATATGAGGGAGAACATACGATTTTTGGTCTTTTGGGCCAGGCTAACCTCACTCAGAATGATGTTCTCCAATTCCATCCATTTACCAGCGAATGATAACATTTCGTTCTTCTTCATGGCTGCATAAAATTCCATTGTGTATAGATACCACATTTTCTTAATCCATTCGTCAGTGGTGGGGCATCTTGGCTGTTTCCATAACTTGGCTATTGTGAATAGTGCCGCAATAAACATGGATGTGCAGGTGCCTCTGGAGTAACAGTCTTTTGGGTATATCCCCAAGAGTGGTATTGCTGGATCAAATGGTAGATCGATGTCCAGCTTTTTAAGTAGCCTCCAAATTTTTTTCCAGAGTGGTTGTACTAGTCTACATTCCCACCAACAGTGTAAGAGGGTTCCTTTTTCCCCATCCTCGCCAACACCTGTTGTTGGTGGTGTTGCTGATGATGGCTATTCTAACAGGGGTGAGGTGGAATCTTAGTGTGGTTTTAATTTGCATTTCCTTTATTGCTAGAGATGGTGAGCATTTTTTCATGTGTTTTTGGCCATTTGAATTTCTTCTTTTGAGAAAGTTCTGTTTAGTTCACTGCCCATTTCTTTATTGGTTCATTAGTTTTGGGAGAATTTAGTTTTTTAAGTTCCCTGTATATTCTGGTTATCAGTCCTTTGTCTGATGTATATTGGCAAATATTTTCTCCCACTCTGTGGGTGTTCTCTTCAGTTTAGAGACCATTTCTTTTGATGAACAGAAGCTTTTTAGTTTTATGAGGTCCCATTTATCTATGCTATCTCTTAGTTGCTGTGCTGCTGGGGTTTCATTGAGAAAGTTCTTACCTATACCTACTAACTCCAGAGTATTTCCTACTCTTTCTGTATCAACTTAAGAGTTTGGGGTCTGATATTAAGATCCTTGATCCATTTTGAGTTAATCTTGGTATAGGGTGATATACATGGATCTAGTTTCAGTTTTTTGCAGACTGCTAACCAGTTTTCCCAGCAGTTTTTGTTGAAGAGGCTGCTATTTCTCCATCGTATATTTTTAGCTCCTTTGTCAAAGATAAGTTGCTTATAGTTGTGTGGCTTCATATCTGGGTCCTCTATTCTGTTCCACTGGTCTTCATGTCTGTTTTTGTGCCAGTACCATGCTGTTTTTATTGTTATTGCTTTGTAATATAGTTTGAAGTCAGGTATTGTGATACCTCCTGCATTGTTCTTTTGACTGAGTATTGCCTTGGCTATTCGTGGCCTCTTGTGTTTCCATATAAATTTAACAGTAGATTTTTCAATCTCTTTAATGAATGTCATTGGAATTTTGATGGGAATTGCATTAAACATGTAGATTACTTTTGGGAGTATCGACATTTTTACTATGTTGATTCTACCAATCCATGAGCATGGGAGATCTCTCCACTTTCTATAGTCTTCCTCAATCTCTTTCTTCAGAAGTGTATAGTTTTCCTTGTAGAGGTCTTTCACATCTTTTGTTAGGTTTACACCTAGGTATTTGATTTTTTTGAGGCTATTGTAAATGGAATTGTTTTCATACATTCTTTTTCCGTTTGCTCATTGTTAGTGTATAGAAATGCTAATGATTTTTCTATGTTGATTTTATATCCTGCTACCTTGCTATAGCTATTGATGATGTCTAGAAGCTTCTGAGTAGAGTTTTTTGGGTCTTTAAGGTATAGGATCATGTCGTCTGCAAATAGGGATATTTTGACAGTTTCTTTACCTATTTGTATTCCTTTTATTCCTTCTTCTTGCCTAATTGCTCTGGCTAGGAATTCCAGTACTATGTTGAATAGGAGTGGAGATAGTGGGCATCCTTGTCTGGTTCCTGATTTTAGAGGGAATGGTTTAATTTTTCTCCGTTAAGTATAATGCTGGCTGTAGGTTTGTCATATATAGCTTTTATAATGTTGAGGAACTTTCCTTCTATTCCTAGTTTTCTTAGAGCTTTTATCATGAAATGATGTTGGATCTTATCAAAGGCTTTTTCTGCATCTATTGAGATGATCAAGTGGTTTTTGTCTTTGCTTCTGTTAATGTGGTTTATTACGTTTATTGATTTTCGTATGTTGAACCACCCCTGCATCCCTGGGATGAAGCCTACTGGTCGTGGTGAATAATCTTTTTGATGTGTTGCTGAATTCGGTTTGCCATTATTTTGTTGAGGATTTTTGCATCAATGTTCATTAAGGAGATTGGCCTATAGTTCTCCTTTTTGGAGGTGTCTTTGCCTGGTTTTGGGATAAGTGTAATACTGGCTTCATAAAATGTGTTTGGCAGTTTTCCTTCCCTTTCTATTTCATGGAACAGTTTAAGGAGGGTTGGTATCAGTTCTTCTTTAAAGGTCTGATAGAATTCAGCAGAGAATCCATCAGGTCCTGGACTTTTCTTTTTGGGGAGACTCTTGATTGCTGCTTCAATTTCATTTTGTGTTATAGGTCTATTCAGGTGATTAATTTCCTCTTGGTTCAGTTTTGGATGATCATATGTATCTAGAAATCTGTCCATTTCTTTTAGATTTTCAAATTTATTTGAATATAGGTTCTCAAAGTAGTCTCTGATGATTTCCTGGACTTCCATGGTGTTTGTTGTTATCTCCCCTTTTGCATTCCTGATTCTACTAATTTGGGTTTTTTCTCTCCTCATTTTAGTCAGGTTTGCCAGGGGTCTATCGATCTTGTTTATTTTTTCAAAGAACCAACTTTTTGTTTCATTAATTCTTTGTATGGTTTTTTTGGTTTCTATTTCGTTGATTTCAGCTCTTATTTTTATTATTTCTCTCCTTCTATTTGTTTTGGGATTTGCTTGTTCTTGTTTTTCTAGGAGTTTGAGATGTATCATTAGGTCATTGATTTGGGATCTTTCAATCTTTTTAATATATGCACTCATGGCTATAAACTTTCCTCTCAAGACTGCCTTAGCTGTGTCCCATAGGTTCCGGTAGGTTGTGTTTTCATTTTCATTGACTTCAGGAACTTTTTAATTTCCTCTTTTTTGCATCGATGATCCATTCTTCATTAAGTAATGAGTTATTTAGTTTCCAGCTGTTTGCATGTTTTTTGTCTTTACTTTTGTTGTTGAGTTCTACTTTTACTGCATTGTGGTCAGATAGTATGCATGGTATTATTTCTATTTTCTTATATTTGCTGAGGCTTGCTTTGTGCCCTAGGATATGATCTATTTTGGAGAAGGTTCCATGGGCTGCTGAGAAGAATGTATATTGTGTAGAGGTTGGATGAAATGTTCTGTAGACATCTACTAGGTCCATTGATCTATTGCATATTTTAGATCTTGGATTTCTTTATTGAGTTTTTGTTTGGATGACCTATCTATTGATGATAATGGGTGTTAAAGTCTCCCACAACCACTGTGTTGGCGTTATATATGCTTTTAGGTCTTTCAGGGTATGTTTGATGAAATTGGGTGCGTTGACATTGGGTGCATACAGATTGATGATTATTATTTCCTTTTGGTCTATTTCCCTTTTATTAGTATGGAATGTCCTTCTTTATCTCGTTTGATCAATGTAGGTTTGAAGTCTACTTTGTCAGAGATAAGTATTGCTACTCCTGCTGTTGTTTTCGGGGCCATTGGCTTGGTAAATCTTCTTCCAGCTTTCATCCTAAGCATATGCTTATTTTGTCGTGAGATGAGTCTCCTGTAAGCAACAAATTGTTGGATCTTCTTTTTAATCCATTTTGTCAAACGGTGTCTTTTGATGGGTGAATTAAGTCCATTAACATTAAGTGTTAGTACTGATAGGTATGTGGTGATTCCTGCCATTTAGTTATCTTAGTTGTTTGAAGGTTTGATTGTGTGTACTAACTTGATGTTACTCCTACTGTCTTGCTTTTTCTTATCCTGTGGTTTGGTGCTGCCTGCCTTTTCATGGTTAAGTTGGGTGTCACTTTCTGTGTGCAGGATCCTTGCAGAATCTTTTGTAATGGTGGCTTTGTGGTCACATATTGTTTTAGTTTCTGCTTA